TTTTCTTGCAGTAACAGTTTGAGCACGTGTAAAAAAGGGAACGCAAGAATTTGCAGAAATTAAAAGTTCCCTGCGATTCCTGACCATGAGGAGCAAATATGAGGTAAAAGTTTCCGGTTACCATTTTGCAGAATGAGGAAAGATTATAGATCAAATAATTTAAAAGAGCATTTTAAACGTACCCGATGGTCGAGAGACATACTGGAATCTTCTGGAGGCTTGTTTTCGAATGAATCAGAAGCAGAGGCGTTTGGCGGATGAATGAATGAACAAGCGGATAGTTGTTGCGGAACGGGAAGAAGCCGTTTAGTTGAGGCAGTTACTCAAGCTTTTGCTCGAAGGACCGCCCTTCTTCGGCGCGTCGCCTCCTATTCTAATGAGGCAAAGCCAAGAATGGGCGATGAGCCGAAATCCGGCTGCAGAACCTTCCGTTATTAGGCCGAGCTGACTGTCGGGAACCGTTGCTGACCACCGAGAACCTGAGACGAAATCCGAGCTGCCAACGTGACTGGCCTGCCAAATGCTCAGCGCGCATCATCCTCACGGAGGCGGAGCTCCAGGCCAAGCCTCTCACTTTTCTTTTCCCTTCAAAATAACCCCCATTCTTCTTCAGACCAAGTTCGGAAAATGAAAAGAGCGACCAGGGTGATGCAAAGAAAATAGTTAGTTTTTTGCTCTCACCTCCAGAAGAACGAACTTGCAAATAGAAAAAGAAGAAGAAAAAGAGATAGAAGTTCGAAAAAAGAAACTTCTCCACTGAGACAGTGGGGCTTGTCCTCTTATCGGTTTTTTTGTGGAAGAATATTCGAAAGGCTTCAACAGAATAGTTTCGAAAGGTTGAGATAATGATCAAATATACCGGTATCCAAACTTCTTCGAAATCTCGAACTTGAATGCGTATTTCCAGGTTTTTCAAAAATATTTGAAGTGAGTCACGGTTTCAAAAAATTCAATTTGGTAAACCGAGTCTTTTGAAAAAATATAAAAATCGATACCCACTTTTTTGTTTTTACGATTGAAATAATATTCTTGCTCGTACTTTTTTTACTACTTATAATTGGTATCAATCCTTGCTTTCACAATTTTTTTGAAAAAAATTAACGATATTTCTGTTTAATAGCCTAAAACAATCCAAAAATAAGAGAAGTTTTAGAATAATCGGATCAAAACTTCATCACAAAAGTGAGAAAGTAACTCTTAGTGCTTCAATAGTTCTTTGCTTTGAAGTCGTCGCAGTTTTAGTCGGGTGCGATTTTTTGAGCACCTGCGGCTCGCACAATTTCGACGCAGCCGAGAATGGCTTTTCAGAGGCGTTCAACTGGATCGAACGACGTGAAACGTGCCAAAAAGTTCCTTATCCCGTAAAAAAATAAACTGGAGCATGGAAGGATTTTTTCTCAAATATAGCAAGGAAGTTTCTCCACCAAGGAGTTGGTTTTTGAAATTTTGGGACCAAACAGTTCTTTTGGTGTGCAATAAAGAATTGGTTCTCTGAAATTTTCGGAATTACTCAATTGTACGGGGAGAACTTTAGAATAAATCAGCCTGCAACAAAAAAGATGAAAATCAGAATTCAAGAGGGAAGATTTCTGGAGTTTCGAACTCTAGAAAAAAAATAGAGAAGGTTAAATGGAAAAGTTTTGAGAAGTTTTTTTGACTGTTTTTAACGAAATCCTTCCATGATGAAAATTAGATACTTCAGCCATTTTCATATTATATCATTTCACTACTGTTTCATATTATTTTTTATTTTGTTTTTTTTTTTTCACAGAACTCAAATTGCTCGAATGAAATCAATAATCCGCGGGGCAACTGCATTTTTTGGTGGTCAGTATTGATTTCTCTCATTTACCTATTTTATACCTAGGACCTTCAATACCACCGCGGTCAAATAATTTTCTGTCAAGCGCAAAAAAAAGGCGATGAGTTCTCTGCTTCTCATTTAACTGCGACACATTTAGGCGATTGCGAGATCAGACGTTTTTTTGCGGAAAGACACGAAATTCGTTCATTTTAATGCTCTTATTTAACGAAGAGCTGTAAAACTTTCCAGAAAATTTCAGTTGAAAAGAATTTCCGCGTTTTTTATGATCAAGTGCAGATGGGGTTCGAAATTACAATCAACGACTGGAACTTATTTAACGACTTCCAACCAACCTACTGGCAAAGTGTACTCGATGAGTTTTCGAAAAAATTTCTTTGGTGAGAAAGAATTGTGAAGTCCAACTATTCTGTGACACCGCAAAATTGAACGATAAAATGTCTAGCCAGATTTTTTACTTCGAAGTTAGAGGTTTACAGGAAAGTTTTCCGTTTCTTTTCGATTTAAAAACAAAGTTCTGCAAGCTGCAGCCAGGAGTTGATTTTCGAAAATAAAGTTCATGGATAGGAATTCGAGCAAAAAATGAAAAATAACAGAGTATAAAGAAGAATAGTTCTCTTGGCTTGTTTTTAAATGATTTTAAAACACAGCCACTCGAAATTTTCGGAAATGATTATTATTCTTGAAGCCTCGAAAACATGATTTCTTTTTTTATTTCCTACGCACTACAAAAAAATATTTTTCTGAGAATAGGATTTCGCTTGGAAAAACTGAGACAAACAAACTTTTTTTATAAGAGAATAAAAAAACGAAAGACAACTACAATTGGTAGTAAATACTTACAACATCATTTCATACAGGTAAATCGTAAAAAAAGTTCGTATTAATTAAAAAAAGAAAAAAACAATCAAAGAACTTATTGAAAATTTCAAATGTTTCATGGCTTCGAATTTTTTAAAACCTTAACCGATCATCCTGTATATTTCGTGCATTTTTTGAGTCTATTCAACATTGATGAATAGGATGCTGAGGAGCACCAGAGTGAACTCTAAAGGGAACAGCTTTTAAAAAAGCCTTTACAAGGGACAGAAGGGCCTTCTATAAGGATCAAAATTGAATGCTCCTTGTAGGTATTTAGAGTTTGACCCCCAACCCCATAAAGCTTAAGTAATTTTTTTATTTTTTTCTATTCAAATTTAAAAACTAAAAAGACAAACTTGATCAAATTATCCTCTTCTAATAATTAACTTTCAAAAAAACGCTAACTTATTTGTATTTTGGTATGAAAATGCTTCTTCTCATAGAATTCGTACCAATAATCGATTGAAAACCTCTTTAAGTCTATTTTTGCAAAGTTGAGTGGCTGCTTTAGAAAAAGATAAAATGGTCTCTAGAGGGGAAGTTATCAAGACCCTCCAGGTTGTTGCTATAAGAAACACTCTGAAAGTTGTGCAAAAAGAATTTTTCCAATTTTTTTCAAGCAACTCGAATCAGCCTTTTTTTGATTTCTGTCTAAAATAGTTTTTAATAAATCCTACAATTTATTTTAAAAAAAGGTCAGGCGTAATGGTGAGCTGCTTCGATTCAGTAAATATTTTTTTGAAAATCAACTTATATGATTCTCTATTAAATTGAGAAAATATGCAGTCAAAGAAAGTCTCAGATGGCTTTCAAAAACTGTTCTTTAGTAGGCACGACATTTCATTCCGAAGTGCTTTTTTGGATCGGAAGAAAAATGATTTTTCTGTTTCAGTTAAGCTTTGAGAAAAGAACATTTTATTCATTTGGTCTTCCCAAACGCCGGACTTGAACTTTTAAGCTAAAAACTAACCATGCTGGACATGACGAACCCAGGAAAAAACAGATGGAGAACAAGGAGACGATTGAGATGTGGCTGAACAGAAGACGTCAACTATGAAACAGAAGTTACGTTGAACGTGAATTTCGCGCATGGTCTCACTCGAAAAGCGACTTTGATGGGCTTTTGGGGTCCAACAATGGGGCAGCTCAGGCAGCTCTTTGTTATTTCAAATATGCTTACATGTCCCGCAGAAAGTGTCTGACAACTTGATTTCAACTTTTCACAAATTAAAAAAAGTTTAAGAAAGCCGGTTGCAGAACGAAAAGAAAATTCATGACAGGTTCATAAAAAGAGTTTTCAAAATGAAAGTTGAATATCTCGTAATTTATTCACCGTTCGATTTGGACCAAAATTGTTAGGAAAATTAACTTCTTTTTGCACACATTGATAATATAAAAAAACCGCTCAATTAATATTCTCTCAAATCAGAAGTTCAAAAATTATGTTGTCATAAATTTTTTTCGACTGTAAGCAGCTTTGAATAAAAAAATGCCCCTAGAGGGGAGTACAGGGGCATGAAAAAATCAAGATGATAATAGAAAAAAATTCTAATTAACCGAATATGAAATTCGAGAAAAATGTGATGCAGGCATTCAATCTCCAATTTAGCTGAAAAAAACATCTCATTATGAAAAAAAGCTTCTAAATGAAAAAAATCGAATGAATGAATGAAGCCTATTGTAGTGATAAAATAACAGCAATAACAAATTGAGAAAAAAATATCAAATGAGTAGAAAAAAACATTCGCCAAAAAAATAAAAATGAGAATTTTTTTACGAAAAGCAAGAAAAAAAGCTATTAGCCAATGGATATAATAACAAAATTGAAAATTTTGGATTTGAAGGTTGAAAAAAACGAGCTTTTCTATTATCAAAATCTGATATAATCAACAAAAAAACTGGTTAATTTAAGCAAAAAGCTTGAAAAAAACTGTGTTTTTCGAACTCTCGCTTTGAAAGAAAAATGATCAGCATTCATTCTGGATGGACGTCTACTCCATTTTCCAATAAAAAAAATTTCTTTGATAAACTGGTTTTTCCTGGCTCTAATTTTTCCGATATAAAAAAAGTTCAAATCCCCAAGGATTTTCTAGAACAACCAACATGCTCTATAATGGGTGATATCTGAGTTTTCTCTGAATCGAAAGCTAAAAACAGTTTCAAACAAATATCACCGCAAAAAAGAGCTCCATGCGGGGGAAAACTGAAGTCCAACTTATTCATCGCGTGTTATGTTTTATGCACAAGAGGTTTCAAGCATTTTACGTTGGAAAAAGTTGCTGAGAGGAGAATTTCTCAAGGAGATCAAGCTCAAGAAATGTTAACTCCCACCGACCACCTGTGCATCCTTCATGGCAGCCAAAGAGTTTTCAGAATTTACTTCAGTGGTCGAAACAAGAGCTTGATCGATCATCGGAGAGTTCTACTTGGAAATTGCAAAGAGTTTTTTTTCCGGTGTTTTCATCTGGAAACTTTCCTGATCACTTTTTTCCTTGTGGAGTTCGCGCTGATTTTTTTCTGATTTGTGTCACCGATAACTATCAAAGTTCTGAGAGTTCATGGCTCAAAAGTCTTTTTTTTAATACGAAACAGATTAGGTGGAGATGCTTACTGTGATTTGCGCCCGACCAAGAACGACTTTTCTTCATGCAAGAAGATTACGTTGAACGCAAACAGGCTAAAAACAGTATTTGAAAAAAGGTTTTTTCGATACGCTTGTTTAGAAAGTCAAGTAGAAAACGAAGAGAAACTTCTTCTATTTTAGAACACGTTTAGAGATTGAGTGTATGAATATATGTATGTATGAAGCTAGTGAAAATTTTTTTTTTTACAAAGCTCCAATTTTCTGCTCAAGAGCCTTCAAAATTGGAAAGTTTTCAACTCATTATCAACATTAAACAGGGATAGAAATATTTATTATGTGAATTTTTATTTTTTTTAATCATTTTTTTCTCTTTCTTATAGCTTTCACAGCATAAATACCCAAAAAAGACATTCCCGTTTCAATCAGTTTTGTGAACAATCAACAGAAAATTAGAAAGTTTCATTTGACTTAAATAAGTAACTTTAAAGGTTCACTCTTACAAAAAACATTTTCTATGAATTTTTTTGATTTCTAGTTAGACGTGAATCTTGATGTTCTTGAAGTCTTTTCTGCCACTTTTATCAAGTTCGGAAGCTCTCATCAGAACTTCCTGACAGTGCCCAGGCGTCATATTTGGACCGTCGATCCATACGGTCGATTCTGATTTGTTTCTTCGTCTCTTAATTTCGGAAAAAAAAATTTTGGCTTGAAATAATTTTTTTTTGCGTTGTCAGCGTTAATTTCTTCAAAACTTTGAAACAAAAGAAAACCAGTTCTCAATGTATTATTCCATGATTTCATCATCAATTTTCATCATTTTTGAGATTTTATCTTACATTTCCCTAAAATCCTTGACTTTAGAGTGCAGAAAGCTTTGAGTTCTTTGTATTAGAAACAAAACTCGGACTAAAGTATGCCGTCGTCAGAAAAATATCGTAGAAAAACTTTTTTTGAGGGATAGGCCATTCAATTGAGAAAAAATCTCGCGGGACCCAATTTGGGGCTTTTGTGCGTGTCGAAGAAGCATGAGGATCCGGAAAAGTCGGATCGCCTGAGGGCAAATTGGAGTATTGTCTCTGGGCGGTAGTGGTGTCATCGACCGGAAGCCCAGGCCTTTGATTAGTCCGAGCCCGGTTGGATAACTACCGCTTGGTGGGCAGAAGCCGATCCCACTCCGCCCGCTTCTTGCTCCGCCCCTTGACCGGCCGACAGCTTCTTCACTACGACGTCGCCAGTTTCCTCGGCATCACGATGAACCTTCTCGTGTTTGTAACCGTCTTCTGCTGCCTTTTCGTTGCCGTCTTCACCCAAAAATGTCAGTTTCCCCAGCTTGCCGAAACTTGCTTCATTTACCCTGCTACTCGCTTCGTATCATGTTTCTGAACTGTAATGATTATTTTTTGAGAAGAGCTGTCACAAAATTGTGTGTCACAAAAGAAGTCAGACTTTTATAACGTTCTGCGAACTTCCTTAACACGTTTTCTACAGTAAACGACATCAATTTAAAATTCCCCATGAAATTTTCCACATCAATTTAAGACATCAATTTAAAACTCCCCATGAAATTTTTCCGTTGAAACATAAGAAAAAAACAAAATCTTCAGTGATACGAACTTACGTGAGGCTGCAATAGAAAATCTAGAACTATCATTTAGAATCAAAAAAAGTATCTCTTTCCAAAAAAACTCTGAAGCATCGGTCTGCAAAAAAACTTCGTCAACCTGAATTTTTTTGATCCAAGAACTTTTTTTCGTTAATTTTTTTGGACTTTCATCGTTGAAAGATTTGAATTTATAAACTTTTCAGGAAGACTGAATAAACATAAATATGCCATTGGTTTTGAAAGTTTTGATTTTCACTCCATTTTCACTCTGAAAACCATATGAATTTTAGCGTCTGTGAACAGTTTTTTTACATGGAAAATACTATAGTTTTAAATCTCTGTAAATAAACAAGAGTTTTTTTGAAAAAAATTCGAGAAGTTCTTGCATTTGAAATAAATTCTATGAAAATTCATCCACAAATCCTTTGTAATTCATGCATAGAGTCTTGTGTTTTGGAATCTCGAGAAGACATGTGTCCCAACGATTTTTCAAAGCAAGGTTGAAGGCTTGACATTTTTTTGGAAAAACATCTCCTAGGAAATAAATTTTTGAATGTTTTATGAAAAATAGAAAGCTTCAGAAGATGATATTATTATACAGTACCAAACTTTTTCAGCGAAAGGATCTCCTGAAGTGATGTCGCCTTCGATCTACGACGGAGATGCCAGCCACGACTCCTTGAACAAAGTATCGAGTTTATCCTTTTCATTTCACAAATCACGGTTCCAGATCTCAACTCAACTGCTGAGTGTTTTGGCGGAAATTGAAGAAATGCAAGACGGTTGGTTTTTTCTCATTTTCCTATTTCTGAAATCACGGTTTTTAGGTAACCAACAATTCAAGATGGCAGAAAAGCGACGCAACAAGTTCGAATTCATCCGTTTTGGTCGGAAGTGAGAGGCTACCGCTCAGTGAAGCCCCACACCAGTTATTTATCGCTGCTTTTATGAAATTGTGATAGCCATGACTTCAATAAAAAAGAGAAATGTGGCTTGAGCTTTTTTTTGCAAGGCATACCATTGAAAATATATCATTGCAATGGGGGAAAATTGTATAGATAAAACACAGGGAGAATGAACTAGACCTTTTTTGTGTTACAGAGAATTTTGCGAATTTTTAGAAACAACTGAAAAAATTTGGTCACCTGTGCCTTAAACTAATAAAAAAATAAAAAGAAACTACTAAGAAGAACCTCAAATAAGAGCATTTTCAGATACATGCTTGGAAAATTCTCCCCTTCTATCGTAGATTTTTGCACTTGAACTGAAAGGAGAACCAAGAAAATGTTTTTGCAACCTGGGGTCCAACCTTTTTAAGAATATTTGCGCAAATCTGGCACCAATAACCTTCTGCATCTTTTTTTTTGGTAGTTATGTGAAGGGTATCAGAAGATATTGAGAAGAGCCTGAAGTTTGACATCACTGTTTACGAAAACTTACGAAATGAGTCCACTGAGACGGCTCCAAAGGAAAACAACGTTCCGCCAGAATTTCTACAAATCAGAACACCAAGATTGAAAACTGTTTTTGCTGTCAGTTTTGACAGAAAAAAAACTAGAAAATCAGGTATTATAAGTTAATTTCTTCACAATTTTGCGTAGAAAACGTTTAAATCTGTACACTGCAGAGGTTGTCTGAAATTTGGGGAATTATTCAGAAATAATATATAAAATATAATTTTTGAGCTCTTATATCAATCACTTGGCAGATAACTTTCTTTTTTTCGTAATTCCACCAAAAAAGTTCGAAATCGCGGTTTAGAGAAAATGAACAAGAAGCAAAACAACAATGAGACGCAATCCATGAAAATTTGTCGTTTTCTACCGTATCCATGCTGACATATGAGCCCATTACAACTTTGGAGATAAAAGCCCAATTTGAGGCAAATGATGAAGGGCTTCCATTGGACAAAACATTTGCAGAACGAATGGACCGGCAGCTCATGACAAATGACTCGGACGAAATAAGACGATGATGCGATGCTGAAAGCTCACTTGGGACCTTCAAAAATACCCGATTATTCTTCCACTGTGTTCGCTTTCTTGAAGTTACATCAAACACCGGATCCAGTGTAAAAAAGAAGAAAGTTGATAGGTTCTATCAAACTTTGGATATAAAATGAGCAACATTTGAATCAAATCCAATTATAAGTGTTTTCCAAAACTGATCATTCAGAAAGCTTTTTCTGATGACCTTGTGAAAACGCGTTCCCACTGTAGTGAAGAGACGGAGTAATTAAATTAAAAAAACTAGGAGAAGGAGAAAAATTATAAAATAAAAAAAGATAATAATTTAACTTAATTCAAATAAGAGTCAAAATAGGCGCGGAGTGAAAGTATGAATTGAATAAGAATTTTAAAAAAAAGTTTTGAAGCAAAGGAGTGACTAATACTAGTAAAAGAAATAAGTTAAAAAAAAAAAAAGGAGAAAGGAGATCAAAAGAACAAAATTTAGGAGTTACTGGTCAAATCGAGCGGCAAGTGTACAGGGACACTGCTGAGGGCGGGAGAAAACACGCCATGACGCACTACGCAACTCGCTGGCGGATTCTTGTGGCCTAAATTGTCTCTCGGCGGCGGGCTCGGTCGTTTCTTCTGGCTATCCCAAAATCGGGGATGATTTAGCCTTTCTTTGTATTTTGTTTGCATAACCTGGTTTTATTTGTCTGTTTGTTAAATTAACTTGCCAAAGGAGTAAAAGTTTTTATACACAAATGTTATAAGATCCTACCCAAAAGAGTAATTCACCGGGAAATATTTTGTGATAATCTTGTTGTCGTCCTCAGAAGTCAGCTTGTATCATCTGGAGATCGAACCTCGGCTTTCCACGCCGACGAGTCCACACTAACAAAAAAAACTAGCTAACTGTGAAGTAAACGATTTATGAATAAAAACTGAATAAAACACATGAGAAAAGGACGGGATAAAACGTATCATGTTGAAAACTATCACGGGAATACCTAAACTCGGATTAAAAGTGGGGAAAATGTGAAATATCATTCTTACAAGGGGAAAACCCGATTGAATAGGACAAATAAACCACTCGATAACTCGTAATGTACAGAAATTTGGGAACTGGAGCGATTGGTTATTTAAAGCACAAAGGGTACGGCATTGATCGGATTTGGAACAAGTAGCCTAAGTTTGAGACTCGGAATGATGAGTTACAAAAAAAAAGAATTTATTTAGGAAAAAAAAGAATGGGAATAAATGGGCATTAATCGTTTTCGATTTTTTCTTGGTCCTTGTCTTCCTCCGTCTCCTTTTCACCTTCAACGTTGTCAATTTTTTCAAAACCTTCGTCTTCAAGTTTGTTCTCGCTGGTCGTCTCTACCGATGGTTTTTCCACGTTTTTCTCTTCAGGGGTGCCGTTACTTTTGTTAGACGCGGAGCTATCTTTCTGAAAAATGTTTAAAGTTTGAAAATGTTGTAATATTTCTGCAATCACAATATCTAACCTTTTCGCTTTTAAAAGGCAATCAGAAGATCATTACTTTATTTCAAAATTTTTTTTCTAATTTTTTTTGGCCTTCTACTAGATGATGTCATGTTTTTCCTCAATTTCACTGAGGAGGAAATGGATCAAGGTTTATAAAAAAAACAGGAAGGACAGGCCAAGAAAAAAGATGCAAGAGACAAAAGCTTGAAAACGTTCACAATTTTCCTTCTTGCTTCAAAACTTTTTGGTGACTTTTCATCTGTTTCCACAAATAGATGTATTCATGTTGGCTATTTTCAACTCTAAAAATTTTCAAACGTCTTACCGAGTGGTCTGGACGACGTCTGACACTGGCTGCAGTAGCTTTAGGTGTGCTGGTTTCGGAAGACGGGGCGGAAGATGTGCGGTTCATAGCGCGACAGTAAAGGCACATCCACTGCTGACCTCGCTTGTATTCGCCCTCGAAGATCATCCCGTTATGAGCTCCACATCTTTGACACAGCAGCGCTATCCTGCAAAGAGAAGGTTTTGACTGAGGTCTGAGTAAAGCCAATTTTAGAAAGTTTTTTTTAAATAGCAGCGTTGCGAAAAGGTTATGTTCTTGGTTCAAAAAGTCAAAAGCTCGATCTCCGCCAACGACAAGGTTCGAAGAAGGTTGAAGAAGGAAAACCACGGCTTCAGAATCCTCAGCCGTCACACACACAAGGACGGATATTTCACTAGAGTATATCCACTGGTTACCACTGGTACCAGGAGACGACCTCGGCTAATCGACTTGGAACGCCGACGACGCTCAAACGGTACAGACGCGTAAGCATTAGAAGAAGAAAAAAACATTTTTTTAAATGACCTTCCGCGTTGTCTTGACTTTTGAAGTTTCTGGCTCATTTTTCATAGGAGAAACGTTATTCGTTTACATACTTGTTTTCAGGTCCGTCAGTTGTGAAAAAGTCAATTAGGCGGTCGAAGACTCCTTGCGGGACTTGCTTGCTGGGATCGACAGGGCGCGCCTGTTGCAAGATGGGCTTGATGACTGGACGCGGCTGCAAAAATTTCCGTGTTGTTTTTTGGTGCAAAAGATCGAAGATCGATGTTCGTGTTTTTTCCTCTGACGTTTGGATCAAACTCTTACGTGAGGCGCCAAAAGATCGCTGAAACTCTCTCTCTAACCTACACTATTTCGTCGTTTTCAAGCAGCTTGATAACGACGAAATAGTGTGTCGATCTTCTGGCGCCCCATAGAGAAGTTATCACGAAAAATATTTTTTGAAAGACACCAGTTTCTGCAATTTCCTCCGTTGAAAATAAAAAATAACCCTGGCCACTGGAGTGTTCTGCGTTTGAGCGACCGGTTTCGAAGTCGAAACGTCTGGTTTTGGAGTTTCCAGTTTGGTGACCGGTGGCACAAAAGGTTTCGGCTGGATGATTCGAGTGGGACCTGGAAGAACGTCTTTTCTGTACCAATTTTCGACGTTTGAGAAACTTTCATTGTGAAAAGTAACTTTAGATGCTTGTAACACAAAAATTCTGATTTTCCTCACTAAAAAGAGATTACCTGGAGTCAATCTAACCGGCTTCTCGTGGATGACTCTGTTCAAAAGAACGGGCGGTGGAGCCATGGAACCGTCTCGGTAAGGCGTTGGAGCAACTACGATCGATTTCGTCTCGTCGGTGTACCGTTCCAGAATAGTTTGCGCTTCCTGTAAATGGAAAAAGCTTTTGAAGAAAGACGAAAAGAAAACATACTCTGAACGGCATCGTATCGCGAACGCGTTCCAAGACTTCTTCTTTCCTGGTTCTTGCGTTCTCCAGACGCTGTGAGAAAAAGTTGAAAATTGCGACATAAGGAGAAATAAACCTGCGTTGCGACAGAAGATCTCCAGCGGAAGAATGAACGGATAACGTATATTCCAAAGGCGATGATGGCGATCGTGGCGAAAGTGGCGGCACCGATCACGAATAACTGTAAATTTTAAAAGTCGGAAAATTAGATACTTAGAAAATTAATTTATGATATTTATTTTTTCAACTTTATTCAACAATATTCAACAATAACTCAAAAAAAAAAATTAAAAATCATGGAAGAATCGCAGTTGTTCAAATGAATTATATCGCATTTCTCGAAGTTTTTTACACGTCTCTGGAAATCAGAAAACTCACATTAGTTGGATGGTCGTAGGCAATCCAAGAATGAGCTGAGAAAATGGTACCAAGAATGAAAATGAAAAGGGCATAGCCAAACATCAAACTTGAGCGTCTCTGAAAATCAAACATTTCTAACCTTTATTCACTCGTTTAGTCAACCTGGTCGAGACTGGCAATGTGTTCCTTGTGATAATGTATCTCAGTGCAAATTTGCTGCAACTCAGTGGACGGCGCCGTTTTTTTCGAAAACCAGGATCCCATCTTTTTCTGTAAAAAAATGATATTATAATGAACGATGATCATTTGGAAGGCGATTTCATGATTGAGAAATTTTTCTGAAAAAAACGATGGCGAAATTCTTCAATAAAATATAAATTCTAGAAACTTTAATTTTTGCAAGAATCGAAAAAAAATATCATGCAGTTTTTAAAAATTTGGAAGAGGAAAAATTATTTTTACTAGTATGTAAAAAGGAGGCGATATGAATATAGACAAAAGCAGAGCCAGAACTGTCAAAGTTGCATAAAACACACGTCATTGTGGTCAATTAAGCAAGAAAAAAAAGAAAAACAAGTTTGTCAACAAGTGTACGTGTTCAAACAACTTTCAGAGACGGCAGTGCAGTGGAGCGCGTTTTCCTCTTCTTCTTTTTAGGCGGGCCGTACGCTTGAATTCGAATAGAAAAATGAATTAAAATAAGATATTCAATGGATGATTTCAAAAATTTTTTTGGAGATTCAGGGCGAGATGTCTTTGGGAGAATTGACAATTAAGAATAATTGAACATAATTCAATTTTATAGCGAGTGAACAATAAACGGAAAAAAAAAACAAGAAACGCTGCTTTTGAAATAGAAAACTTTGAAGAAAAAGGAAAGAAAAAAATAAAAAACCAAAAAAAAAGAGAAGAAATGAATTGTTGGCGAATGGGAAGGATAACTTGAAGGCGTCATTGGCCTCTACGCAGTGATTTTCGCGGGCAGATCATTTTTGCGCTGGAGCAAAAATACACTTTTTCATAACTAAAAAAACGAGATGAGAATGTCTCTGCTGAAATTTCTGTAGTTGTACTCTACTCAAGTTGAGTTGGATGGCCGTTTTCAGCGTTATTCCAAGTTAGCTTGAAAAAAGAGATTTCAAATTTTGAAGTTATTATCGTTGTTGGAAAAATTCTGCAGAAAGTTGTTCAAGGTTTTTTCTCTATGATTTTTTGAGAACCAGATGATAAAATACTTTCAAATGAGAAAAATTATTGAAAATAAACATCATAATTTTTCGTTTTTTTGTTCTTCGAATGTTTTTTTCAATCGAGGGAGAGATCAAGTGATTATTTATAACAATACTCGGTAGCATGTCATGTGTTTTTTATTTTTCATTTTTTGCGAGAAAGGCAAGAACTCCTTATCTTCCAAAAAAAGGTGACTATTTTCAAACGCTCGAAATTGGAATTTTCAGCACAGAATTTACCATTCGCTCAGAGAAAACTGAAAAATCAGTTTCATAGTTTTTTTCTTAACATTTGCAACGTGATTAAAAATTCACTGGATTTCAAAGTGTCATTTTTTTCAATTCCCTTTATGATTTCATTTTAATTATAAAGTTCCTTGACACTGTGATGAACAATGTTGAAAAAGTTTCAAGGCAAAACAATTTTGCGTGTTCTAAAATCCGCTGAAGTTAAAATCCATGTATTATTTTTAAACGAACCAAAGAATCGTACCTTTCAAAAATGTCGTTTCTTTTTTTTTCCCAATGAGTTCTTTTCTAGGAAGAACAACATGACAAACATTTCGAAAATTTTGTACGATTCGCTGATCGGATCGCTTCAATCCCCGATCTATCAAGTGGGCGCCACGCTTCTTATTTGGAAAGTGTCACAATGCGATTCCGAGCAACAGCCCCTTTTGCGCCGACTGTCGGCTCACAAAGTTCCCAACTCGAACGAGTCCGTCCGGCTACGCGCTCTGTGAAATTTTTCGACCGCAGAGTACTGTAGCCATGAAGCTTTTGCTTCTGTTATTTTTATCAGGTTCCTGTTCCATTTTTTGTTTTTAATAAAATAAGTTTGTAAAAAAATTCCTAGAACGCGTTAAGAATTCGAAAATTCAACATTTTGCGGTTACTTCGAATCAGGAAAATGTATTTTTTCTCCGTGAGATTGTTTTATTTTAAATAATTGGTGAAAAAAAAATTTTTTTCTTAAGTTTTTTTGTTCTCGTTTCCTGAGGCAAAATGTGTACAACTATCATTATTTTTAAATTTTATCTTCCCCAAATGATTTTTTTCCAATTTTTTTCATGTTTTAATAAAATTTTTTTGATGAATCGAAATTTTTTTAGAAAAATAACAATTTTTGAGCTTTGAAAGATAATTTACGTCAAAAATGTCTTCCCCTTTAAAATTTTTCTTCAAAAAAAATAAAAAAATAAATGATTCTATTAATTACAGCGGCTCCTATGAATAAAATTATGAACATAGTACGAAAATCATTGTTTTGAATTCTTTTTGAAATTTTTTTGACGTAGGGAAAAAAAATTTTTTTGAAATTTATAGGATCTATTTTTCATTTTTTCAGCGATCCCCACTGCCTTCACAAAAATGTGCAGATCACCAGTTTATTGGCTGCATGTTGCGGTTGAAGGCGCAGCGAGTTCCTGTAGAAAAAAACATCATGAGTCTGGTGTTCAGTATCGGCACTGAAGCTCGGCTGCTCCACACTTGCAAGTTCGAACTCGAATCTTATCGCATTGCGGATTTCCTTCCAGAGTCTATTCCTCAACTCTTCCTTGTTTCCAAGAGAAGATTTCGGAATGTGGAGATGACAAACAGCGTCGACTTCTGGCGGAAGTTTCCAAGATGATTATGTTCATGTGCTCTCCTTTCAGCTTGCAGAGACAGAGGTGAGAAATCACAAGAAACTACTTTTTTACAAGCTCTTTGTTTTCTTTTTTCACTAAATTTTCGAGATTCTCTATTCACTGTTTGCAGTTCCCCTAAACAGCTTGATTGACAAACATAATGGGAAAAAATTGCTGTTCTGGAATTTAAGACCTTGAAGTACCATGAAGAGGTTACCTAATACGTTTTCTTTGTAAGCTGATCTTTCTCGAATTTTCGCGACTTTTTTTGTTTAATACTCGATTTCTAGTCAAAAAAAGTCTTTTTTTTTCGTAAATTTGGAAGTTCGCTTTTTGAACTGCGTTGAAAAAATTGAGTTAGCGGAACTGAGCACTCGTGTGACTGTAACAATTAGACTTTCGTGACGAGCCGAACGGTCAGGGACAATGGCCGTATTGACCGGCCAACAGTGTTTTGGTGAGGTCTGAAATGAATGTTCGAAACGAGCATTAGAAGGTTTCTTTGTGCACGTGACGCGCGAATTACACGCACTTCACGAGAAGTTTGCCCTGCAGCTTATGCTCTGAAACTGGAGACAATCTTGGTGGCCAGGATAGAATAAAAAGAGTTTTTTTGGAAATTGAAAAAAACTCGAAAATTTTTTTAGCTTTATTCATTCGATTTCGAACTGGGAAGAACATCTAGCAGTGTTTTGTAATTCTTTTGAAATATTGAATTAACATCATCAGATGTGATGAGAAAGCCTTTAAAAAAAGCTAGGCTACATATCAATCATAGTCCTTTTAAACAGACCTTATGAATGAATAGTAAACTTAGCCCAACGACTCTAAAAAAATTTAAAAAAATTGAAAAAAATTCGATTCGCATTCTCTTCACGAACATTTAAGTTAGAGTTTTTTTAGAGTTTTTTTGTGATCGCTTTTTAGATTTCAAACAATTTTTGCGCATTTTTAACGACTTTCATGGAGAGATCTGACAACCTTGTCAAAATTTTTTGGTTATATTTCACGAAACAAGAACCAGATATGAAAATGGGGAAGGCGCTCAACATGCGGAAGTCAGCTTTCGAGAGGTGTCAATTCAAACAAATGGATGTGTCCACTTGAGCGGCTACTTTTTTATGGTCCTTTTGACACCTAGCGCGCCGAACGTGGCGAGAAATTTTCTGTGAAGAAACGAAGGGAAACTCCCAAGGAAGGCTTGATGCTAGGAGAGTATTAGCTGTAATTTTATCGCTTAACTGACATAATTTTTTTTATTTTTATTGCATTATGACGTATTATTTGAAGTGATTTTTTTAATTCACTGAAAGGATAGCAAAGAATATATCGATTGTTTTTGGAATTAAAACCTGGCTACAAGGCTTTCAAAAAGAAAACTGTCTTTGTATTCGATTCCCCTTTTGAATTTTTTTTTTCATCTCTCTTCATCTTATCTATTAATTGAAACTTTGAGGTCGCTGATCGCTAATCAGCAGTGTATAAATTCCGTTCTCTCCATACCGGCCACAACCGGATGTGCGCTGAACGAACACGAAAATGGGCTGAAAGTTCTACAGTGCAAGTGAGCTTTTTCCCGTATTCTTTACAAAACAATCAGTTCAGAAAGAAATGTTCTTCTCGGGGGTCAGACTTCATCTGTATGATGCGAACCTGGATATCAGAACAAAATACCTGCACTTTACGGGATATTCAAAGTTAGCGGTCATTTTACTTTGCATTCTGTGATTCCATGAGGACCTTTTTCTAGAAATTTTCAAACTTGATAAGACCCTGAAGTGGAAAAAAACAACTTATGGTGGTTTTTATTTTTTTATTTTTCCGACTTTTGAGCAAGTGAGAAACGAAATGAGAAAAATCTCAAAGTTTCAACTATACTTAAAAAAATGTCTTGTTCTCAGCGAAATGCGGAGACCAAGCTGCGAACCTCTACGAGGAAATGCAAACGACCGTTTTCGACCCTCAGTTTCCAGTTATTTGTAACTACGACAAAGGTAGCTTAAGCGTATGAAAATGCAAGAAGGGTAAATTAAGAGAGCAATATCACGACAGAAACTCCAGCCACTGACAACATTGTTAACAATCAGCTTAACAGTGTTTATATGAAACCGGTGAGAAGCTCTATTTTATAGAAATTCAAACTTGGCATTTCAGCCTCGAGTCGAGGTTCCTGACTTTGAACCTGTGAAGCCAGAAAGCCGTATTCAACAAAACTTCCCTTCTGAAGCAACGACTCTCACGAAAAACCGAATAACAACGACCCAGACATCGACGTCGGCTCCTATGACTGCAGTTTTCACTAGTAGGATGCCGATTCCGCAAGCTCGACCTGCTGCTGCTCTGCCGCCTGTGCCGGTTTACAACTATCGAACTCCGGCCATCGTTCTGCCTTCGAAGAGAATCACAGAACAAGAGTCCCTCACCAGCCCATTTATAGCTACTGATCTCCCCACCGTCTGGACCAAAAGGCCAAATTCACAAAAGGCGCAGTATAACAAGGAGTTTTGGTATCAAAAAACTTCAGGTTGGTGTTCTGACAAAATTTATGTGCGTTATTTGAGGAATTCTTTTTTTTCTAAAAATTTTCATAAGAAAATTTTTTAGATTAAGATATAGCTAATCTTTGTACATGATACAATTCGAAGTCGATCTTTTTTTATAGAAAACGTTTTTCACCACGCAACATCCTCTTTTCACTACAACAGTACCTGGAGCCACGCCAAGAACTCGAAAAGTATTTTTATTTACATTAAAGCTTCTGATATAATATACTTTCAGGTCATTGACATTTTGAAAAGTTTGTTACCCGCTAACCTTCCTTCAAAGCTGACTTCTTTACTGGAAAACAGCTTGGACCGGGAGAATTTCAATCCGGACCTTCTGAATTTCAACACTCCTACTGTTGACTTCTCATCGTTAGGTTACACTCAACCTACTGAACGAGGTTAATTACTTTTTCTGTTTCCGACATGTTCCAAAAAGAACTGACAAAAAACATCATTTAACGGATTCAAAATGGAATGTTTCTAAAAGACGTTTGAAAAATCGAATGAAGCTTTTTTTGAACACGTATCCTGTTTACTGAGCGCTGTATTATCAATTTAAAAGACCAAGCAAAAGTTGTGAGCTCTTTCTGAAAACTTTTAAAAATGTTTTAGAGATTAGACGTTTCAAAAAAAAACATCAGAAAACTTATGAAGAACGTTTTTTCAAATTCTTACAATGAGGAAAGTTATTTACTTCTGGCATAGAATAGAAATAGAAAATCAACTAAGAGTTTATTATAGTGAGCTATGTGACAGCTTCGCCGAGCTCAAGGACCACGACGGCTTTGACCATTCGCCAGTCTGAAACCCCGTCCACAACGACGAAGAAATGGAAACCTTGGTACCTGGAAGGCGAAAAAAAATGATTTATTTTTGCCCGCATTTATTTTAATTTCATTCAAATTTTCACTTAAAACCTTACAGTTGCTAATTTTTTTTCAACTTCACGCCTATTTATGTTTCCTTGATTCTGTGATGTGTGTTCGAAGAACGTTGTAACCAAATCTGATCTCCTCAACCTTTTTCTTTGCTTCAATCTTCAGCGAAAAAAATGGATAAATAAGTTATCAAGTTCATCGAGATCAATGTAAAACATGGAGAAAAAGAAAGTAGGATGTGCAAATTTGTCTATTAGTGTATAATTGAAAGTAGAACGGGATTATGTACATCTCACAACCAAACGAATTGGATCGATCAACAAAATAAATATTGAAAAATAAGGAACTTCTGAGGCTCATTTGAAAATATCACCCAAAATAGTGGAATAGAATCTCAAGACAAAATTCAGAGAGCATGACACGAATATGGAGTGTAAAAATAAAGAAGTTTGGTATTTATTAGACTGTGAACAAGTGATAACGCCTAGAGTTGAAATATATTTTTTTTTGAATTTCAAAAGGCTAAAAATAAATCTGTACACAGAGGTACGGCGAGGAAAAAGGCGAAACACCATAATTTCTGAAAAACAACGGTTTTCGTGCAGACTAGCGGGGTTAAAAGCAAGTTTAATACACATGTACACTTCGAAAAGTAATATAAAATCTCTCAAATCAAAAATGGCCCTCATCGAGCTGAAAGAGTTTTCATTGGAGTACTGAAAGCTAAACAATATTTCATGTAGGCGCTCCTCTCGTCGAGATATCGGTTGCAGTTGTAAATGACGACGACGAACCACAGTTCCAGAGCCAAGCAGATGGCGTAGATCACCAATATCGAGTATATCCGGACCATCGTTCCTGAAATCGATACGAATACTCGACAAAAATTTTAAGAAAAACAAAGAATTCGTGCCAGATAAATTTTTGAAGGGTATATTTATTTCGCATTAGAATAGATTTTATAGCGAGAGCTTGCATTGGCAGCATGCCACAGTTATCTCAGTTTTTTATATCGAAAGATCAAAACAGAAAACCTGTATCCAAAGCGACAGTATTGTTCGAAGGATGTTCCATAAAAGGCGCAGCATTTATCAACCGATAAAAGACGGCAGAATCTGTGCTCACGGCTATCGCGCCACTGACCAGTACCAATATGAAACACAAAATCGCTACCACCTGAAAAAAAAACATCTCATTTTCTGTTTTTCTATTTCAAGTTACCTGCATCACTATATGAGGAACTACTAAAAGAGCCGAATTCCTAGAAAGCGCGACGAAAAGAAGAAAAACAGCTAGAGTACCAGCTGCTAATCCGATCATTTCAGCTAAGAAGGATCCGAATACGTAATTTTCCTTGACTCCTCTGGCCTGAAATTGAAAACGTTAAGCTCCGCGAAAAAAAATGAAGCAAAAGATTTCAAAACTCGAGAAATGTTAACCGTCGAGTTTATTTTTAAATTTTTTGGATTTTCAGGATAGTCTAGATAAAAAAAGATGGAAGAAACGAGAAAAATCGTTTTATTTTTTTCAAACTTGAAAAAAAACTTGTCTTATGCTGTAGATGAACATCTTCAAGATTCCTCGCAGCAAAAAGACCATTTTTGAAATTGCAAGCTTCAAAGTCCCTTTTTTTAACTTGGATTTAATTGCAGGGAATCGCGAATTCCGACTAGAACAATTTTCTCAGTAAAAGTTTTTTACTTCTTGGAAAAGCTCATTTCTTTTTGTTTTCGGAGAAGATTTTTATGATACTCTGAGTATCTTCGCTTCAGCTAGAATTCCCCCAAGTCCCGAGTATGATTTAAGCCTTCGTTTATGATTTTGAGCACATTCTACGAAATGTCCACATTTGTATTTTTAGGCTTTTATTTCTGTTAAAAGGGACACAATTTTCTATGACTCGGAATTGGGAGCCTCACGTTATGCACAGTTCTCCAACTTCTCAAACAGCCTTTAAAGATAATTATTTTTCATCTTATCACAACAGAAAAAAAATTTCAGTCAAACCTCGGAAATGTTCTATTATTCATTCCAGACACTTTCCAAAAAAATTTGGAAAAAAAATGAAAAAAACACCATCTTCTTTTAATCCGAGCTCCTAAGTTCATATTTTCCAATCAACTCTGAAACAAACCTCCTGAAGGCGTCCGTCGTGTTGAAAGTAGACGAATAAAGAGTGGACGAGAAAGAAAAGGATCATTATGATGTGAACACATCCGATGATGAATGCACCCGTCTTCACGTGAAAACAGTTGCAAAGACATCTGTACTCGTCCGAACTTTCATCAAACTGTATTGATCGTGGAACCTAAAATTCTTTTTTACTATGTGAGATGGTAAAAAGGTTGAAGGGGCTTCTGATCGATTTTAGCAATTTTTTAGTAATATTTTAAAATTTTTTTTTCTCATTAAAACCCAGATCATGATTCTTCAAAGTACACATACAGAGACGTGAGAATTAAGCTTTTGAATAACATCTTATTACAAAACTATTAATTTCGAAAAAGGATTTACGTGACAAAAAAATTAACGCGTAACTCTTCGCTTCTTCGAAGACTATAAAAGAGAAACTAACATGATCGACGGATCCATTTTCTTGACGATTATTACGAATGAGTACTGAACGGACGGCGCGTCCGTTCATCATCGTGTGGACTTGACCTTCTATCCAGACCTTAATAAAACCGTCAAACAATTTCAAACATTGAAAAAAACGATCACGATATTAGCCATGAACACGAGAACATTGATAAGCTGTCAGAAAGCGTTTTTTGTGACTTATGCTTTGAAAAAATCAACAAAATCTCAAGAAAAAAATTGACCAAGCAGAGCTGTTTATACATAATGATCATACCAGAGGCTGCTTCTTTTCATTTGCACAGATAAAGTGAAGTCATTTCTAATCACAAAAACGAACGTTATCACTAGAAAAGCAAATTTTCGATTTCGGCATTTATCCTCACACCTGAAAAAACTTCAAAATGTTTAGGCTGAAACCAAAAGGTTTCTATTGACCGGTGGTTAAATTGAATCAACATTAGAAAGGTTTTTTTGCCGCTTCTATCTTAAAGCCAAAAATGTTAGACCTAAAGTTGATGCTCTATGAACTCTGTGGAGAAATTTTGAATTTGAGCCTTTTCATAGCGTCATAGCTCGACTAGAAAGCGCATGAAAAAACATTTGTTATCTGTTATCAGAAGAATATTTCTGCAAGTTTCAATCCATCCATCAATTGACTACGAAAAAATTTTTTTTTATTGAGAGAAAGCTTGAGAAGCAATGAAGTTACAATAAGATTTTTTCCCCAAGTTTTCAAAGCTGCAAGCACAAATTTTCTAGAAATCTTTCAAACGAAGTTTTATCAAAATTAGATAACGTCTAACTCGTTTTGGCTCTAGACAGTTAAATTTTGAGAATTAGCTTTTTTTCTCTATGAAGTAGTTTTCGACCGTAAACGCGTAAGAATCCGGAGCTTGAAATAATCTTCAATTGCTTCGAAGGATTTTGTCAATTTTTTGATGAATAGAAACTATTGGGATCGAAATGGCGGGTAAAGCTAACTATCTCCTTAGGGGGACTTTGAAATTTACCTTTTATGGATCATTATTAAATATCAAGTTACAAGTAAGAAAAATGAGACTAAAAAGCAAAAAAATTGGTATTTTCACAGGATTGTTCACCCTCAATTTATTCTCAATTTAAAGCGACCAAATCACGAACAAGATAAACTCAATTTTGCCAATATTACAAGGAAGCTGAACAACGCGGACGGAAGCAACAAAACAAGAAAAAAGAAAAAAAGCGAAAAAGGGACAAAATTTGAGTTGCCGATTTGGGCCACTCACAACAACAGCTGGCTTTTCGGTCGGATGCTCCACATCTTCCATATTTTCGGGGTTTCTTTAAGTTTTCAGTTCATTTATTCAATCCAATTTTCTAGTAGTTAACTTTTAAATTTTTTGACAGGTTGATAAAACGCGGAAAAATTACTATGAAATGAGAAAAAACCTAGGAATTTTCAAAGAGATAAGTTCATATTAAAAATGATTTCAGTATTTTCGGAACTTGCAAAATATCGTTGAAACTGAAAATGAGCTTAAATATGAGATTCACAGCTTTGTTTGCGTTCTGTTGCATGATCTTCAATTAGACGGGTCAAAAAACATAAAATATACAGAAAAAGAGATTTCGCATGGAAGTTTATGAAAAAAATTCGGAGGAAACATGTGAGTAAAAAAAAAAGAAATAAAAAAATGAGTGAAACTAATATCGGTTGCGAAGCAAAGAAGTTGAATGAAGGTTGGGAAAAAAATGTTGAGTCTTCAAATGATAGGCCAAAAATTATGTGAAAATAATTAATATAGCGAGGTGAAAAAAAAAAATATGCGTAAAACTTCAGAAAATACTTTCAAAACAACCTCTACAGACAAAGAAGAAGACGACGAGATGCAATTTAAAAACGGAATTCGAACAAAACTAATTTCGGCGCAAGCTCAGAAGAAGAAGAAGGCTTGTAAGGGGGAGTCGGAGCGGGCAGAGTGCCAGCAGCTGAGAAGAACTGCCGCTCACACTCACGGAAAAGCTCACCAAACGGAGAGCTCAAAAACAACACGCCGAATATGCATGGCGACTTGATATCGATCAGAAGCACCGGTGGTCGGTCAAATTTTCGTTCATTGTAGGCTTGAGCCGGACGGAAGGAGCAAGCGCCGTGCTGGCACATCGCCAAATTGCTTCTCGTCCCTTTCCTCCCTAATTTTGCACCTGCTCTCTCATTTCGGTCCTACCGCGCTTATTAATTTTGTTCTTTCTGAAGGCAGCAAAATTATGGCTTGAAACCTAGACTCAAAAAAAGAAAATTTACAAAAAAGATTAAAAAAGTAGAAAATTCCCGTAAAATAACATATTTCATTAAGAAACATTTTTTGGCTGTGTTTTGGTGTTATTTGTATGATTTTATTTGCAAAAATAAACTCTGAATGAAAAAAAAAATTCAAGTTTTCCTCCTCCTTCCTATTTATGCAGAAACTACAGAAAGAAGTTTTTATAAATGAACCCATTTATAGTCATTTCAAAATCAAAGGGCTGCATCTCACCATAAAATCTTTCCAAATCGTTGAGAAAAATTTGGGGGAATTGAAAAGTTCTTTGAGAGTTATATTCTCCGCTCGAAAACAAGCTTATTTCGAATTGAATCACTTTTATTAGAGCAATTTTATTTTCATGGTGATGGAAGAGAGACATTTGATATTCCTGGCAATCATCTTATTATTTTCCCATCAAAGTAATGCGCAAAACAAATACGAAAAAGAGAAATGCTTCCATGGCCAACGGTACGAAATGGAAGGAGGCGAGAGGTGAAAGGTGCACGAACATACGTTTGCGCGGCTATGAATAGGCAAACACGGCCTGGGGTCGGCAAGTCACAGCCCAAAGTCTATACTTTTGTCATGACTTTTCGAAATGATGTTCTAATGTAGAAGTTCAGAAAAAATAAACCTTGAAATTGAAGCAATCCAGTCTATTTTTCGAACAGACAACAAACTTGCGTAAGTTGTAAAATTTCAAAGGAATATCGGCATTTTAACACATTTTTTTTTCTAAAAAAGAGAGGTAATTAATCATGGGTTGATTAAAACGAAATGCTTTGAATAAGTCCAGAAATCAGAAGGAAAAACGGAAAAATGAAGAATAGCGTCGAAAATTCACACGTACAAGCACTGATGATCCATTACACTTCCAAAGGGATTGTATTGTCCAGGCTTTCCCGAATTTGGTTATGACTTATATTTTTGAACCTCGCAGTCTTTGAGAATAACAACAATGAGAATAAATCGAAAAAAAAAAAATGCAATTTTCGTTTTGGCAACGAAACAACTAGCAGCAGCAGCGACCCAAAAACTCTTTTGTCTCTAACTTCATTTTCTTCACAACTTGCGTTTTCGGCTCATTTCGAGATCAAAAAGTCGAGTAAAAATGCGTTGCGAGACAATTGGATTACATTCTTTCTTTTTGAACAATCAAAAAAATTAAAGTTTTATAAGATAATAATTTTTTTGAATTTCAAGTTTCCTTCCGAGAGTTTCAAATAATGAGGTTCTGGGATATTTCCAAGCTCATTAACTTCGAAATTAGAAGAGTTAAAAAAATCCCTTTTGAGTAAAACCAATAAAAAAAAGAGTATTTTTGTAGCAATGGCGTGAGATGACTGAGCTCAAAGTGCCCATAAAATTACAAATAACGCATTTTTCGAAGATTTTGGGCTTCAAAGCCTTTCTGGAAAGCTCACAAACAGTAGCCGACTTCGAAAGCAAATTATTGACAACTGCGTGTGGAGAGTGAAAATCCGATTTGACGTCAAGTGGCTCATGCAGCGACTTTTGCGACTTCGGAAGAAAATCTTCCATCCACGCCCATGAAGTGCAACCTAAAATTTGGTTCGAATCCAAATTGCAGGAGTAAATAAATGGCGAAAAAGCCGAGGAGCTGACAATTTGCTTCAAAATGGCGGTCCTTGAAAGCTCTTGGGCAACGTTATTGTGCCATTTCCCGTCATTCAACGTCCTCAATTACTACTCTCCGCTGTTTCAAAACCCCTCTTTTTGCCTTTTTGTCCAAACATAAGAGATGATAAGAAAAAGGCACGAATTTTGTACTTGAGTGAAAAAATTATAGTTTTCGTTGCTCTGTACATTTCGGGACCTTCTTTTGATGTCTGCCAAAAACGGCTAAAAATTGCAATTGATAAACGAAAATCAAAACATTTCAAAAAATTGAACAAGATTCTGATCCAAATTATTTTTCGAAATTCAGCATTTCACTGAACGAATGAAAAATGGGATTCGTGGAAGGAGAAACAAGTTCAAGGAAAGTCAAGGTGTGGCACGTTATTAATATTCCAAACGGCCAACAGTTTAGAGAAGCGGAGACCAGATTCGTTATCGGAAATACTGTGCTAAGAGGTTGAATCTCATGTAATGGTTGTAAGGAGTAGTAAGAGCCTTGAGAAGCTTTTTTTCTTTTCTATTTTCATGCTCCAGGGTGAAAGGTAGCGCATCGCGCGGATCAGATTTGGTCGGGGCACAGAACAAATTTCACATGATCCTTCGACGACATACTCTCCTGCGAACCAAGCTATCTGGTGTTTCTTCATATATCGTTATCACAAAAAGGATAAAAATGATGAGAAAAAACTGAACTGCAAATGCTTCAAGAGAAAGAGAAGAAAAGCAGAAAAACGCGGTCAAGTGGAAGAGCACTTCTAGAGGTCTCCGAGAACCGCTAGAACAAAAGAGTTTATGATGAATAATTGTTGTCTGAGGCACAAAAGCTTCCTTTCGCGTTTTTTTTTTGAACTGAAAGTGGGAAAATGGTGTACGCACTTTTCAGGTAAAATTATTCTGAAGTGTGCGAAATCCTATAAATACGCATAGTTTTTATGGAAAAAACATTTTCTACTGACTCAAAATCAGATATTTTTCCAGTATCTCCAAGTGAGTCATTCTACCTGTTGTCCGGAATCTTTAGTCCTGACCGTGAGCTTGGTTCAGAGTTATCGAAAAATGTTCAGTTATTTCAAAGTGCGCAGACTTTTCAACCTTCCAGAAAATGAAGAATGATCTATATTTGATACTCTCGTACTATTGAAATCTTATGGAAAGGAGGAATGACCTCTCAAATTTCCCTATTCCAGCGATCAGGCTTAGGAAAATCATTGAATATCCAAGAAATTTACTACCCTCTTACAAGGAGACTTTTCAATAACCTGTCGCGAACTTGATATAACTCCGCATTTAAGAGAAGAAGTATTTCCCTTTGCCTTTAGACAATTTATGGAGTTCTGTTGCTATCAATTCAATGAAAACGAGAAGATTTTTGGTCGTCTCGAAACGTTATCACTCAACTGAAAGACAAAAGTGTAACATTTTATATGATCTGTTTTTCTCATTAGAAACGATCTCTAGTTCAAGTATTTCCGCTGTTTGTCATTATTCCTTTTCTATGAAATGCGGTCGTGAACTTCACTCTAAGAAATCTAGTCAAACTTAGGCGCGTGAAAGAAGAATAAATGGAGGCGGTGAAAGGATGAAACCTCAAAAGTTGGGAATTAGCCGCAGACGCATCATATTTCTGCAAGAGTCGCGGAGGGTCGGCAGAAATTTCCATCAATTCTACAATTTCGGCGGACCTAGGCTCCTCGTATGTTCAGCCTGTGACGACGCATTTCCGACATACGCTTATTAGCACTTTGCGCGGGGCCGTTGTCCTTTGGACGGATTTTCCTCCAGTCTCCGTGTTTAGGAATTCAAAAATTCCTGCCAATACCTTGTGTTAGCAACGGTCGTTTGTGAAAGCCGAGCAAAATAAACTTTACAAAAATGTTGAGACAGTGACTCTAGAGTCGAGTTTTTATTTGAGCTTTAATTGTGATCTTTGCGATACAATTTTTCTTTTGAGATTAATCATTGAATTGTGGTTTCAGAGCTCAAATACTTTCAAAATGTACGCAGAACATGTAAATCCAGAATGAAGAAGGACCTGAATGTCAATACTTTTTCATATCTTTATCGGAGAAGCAAGTTTTTTGAACTCTACGTTCAGTTAAGATTGATAAGGATTGAAAGCAAAAAGTTAGCTTTAGGAGAACTTCATAAAATCAAGAAATGTGTCCTTCATTATACAAATAAAGGTTCACTCTAGGTAAAGAATAATTACTGATGGAAATGATAATCAAAATTAGAATTTCAAAAAAAAGAATGGAAAAAATGACCAGAAACAAAAGAAAAACTTCACAAGAAACATAAGACCACAAATAAATAAATGCGCACGCCTCGTCCCTAAGGAAATCCAACTTTTGGCCGATGAGTCTCGAATTTTGATGCTTAAAGCGAACCAAAAGCATATTGGAAAAAACATATGCAGAGTGTAAGAAACTGAATTCAAAAAAATAACCACCATTTTTTTACTTTCGAATAGTTTTTAATCAAATAATCATTCCTTCAGCCTTTTAGTCGTAGATGTAATCGACTAGTTTTTTGAAGACTTTTTTTTCAAATGTTGATAAAAAATTTGTTTGACATGTAAAATGTGGGTAAGTGAAGCAATTAACGCGCGGCTACACGCGACGTGGGAGAAGGCCAAATTCGGTTGAGCGTAAAATATGCAACCGATGTCCTGCGCGTGGAAACGCGTTTCGTGGAGAGCAACATGCCGACTTGAGGTTGCAGGATTCCTTTTCAATTTTTCATATTCACCAGTTCGAACGGGATTCTGAGAGCCGTATAACACAAGTTTCCCCCGATTCATTAGGAAAATTTCTGTTAAAACGAACTTATTGCATTTGCTTATGCACCATACTTGATTTAGAGGAATCGATCAAGACTTTAGGTGAGTTTTCAAAAATAAGCGAGAGTTCCAACTTTCTTCGAATGATTCGATCAGGTTTTTCAGAGACGGTAGTTTCAAAAAAAAAAAGAACAAAACATTTCCATGACCCTCTTTTCTGGAACTTCCGAGAAAACAATTCTTTTCTGGAGAAAAAAGAGGTCAGAATTGGGAAACAAAGACTCAGGAACTAATTTTTGTTAAACTTCGGTTCTTGGAAAAAGTTCAACAACTTTTTTTATACTTCTAAGAAAAAAATTTTTTTACTTGAAAAACACTTGAAAAATTCGCTTTTAACTTCTGAAATGAAAACCCGAGACACTATTTTCGATTTTTTTTAAAAGCTCCTTCAAGACTCATGAGTTGTGAACCTTAGGCGTATTTATGGATAACTTCAAATTCAACGCTAAAAAAACTTTCATGTTACTATAATTTTGTATTGATAAATGTTTTTTTATTGAGTTTGGTTAGTGTTTTGGATTAGTATACGTGAAAATTGAGTTTTTTTTATCAAATTCTTCCGTTTTCGTTGTCCTTGTCGTTTGAGTCGTAGACTTGATAACTCGTGGATTTTTTCGGATTTGATGTAACGTATTCGCCAACTTGAGGTCTCTGAAAAACATGGATTAAATGAGCCAAGAAGAAAATAGTGAGATACCGCTCTGCTGTTTTTCCGAGAAGCATCGAATAGACGTTTGGTTGTTTCCTGTTCGTAGGGAACACTTGAGGTTCTTTCATAGACAGCGGCAAGATGCTCCAATGACACTAAAATGTATGAAAAAATTTCTTTGATTATGCACTGGGATTACTTTCAGTGTCGACACGCACACTCTTCTTTTTAGCATTCGGCACCACTTGAGTAGTCTGAAAATTGCTCATTTTCAGAAGTGACTTTTGGATAAGTTGAATTGAAATTGGGACGTTTCTTCATATTCTACTGCTGCGCGAGTTCTTGAGTAAATTTTTTTTCTAAGCTATTTAATGCTACTAATACTACGACGTGCAGATCTTCGTTTTTGTACGGTTGGAAATACGAAATATGATGCAATAGATCATAGGTGCATGATATCCGCTCCCAGATAACTTATGAGAATTATGTTGAAACAAATATAAAAGCTCAGGTTCTGTGCAGATAAAAGCAAAAAATTGAGGCTCACAGCTTCAAATTCGTGCCAGCCGTGTCCATACGCGTGAAGAGGGTATGCCGACTCTCCGTGCTTGAAAATGTCCAAACCGTTGACCTCCACTTGTTCTGGTACACGGAGCTTACCAATCTAGATACAATGAAATAATTTGGGAGGAGTTTTTAACAGCAACCTTTCTCAAGAATAAGAATATCGGAATCAGCCAGAAGCAAGACCACGTGATGATAGCAATGATGCAGACAAACTGCCAACCAAGTTGCTGGAATAAGTTATAATTGTTTAAAGGTTCTAAACATTTGAAAAAAGCGCTTAATTGAGATGTCTTTGACCGAAAGGCCAAACAAGCTGCTCCTTTGTTTTGATTAGAATGATTTCTTTAATCTTCCTTTCATTGAAGAAACTCTTTCTCAAACTGTGTAGATTTTGTACTCACAGCGAATGACTGAGCAAGTTCATGGCCAGCGCCTCTTTGGCCTCCGAAAGCATGGAAAACAGCATAAACAATGCCATCATGAGCAAAAACGACTGCAGAAATGAGGCCCCAGAAGCCACCACCGGCGTGAACGGCAAAGGCATCCAAGGGATCGTCTATTTTCAACCTGCCACTTGTTTTTCATAATTTTAGAAACTGGTTCTCAGCATACCTAATCATCAACTTAGAAAGAGCCAAATAGATAAGTCCTGCTCCTGTTCCAACAAAGAAGGAACCCCAGGGCTCCATGCGGTTGCAGCCAGCACAAGCAGAGACCATTCCTGCAACAAGTTTTTCATAGATATGAACTTCTACGAACCTGTAAGACAAGCGTTTATCGTCAACAGCAATGTCCATTTTCCGTGCGTGATGTAGTGAATAATAAGGTAAGTGAAAGAGGCAAAAGCTCCACAAAGGAACGTGTTCACCATAGAGAGAGCGACAATATCTCCTTCTCCTGGTTTTACAATATCTGCCTGCGATCCTAAACTTACTAATTTAGCTGATTTCGCGTCAAATTCAAAACCTCCATTGAAAGCCAGGAAACCGAACATCAAGATGAAACCTCCCAGAGCGACAAACTGGAAAATTAAAAACTTTTTACTTTCAAATATCGAAAATAAATTTTTTTAAGCCTTTATTTAAAAAACGAGATCAAAAAGAGCTTTCTGAGTTTTGAGTTTGAATTTTCGACAAAGAAGGAAGATAAATCCTCACCGGAACACTGTGTCCTTTGATTTCATCAGACTCTTCTTCGTCATCTTTAGGGAACTTGCCGATTCTGGGACCCATGATGTAAGCAGCTACCAGGGAAATAGAACCACCACAGAGATGAACCATTCCAGAACCAGCATAATCCTGGAAACCACATGAATTTTGGAAAGAAGATTGAAAATTTTTTTTTTGAAATTTTTTTCGGAATCTTCATCAGTCACGGGTTGAAAATTTTGGTTTGCCAGCTTTTTTCTAGAGACTTTGATGATGCAATTTTTATAATTTTATGACAGCCCATGCGCGGACGAACCAAAGCCGTGACGGTAAAAAGTTCAAGAGAAATCTGTGTGAATTAATCTTTTTTACCAGGTATGTTGTGCTGATACTGCCACTAGAGAAGCCAAGGAACATCCATCCTTGTGGATGCCAGCCCCAATGGGTCAATATCGGGTAGACAAACGCTGAATTCTTTTGTTCTACTACATCTGAAAGGTGCAGCAAACTCGAAATGACAGTGACGTATACGATGTAGGTGATGAACTCGCATCGCTCTGCGACAGCTCCCGAGACGATAGTGGATGATGTTGCGGCGAAAACGTATTGGAAGAAAAATCTGAACTTTTTGCCTTGTTTCGGAACGTATTTCTTTAACTTCTTAAATTAAAAATGATTTTTTAGACGTTTTGATGTTTTCAATCATAGGAAAACTCTTTTCTTGGACGAACTTCGGATAGTTTGTGAAGTTCGCTAAGAAAAATTGCGAATGTCCAATGAAGAGGCCGACTGTTGGATTGCTAGCCTCGCCGTAGGCAAGGGCCCATCCGAAGGCCCAGTAACCGACGATAGCAATGCCTGAAAAGTTTTATTAAGTACGCAAACGTTCGTTTTAGAAAAAGGAAAGCGAAAGTTTCAATGAGAGGTTAAGAGATCGCAGACAAGCGAGATGACCGCACTTACAAGAATCCAATAAGTTCTTGATGAGGATATTTGTCGTGTTCTTGCTCCTCACCGCTCCCGCTTCAAGAAATGCAAACCCGCATTGCATAACTGAAAAGTGTGAATTTAATTTGAAAAGCCTTTTCCCCTTACAGAAGATGATCATAGCCATCGAACAAAGAAAAAAGGCATTTTCATTGTCTGTGAAGTCGGCTCGAATCTGGATAACTTCGTTTTGTAATTGTATTATTTGAGCCGTGTAGTTGGGCGTTGAGGTCATATTACCTGCAATTCAACTTTTTTAGAGAAAAAATGAATATATAGTAGGAACTAATTGGCTAAGAAACCATCTGAATGAAAAATGACCATTAAATTTCAAAGGTGTCAAGTCCTTCCAAGTTTCAATTAAGGTGAGATACGATGAAACTGTGGCGCGAGAAATAAAAACTTGATCAGAGAATTCGATCGAGAGTCTAATATATGTGCGGCGGTTGAGAGAAATTGAGCGATTGGTCTGACAAAGAACCCAAAAAAGTAAAACCTCTTGACTATTACACTCGAATTTTTTTTATTGAGATCGGGCGATCATAAGGTCATTCACGCTAGACTCTGGGCGTGACCACAAAAAAAACCAGTTTGGTTATCGTCTGTTTGGTTTGTTACTTCGCTGATGGATCAAAAACTGAACTTCACCGTAGACTAATTTCTGTGTGCGTTGTCTTATGCGATTATCCTTCAAGTGAGAAATGTTTCAAAAATAACAAAAACCAAGGCGTTGAAAAAGAGCATTGGGCCGACTTTTATCTATATCTCAAAAATGGGCTTTGAAGATAATAGAAAAACCTTTTGGAGGCTCAATTGGTAGATCTCAATGGGTGATCAGAGTTCCATCAATTGACCGAATAAAAAACACAACTCAAACAACTAAAGTTTTATGAAAGTCCATTTAAAACCACAAAAAATGATATGTTCTGATCAATCATCATCAATATTTTTTGGTTTTTTCAGTCAAATAGAATCGACTAGGCGGCGAAAAAATTGCTCTTTCGAGCCGTACTAACACCGCCTTTGGCTGAAGAGAAGCCAATTGTGTAGTTGATCGAATTGAAAGCATGGTCTTACGGTCTTTGGTCTCGTTCATCCACAAGTAGATCCCCCAGTTTTGCGGGTACGGGCACGTCGGTGATGGTGAGGCTCGTGCACGGACGCCGTGTACACTCTAGGGTAGCCTCGGCCGATTGAGACAGAGCTGCCACTTTGAGTGAAGAAAATAGACAAAATGTATGATAATTCCTTGGTAAAAGAAAATCCTTTATTGTCATACAGTTTATTATTATAATATGGAACATGAGTTTTCCGCAAATCAAATCCAGCTATTATTGTTGTCTTTGTCACTCGAGTCGTGAACTTGATAGCTCGAAGATTTTTTGGAGTTCGGAAGATGTTCGCCGTTTTGAGATCTCTAAACAAATCGACAAATGATGAAGTAACGTATAAAAATGTACCACTTTGCTGGTTTTCCGAGAAGCGTCGTTATGAGGCGCGAATAGACGCTTAGTCGCTTCCTGTTCGTGAGAGATGCTCGAAGTTCTCTCATAAACAGCGGCAAGTTGCTCCAGTGACACTGAAATCGGAAAAAGAATATCCTTGAGTTTCATAGCTGGACGAACTCTCAGCGTTCACACTCAAAGTCCGGCCGCGGTTTTTGGCATGCGGCAGTCCATGACCCGTCTAAAAAATTTCAGTAAACTTTCCAATTTGTGTTGGTTTCGTAAAGTTTTTTTTGATTTTTTTTTTTTCAAGTTTGCACTTAAAAAAAGTAGAATAAATACAAAAAGCGGTGATCGAGCTTCTAAATAGTCGGTATAAAATAAATCGTGCAGAGAACCGCGTACGAGCACGCTACGCGTCGCGCCTATCTCACCGCCTTTTTCACCTTTCAAGTCGGAAAAGGATTGACTATAGCAAATTAGAACTTTTTTTGTTAGATAAACAAGTTTAGGAGTACAAAATAAAAAAATTTAATTGGGTTCAAAATTCAGAACTCACAGCTTCAAATTCGTGCCAGCCGTGTCCATACGCGTGAAGAGGGTAAGCCGACTCTCCGTGCTTGTAAATGTCCAAACCGTTGATCTCTACTTCCTCCGATACACGAAGTTTACCGATCTTCAAATGATTCAACTTTTCGATATTTTTTGGATATATTACCTTTTTCAAAAACAAAAAGATTGGAACCATCCATAGCCAAGACCACGTCACAATAGCCGCAATGCAAACGAACTGCCAACCGAGTTGCTGGAAAACAGGATGCAAATCGGAGGACATTGAAAAATGAGCATTTTTAGAAGAAGACTGTCTTTTGTACAAAATTGCCCAATTCCTAATCAATCATATTTCATAGCAGAGAGAATACTGGAGATTCCTCGATTTTTTCGAGAATGCTTGTTTTGGATCTTCGTGACCAACAATGACCGTAGAAAGGATTCCCGCTCCATTTCTCACAATGTGAAAAGTTGTATTTCAGAACCTTTTTTTTCAGTCACTTGAAATCCTTCTACATTCTTGTCAAAGAAAAATTAAATATAGGTTTTTCCACTCACAGCAAACGACTGTGCGACTTCATTGTTAGCTCCGTCCTTTCCTCCGATGGCATGGGCAACAGCATAAGCTATGCCTTCGTGACCAACAATGACCGTAGAAATGAGACCCCAGAAGCCACCACCGGCGTGTACGGCAAACGCATCCAAGGGATCGTCTATTTTAAACCTGCCACTCGTTTTTTCTTATCTTAGAAACAGTTCTGACGAACCATATCATCATCTTACTCAAAGCCAAATAAATAAGCCCTGATCCGGTTCCAACAAAAACAGAACCCCATGGTTCCATTCGGTTGCAACCAGCACAAGCAGAGACCATTCCTGGAACAATAATCTCTTCTCTCTATTCAAATTCTTTTGAACCTGCTAAGCAGGCGTTTATCGTCAGCAACAACGTCCATTTTCCGTGAGTGATATAGTGCATGATGAGATAAGTCAAAGCAGCAAAAGCTCCACAAAGAATCGTGTTCACCATGGCTAAAGCGACTATATATCCTTCTCCTGGCTTTACAATATCAGCCATTGATCCTTAAATCTCAAGTATTGTCTGCCTTGAAAAAAGTTTAAAACCTCCGTTGAAAGCCAGAAATCCGAACATTAAGATGAAACCTCCCAAAGCGGCAAACTGCAAAGATCAGACATTGTTTGTGTTTCAGATTAAAATTGATTATTTGAACTGATTGCGTTTTGATCTATCTGATTTCTAGTAATTTATCGTTCGCATGCTATCGTCAAGTTTGAAAAAAAACGGTCGAAAAGATTTTCGAAGAACTGAAGATTTTTTTGCATAGTCAAACGAACGATTGAAATGAATTCTCACCGGAACACTGTGTCCTTTAATTTCATCAGACTCTTCTTCTCCGTCTTTAGGGAACTTGCCAATTCTCGGACCCATGATCAAAGCAGCTACAAAGGAAATTGATCCTCCACAAAGATGAACCACTCCAGCGCCAGCGAAATCCTAAAAAGACCGTCTAAAAAGTTAACACATTTTTCAGAACTTCAAATAAAATCTGTGAAGCATCTCTGTGACATCAAATCATTTGGTCAGAATTTGTAAGACTCCTCTAAAAAGCTTTTTTTCAATTTTTTTTTTTGCTATTTGTGATCTTGCGGTCATCCCATTTTTCAGGTCAAATCTTTCGAGCTCAAAAAGTTCATGAAGAATAGTTTTTGAATGCCAAGATGTCCAACCGAGAAAAAGCTGGACATTTATTCACTCACCAGATAAGTTGTTTTGATGATGCCGCTAGTGATGCCTTGGAGCATCCATCCTTGAGGGTGCCATCCCCAATGAGTTAAAATCGGATAGACAAAAGCTGAATTCATTAATCCCGTTTAAGTTCAAAAAGTCGGCCAACTTGAAATAACGCTGCAGTAGACGATGTAGGTGACAAACTCGCATCGTTCTGCGACAGCCCCAGACACGATAGTTGCTGAAGTGGCAGCAAAAACGTATTGGAAGAAAAACCTTAAGTTTTCGCATGATTAAAGATTGAATATCATATATTATAAGGCTTCTAATCTTCCGCCTAGGCGCTTTCAAGCTTGACAAATGAAGTTCAGTGATTTGCAACTATCTTTTGCTTCAAAAATTGAAAGAACTTGAAAGTAAAAAAAGTTTTTCTTAGGGCTGACTTTGGATAATCTGTGAAGTTCGCCAGGAAAAACTGCGAGTATCCGATAAAGAGACCGGCGGTAGAATTGCTGGCATCGCCATAGGCAAACGCCCAACCGAGAGACCAATAACCGACGATGGCTATGCCTGAAAGCTTTTAGTGCGGTTAAGGTCTTTCTTTTTTGTTGAACGAAACAGAAGCCTTTGAAAATCTGCAGTTACTTAAATGGTTCCATGAATGAATCTGACTCATGTTGTTTAAAAAAAGATCATGGTCAAACAAAATGAAAAGTCAATACAGAAGCATTTTAGGAATTGAAGACACGAATAGTGGGAAATATTCCAAGACGTGGCGGATGTGCCAAAGTCTCTAATTTCCACACTTACACGAGTCTAACAAGTTCTTGATAAGAATATTTGTCGTATTTTTGCTTCTGACGGCTCCTGCTTCTAGGAAAGCGAAACCACACTGCATAACTGAAAATTATTATCTGAATTAAAAGAAGATGTCCCTGTCTCTCACGAAATATGATAATTGCCATTGAACACAGGAAAAAAGCATTGTCGTTGTCCGTGAAGTCGGCTCGGATTTGGTCAATTTCTTTTTGCAATTGCATGATTTGAGCCGTGTAGTTTGGCGTTGAAGCCATGTTACCTGTAATGAAAACTTGCAACAGATCAAGAAAAGAATGTATTCAGACAGAAGAATATGCTTTGAATGTTATCTGGATGAAAAAGACCATTAAATCTTCAAAAGTGCCGAGAGCTGTTGTCCTTAGTGTTAAACGAGTGGTAATAAAATGGAACTGTAGCGCGAGAAATAAAATTTTGATCGTTAAATTTGATTGCGACAAGTATTTGTGTGCTGGTAAAGATAAAATTGAGCGGTTGTTCGAGTAAAGATCTCGAATCAAGTAAAACCTGTTGATTATGACACTTTGAAAGTGTTTTGCTGCTATCGGGTGCTCACAGGGCTATTCAGGTCGACGATCAGACCTTCGGCGTAATCACAAAGAACAAACCAATTTGGTTTTCTTCGCTTTGATTTTCACTATTTGGGCTCTGATCTTGTCTGTTTCCGATTTATGCACTCAGAAATCGTTATCATGTAATATGAGTTTACGAACAAACTCTGGCGGGTGCTCCCCCACTTTTTAAACGTTGATGGGGAAGATTTCTTCCGTTTTCGGGAACTCAAAGAGAGTTTCAATTGGAACTCTAAAAATACAGTTTGGGGTAAGGTAGCATTACATCGAAAGTTTTTTCTTATTTAATTCAAGGTTTAGGAAAAAATATTTTTATGTATACCGTGTTCCAAAAAAAAGTGCGCTTTTTTTCGTCATTTTTTTATAAAGACTTTTTTTAGTACTGATTTCATAAAAGTTACTGCCTCCTGGCTGGAGGAAACAATCGAAAACTCTGCTCATTCTTTGCTTCCGATTTTTGATGAAATATCGAATCGTTAGATTCGAGAAAAAGAACGAGCCTTTGTAGTCAAGAGGGCTCTTTTCTGTATTTATTTCTCTCGCCAACAAAAAATGAACGCATTGAACATAACATTCCATTTCACATTTTTGTTAATTTTGAAATAGATTTACTTTCAATGGATAATAGGCAATGGCTTCTCTAAATACGCAACATTTTTCGTTCAGGTATTTTTTTCACACTAATTTCTTTTTGGGGTCTTAAAAGCGCAGATAAAGTGCGATAAACCACAGCGGTCAGTGAGCTTTTCTAAATTTTTCATTAAAATATGCGCTGTGAAACAATTGTTTTTGTTAAGGACCTTCTCTGAAATTTTATTTTTGTGAAAACTTTTTTAGCCTTTCAACTGTACCTGTGCGTCAGATAAGATCAAAGATGAAAAACTCAAATTTTTTCAGGGCATTTACTTTAAACTTTTCAAGGTTTCATCAGAAAATTGTTTGTTGAAACAAGAACTCATTACTTTTTTTTTAAAGTTTTTCATCCGTTCCAAAACTCTATTTATAAATATCTTCCATTGTTGTTCAAGATTTCCGCAGGGTTTTTAAGTGGGCATAATGAAAAAAAAAATCTCGAGTCATGGATGCTTTTTTGTTCCAGCAGTCTGATTAACAAGTGCATTGCATATTGAGTAATTATGAAACGCGGAAGTCAATACAGAGATTCCTGAAACACATGAATAATTTCGCGTCTGTTAGAATGTGTAACGCTTCTAAGAAAGAGAAAGCAGGTTTATTTTAATTTAGAATTTTCAAGTCTGAAAGCCAGATTGGTAGTTATGTTTTCGATTGGCAATTACAAGAAACACTCTCTGTTTTTGCAGCAAAAAGAGAATTTTTATTCCAAAAAATGGTAAGTATGAAATATAAATCAAATTTACGATAGAACTTAAAAGCCTGACAACAGTGAAATGATTGAATCGTATTTTCTGCTCTTCAAGCAAAGAAACAACACCGAGACCGCTCATTGAATAGAATTGTATGGGATTAAAATTGGAATCCTATAAATTATGAACAAAAATCACTGAAGCGATTCATGTTAAAGATACTTGTCAAAAAGATCACAGACTATTTAGCTTCTTTTCCAGAAAAAATGGTTTTGAAATTTTTCGAAGAAAGTGGCTGTTGATTTGTAGGATTGAGTTGGTACAGTTATGAATTGAAAAATGATTTTCGGAAGCGGGAAAGTTTCACTTTTTCAGGCTCTCCATCTTCTATCGGATCTTTTCTCGACACAAATTTGAGACAATCTCGGAAGATGCTGTTGTCGAAGCAATCAGCCCTGGAAATTATGGTTCATCATGGAAGTTTTGAACAATGTCTGATCATTTTACTGGGAAAAAGGAAAAACCTGCAATCAGATCGAAGATTAGCAAGTTCGTGGCTGTGATGTTCGTGGCAAACCGCGCAAATGTTTTCCATGACGGTGTGTATCGGCAAGTTCTCATCATAAGCGCAATCCTAAAAAAGCCCATCTTGAATTTCCAAAAGCATAGTCTTCTGCATATCGTCTTTTCAACACCTTTCTCAAAAATTTCACTGAGAAGTTAAAGTTTTGCAGATTCGTCATCAAGTTTTCCAAAAAGTGAACTCAAAAAAATATCTTGAAAGGAATTTTTTTATACTTTTTTTCATTTTCAGCTGCTGTTAGCCGCAATTCAATAATCAGCAGCTGAAACCGAAATGTCATCTTTTGTACATTTCCCGTGCTTTTTTTAAAGCAGCAGGCGCAAATAAGAAAATATGTACTCAAAACTTGAGCAGGGAAAGGTTTTTGAGCTAACAGAGACTTCTGATCCACAGATGGCTATAATTTTCAATTGGGTGCTCTTTAGCGTTGATTTCAAAACGCTGATCCGAAAATGAAACGGAATGAATGAAAAAAATTCCGTACGGAATTGAGAGGATTCTTATCTACTTTAAAAAGGAAGAGTCATATAATAAAATTTGATCTTCAAACTCTTCACTTTGGTCAAAAATTTAAATATAAAAGTCATTACCGTATTCATAGGGATAAGTTTTATCTTAAAAACCAGCAAAAAGCCTAAATGAGATAGATTTTTCAACTTTGAGAAATTTTAAATTTGCCATTATGACAGATGGCGGCAGTTTCTGAGCTAAGATGCGGGATCGATTCAAAGAAACCATTCTAATTCACAATACACGCTGTGAGTTTACATCATAAACTAGTGGGAATTGGTACATTCGAAAAATCAAGTAATTTGTTTGGATATCCACATTCCACTTTTCAAACTCTGGTAAGAAATACGAGGAGCGAGATTTTGAAAACGCTTCAAGTGTGCAATTACTGAATTAAAACTTGATGGGGATCATTGAAAAACTTACTTCGTTTTTTGCGGCATTTTTTCGTTCTCGCGGTTCAAGTAGTTCGATGACCTGTAAAAAATGAATACTAACATAAAAAAAGGAACTTTTGAACCTGACTGCCGAAAGTCAACGACCTCGTCTGAACAGTTAAAAACAACCCGAAAACCGTGGCAAACAGGGCCGTGAAACGAATAAAAGATTCCATTTTTGCTTCGAACCCTGCAAAGTAACCAATTGAATTGAAAAGCTATGACAGCGTAAGGTATGTGAAACGAGCAGATGTTAGGGATATCCAAAGGTGGGTTGGCTTTTGTTAATGCAAAAAAAGAAAGTTTCTGCGCCTTTTGAAACCATTCTTTTGAAGTTTCGGCTTGCGTCAACTTTAATTTTCTTAGGAATGAAATCGACAGAAAAGTAAAGTTTTCATTTTAATTTGTATGTAACTGCAACAAAGTCAAATAACGCAAAACTTCCCGATTTACAGGGAGATATTTCCAGAAAAAGCAACATTTTCCTTCAAATAATAATTTTTCCATTTCTGCGAATTCAATTCAAAAACCTTTTTTTACTCACGAAATAAGAACTATAGATCAAACAAAAGTATTCAACGGAAATGAATTCCTCTCCGGAAGCACAGTTGACGCATGTGAAGTCTGTTCAAAAAATGTGTTTATAAAATCTTATGTGACCTAATAAAGAATGAAAATAGTTCATCGCATAATCGCTTCAAAAAAGTATCGATTGAACGTAGTTAGGCATCGAAAAAGGAATTTAGAGTATAAACAAACTAAACAAATGCTTCTCAATGAACTTTCCTTATTGATAACGGAATCCCTGAGAAATTATATTATCAGCAAGACTAGAAAATTTGAAGAAAAAACAATGAAATTTCTATTGGCACGTTTTTGTCAATGTTTCAAAATTTTATTGAAGGGCTTAATAAACATTTTTAAATATTGTCCTCTGAGACTGCTTACAAGGAAAGTTCGGAGCACATCTGCAACTTGGAACGTATCAACTTTGATTCGAAACGCTGTTTCAAGAAGGTGAAAATGGGCGAAAAAGGTTTCAAAACTGCTTTTGTCAAAATTTTTGGGAACATACGACTAGTATTACCTTATTTTGAAAATCTAGATTTCTCATTGCTGCTTAGACTGATTTTCACGCAAGAGACTTTTTCAGAACTTGACACAAATAACTTGATAAATGCCAATCTTTCGAACGACAAACTATTCATTTTGAAGGACACGATAAATTATTTTTATTTTTTGAAAAGTTCAGCTTGACCTAGGGAAAACATTTATTAAAATGCTTCTGCCATTTCTCACGAGCATTTTCAGATTCAAACTAAAAAATAAGATTTGCGGATCCGGGGTAAAATAGAAGTTCTGATTAAAGTGAGATAATCTCTCCGTTTCAAACTTTATTAAAAACGCAAAAAAGACAGCAAAAAACTTATAAAGTCGAAAAAAAAAGTGAGGCCAAAGCGTTTTTATAAATGGCGTGTACGCCCAAGACCACAAAAAACGAGAAAATGAAGAAGAAAATTAGCTGGCCATATGACTGGAGCTTCTGTCACTTAAGCGATCAGCGTAGGCGGCTTTGAAAATGACGAACCACCGGAGGCAACAAATTTTCTGGATCAAATTGAAGAAATTATTATTCCAGGCGTGTGCAGAAATGGGCATACATTTCAGACCAAAAAAGTTGCAGTTGACATTTTGACCTAGACCTTTGACTTTCAATTAGCTTTTTTTCGGAACTGAACTTTTCGCTTTAAAAAATTCTTCTCGATTGAAAGGTGCATGCTTCGAATTAACTCCTCAAAGAAATGGAATGGGGTCTTTTTAAAGATTTTATTCAAAGAAGACTTGAGTGAAATCTCTCACTATAACCTGGTGATCCTCCAATCTGACAAAACAAAGGGTAACAATAAAAAAGGCATTAATTTGAAAAAAATGAATTGGAGAAGCTTCGCAATTTGCTGTGAAACGAGGCATAATTTTTCCACTCTTTTGGGATAACAAAACTACAAAATTGGAAAGTTTCATTATAATCTGATTCATTGGAGAAATGAAAATCGGATTTTTTATCGAGTTTTTTTTTCTCAAAAACTTCAGTAGATAACGCTTTGAAATTCACAAAATTTTACAGTACCCCCTTTAGCAAGAGATAAACTCTCTTAAAAACTTGATGAAGGAATTATTCAGCTAGAGCAGAGAGTCTCTGAAACGTTCAAAAAGTCTCCCAGAGTTTTTTTTTTCCTGAAAATTCATACCAAAATGACCTCACTTGTTAGGAACGAATTCTTGATTTTACCATGCAATTCAAAGTCCTCTGGGAAAAATGCACAAGAAATGACGTCTTCAGTGAGAAAAAAAGATTTTTGATCTTTCTCTGCTGGTTTCGAACACAACGAGAAGTATACTTTTTATCAATTGGAAGCAATTTCGATTTTCAAGGTCTTCAAAAAACAAAAGAGACAATAGAAAGAGCAAACTTCTATGACGCAAGCATTGCTTTTATAACGGTTCACGGCTTCTGCAGCCCTTAAAATGTTCTTTGAGAACTTTTCAGCTGTTTAGCAGCTGATATTGCAGCATTTTATGACGAGACTACTTCGTCTGACATTCTTTCGAAGAGCTGAACAAGCCAATTTCAGAATATTTGCATATAGGAAAAAAATCGGCGAAAACTCCAACCATCTGCTTCTTTTCCTTGAACAGCGTTTGGATTCAATTTTTCAGGACTGCGGCAAAGTGCTCTGAAAGTTCAGAAATGAGCGAGTTGCACGACTGACATCATAGCACTGCCCATGTCAAAAAGAACCGAACACTTAATTGAAAACGGGACGAGGATCCTGTTAAACCCTGGGAAATTGCGCAGAGCTATTTTTACAATCATACATTTCCGAAAGGTCAGTTGGAAGACAGATCGAGCTCACCGTTCGATCGTGGAATCTGAGAAAATAGTAGGGCACTTTCGACCTAAAAAATAAAAATTTTTCGAAGCAGGTTTTTATGAAGTTCTAATACCGCTGATACTTGCTGTGATGTGGATATTTACAGTGACAGAACTTTTTCTGAGACTTTCCAAAAGGCCATAAACATTTTTTTTATCAAGGTGAAAGGCGTTCACAATGTGATTTGAACACTTTGTAAGTTTCGGCGTTTTCGAAAACCCCAAAAAGTCTTTTCGAAAAAATTATTATGATCTAAAAGTCACAAACTTCAATAGAGGTGCTTCCGAAATTTTTATATTAACTTCAGTTTTTAAAAGAGGACAGTTTTTAATTTGTCAAACGAAATTATTTTTAAAAAGCTTTCTCAAATTCGAAATTATCTTCTTTTTGATTTAAAGCTATATTTTCTGAAAGCTAGAGGTTTACTCACATTGCCATTCTGAAAAATAATTTGCTTTGTATTTAAGATGGTGTCCTTGCAAATATTCGGAATTCATGAAGTACAAAACAAAAAGTAATATGAATAACGAGCAAAACGTTCCAAAACGTAAAATTATTTTTTTAACTAATTTTTTTTTGTCAGGCCTTGCGTGTAAGAGTTGTAACTTGACCATCGATTTTGATTCATCCTTGGACAAGGCTTTTTTTACAACCTGACTTCATGGAACTGCGTTTCCAGAGCAAACGCGCCCCACCGCTCGGCGAACGTCTTGCCTGAACCTAACATCTCGCCAAGGTCTATTTTTTTCCCGTTTGCCAGTGGTTATCGACGCATCGTTTACAGCGCTTTTTGTAATTTTCAATTTTTTTTGACCAAAGTTGCTCGAACAAGTTTCCATTCGAAATACTGTTTCTCCATCCACAGAGATGTCTTTTTCTTTTTTGAAGTTATGAACATTGGGTTTTTGCAACGTTTTTGTTTCAGGAAACGTCTTCAAGACTCTAAAATAACGGATGGGAAACGGCCAAGCCAAAGGTTTGTAATTTGATTATTTGCTTTCTCACGATATTTTTTTATATTGGTTGTAGTTTTGAAAAAAATTCCCTAAACTCAATTTGCGTTTTCAAAAATTCCGCACGGTATATGAACAAATAATGCTGGAAAAGGACATTGAACAATACTGTTTCTCACGCTTTTACACGCTCCGTGAAAATTCAACCATATCATTTCCTTCTTTGCATAAACTCAACGCTGTTGTTTGCTAAGACAAACTATAGCAATCGTAAAAATTTTTATCCCTTTGAGATTGATGAACTTTTTGCTTTTTTTGTGCTATTTTGTTTTAAAAGTTCATTAAGTTGTGACAATTCTGAAAATATTGACTTTTCTCATTTTTATAAGGTTGCTTCATTGATTTCTTGAAAATTTACAGTCTTTTTGCTAAAAAAATTGAAGTATAAACTAATTAATAAATGTATATTCTTATATCTTCCCTTAATCATCTTTTTGAAATTCCATTGTTTTTTTATCTTCATTTCAAATGTTCGATAGATGTGAATTTTTTTATTAACAAAGAAGCGCTCGATATTTTTCTTTTTACTTATTACGACGCAAAAAAATTATTTTTATTTTTTTCAGAAAATTCTTTTTTTAAGATGGCATTGGGTTCGTTTTATAATCGAGAGCGTGAAAAGTCACTTATTTTAATTTATCGTCTGTTTTAATCGATCTGAAAAGCTAAAGGTGCTTTGTTATGGCCCATCCAAGTGGCCCTTCAAAAATCATATAAGGATCACGATGTTAAAAAAAATAAAGCTTGAAAATATTCATTATGCTGTTTTAACAAATTTTGGAAAATCAATGTTTGGTCGTTTTGGTCGAATGATATGAGAAATCGACTGAAGATTAGTACTGGGACAATTGCAAACCTTTTTCGAGCTTTTTTTGACGCCTTCTTCATTTTCACAAGCTTAGCAGGTGATCTATTGTTTTGAGGTTTTTGTACCTTGGTCTGTGAAACACGACAGTGTTCACTGGATACACAAACCAGAGTTCCCTAAGGAGTTGTTTTTTTTTCTGAATGAAGAGGTGCAGGTGACCGTCGCTTGCAAACAGGCTCCATTGAAGCACTCAGGCGTGTTTGCGATCCACAACTTGGAGTGTCGTCGACGGCGCAAAACAGCCATCGAAAGTAATGTCAGAGCTCAAAACAAGTGACTGTGTGGAAGTTGCTCATCAGCTCTTTGCTCAGCACATGACGTTCGGATTGAGCAAGAGCAACAAGAGCAGAAATCTGATTTTTTTCGTGCTCCCCGTGTGACCGGCGCAAGTTCAACCTCGCGCCGAGGGAGAACTTCGCCGCCTGCAAAACACTCATTCATAAGTCAGTCCACAATCGTCAGTCGAAGCTGCTCTTCGACACGTTTTCTGAGCCAAGTCATTCTAGTCCGTTCGCTACCATGCATCAGGTCGCCGACTATAGACCTGGCTATTCTGGAGAACGTATTTCCCCTTCTCGTTATAGTTCTTGTGCTACTGTGGATGAAGTCTGCTCTCAATTCAGTAGATATCATCGTCGGATCAGAGGTTTGTCCACAATTCTGGAAGGATGTCACCTTTGAAATTTTTAAAATGCCAGCATATTCTTTAATGTACCAGTAGACGCTATAGCAAATCTGAAGACATTAGGTTAAAAGCTGTCGGCTTCAAATAAAACACGTTCCAATGTTTTGAAAAAATTACCAAATTATTGAAAAAAGGGATTTCCAAATTTGGCCCTATTATCCTGAAAAATTGGAAAATCTGCCAGTTCAGAATCATACGATTCTGATTTGGTGTATCAATAAGTGATTTGACCAATTTTCAAATAACACGCAGTGCACCACAACGTTCTTTCACTCACACACCTTTTCTGATACTCCAAAAAAATAAATGGAATCGATTGTCTTGTGAAGAAAACATTTCTTTGGTTTCACGCGATTTTGGCGAAATTCAAGTTTCTTTCTTGCTTCAAACCTCAAAGACCTTGATAGACCCGTTCTGTGTCAAAAGCTTTCCATGGCTTCTTTTTGAAAAGAAAAAAACATAGCCAGAACTAACCTCATTAGATAACTGTCGATTTATAGCGGACTCGAAAAAGTATCCAACAGAATATTTTTGTTGGTGATTCGTTGTATAAAAAAAAGCGGTGTGGATTTTCTCATTTCGCTTTGTTTCGAATTGGGGATGAATGGAAAATGTACGGGAGAATAGAACAAAGAAACGGCCCTGATTTGATTGAACGTAGGGTGCGTACGTGTGTACTTTTGGCGCGAAATTTCGCATTTCAAATTTCCCACGTTTGAACTCTTAAGTCTCATTCATTTTTCTCAACGACGACTTTGCCGTGTACTTCTTAAACTAAAACACGAGTCCAGATGCGCTTTCTCTATTTTTTTTCAAAAACACCCAGCTCTGGGAATCTTAAGTTTTTCCATTCTTTGTTTTTTTTTTTTGAACAATGCACTTTACAATGTTTGTAACAGAACTAAAATTTCGAGGTGCTTAATTCATTTGGATGCTTTCATAAGTTCCAAAATTATTCTTGAAATTTTGTAATTCGACCTTTTTGTTTATAGAGCGGTCGAAGATGAACTAATCAAAGATGAACTTCTTTTCAAAAGTTTTGAACCCTCCGAAAACGAGAAAAGCAACTGACTTGCCATTTTTTTTTTCTCAGCCCCCGGAGATTTTAAAGCGATAACTGTGCGCTAAGCAAGTTGTTGTAATACGCAGGCGTTCGTCGAGGGATCACGTGACGTCGAAGACTAAATCCGTGACCTCCGGAAACTGGCGTTTAGCCTCGGGCGTTTCTCTCATTGCAATAAGACACCTTTTCCTTCAAAGTTTTTGACTGAGATGATTCATAATCGATTGAAAGAGGCGGTACATTAGGGCTTTTGTGAAAATCGAAAAAGTTGAAAAATAATCAAGATCAAACGATAAAAAACTTTTGCCGCAGTGCATTAAGAGATTTAGAGAACACTGGACTCCCTCTTCAAGATTCGGAACTTCACACTTTTGAAATGTCTTCTGTTTATCGGGCGATAATTCCTTCTTAATTTTGAAAAATAAAAATCCTTTTGTTACCCTCCGCTAATCTTAGAAAACATTCTTATTCCTCCAGTCCTGAGAAGAATCTTTTTGATTTGATAACCAATCGCTTTGTTCTCATTTCGAATTCACTTTTTTTACAGATTTCGCCAATGCACTTGCTGAAATCGACTCCACTTTAATTAACCAAGGTATTTTTACGGAATTTTTTTTCCATTTCATAATCGTTTTCTCAGGTACTACTTCGATGCGTCAACCTCAGCTAGGTTTTCATTCCATTCATGGAACCAACGTGGTTATCCTCAAAAGTAGGCAATTTGTAACTTTACCAGTTAAGAAACGAAATTTTAGATGGAAAAGTTGCTCGGCGGCGAGAGAGTTTCTGCAAAGGATTGGCCTTTTCAAACAGGTTGGTTTTTGAATTTGAAATTTTGCCCTCACCATATTGAAGAAAGTTAGTACAGAATTATTCATCAATTATCCAAGCGCTTAATAGTTAGAAGAAGTAAAACTTGTGAAAGCGTGTATTTCATGTAACGTGCTTTCAAATTTTTGGAATGAGCTTTATTTGAAGTTTTGTTAAAAATGTATTTTCTGTTTTCTTCAAAAGAATCAACATAAAAAACCCCAGAAAGTTGCTTTCAGACCGATCGGAGTAGATGAAAACGTTTGTCTACGCTTATCCGAGGTGGCGACCAACTGGTCAGGCGTTTTGCGCTTCGGTGTAACCAACGTCGATCCAGAAACCTACAGAAACATTCCCGTGCCAAAGTAAATCGATATCTCTTTAATTATTTTGAAAAGTTCACAATTGTTTTAGATTCGCGTGCCCCGATCTCACAGCCAAAGAAGGATATTGGGCGAAAGCTCTGCCGGAGCGTTATTCTGTAGAAGGAAATATCCTCCACTTCTACATCAATGGAGGTGGCGAACTCTTCTATGGAATCAACGGGAACTTAAAGGTTTCCTGACTTTTTTGGAATTAAAACTCAAATGATTCCTTTAGGGTCTTTTCCTAACGGGTATAAATGTGAATCATCCAATGTGGCTCATTGTTGACATCTACGGGAACTCGGTTTCTCTTGAGTTTATTGGTGAGATATTTTTTTTTTCAATGAGACCAATATTTGGATTTGTATCGTACAACGGAGTTATTGAAAAAATCATTATAAAAATATAGTAGAGCAAAAAAATTAAGAAGTTCAAAAAAAGGATAATTTTTTTCCATGTTAAGATAAATAAGAAACTTCACTAAAACATTTTCAGACAACTTTTTTTAAGAAAAAAGTCTTTCGGAGCTAATTTAAACGCAAATTTCATGAAAAAGCTTCAGAACGGAATAAAAAGAGTCTTGGACTATTTCAAACCTTAGAAGAACTTTTGTGAACTTTGATAGAAAAGTAAACAGTTAAAAAACCAAAGACCGTCAGAATCTGATTGCAAGTGGCGAAATACCCATTTTTATTTATTTTTTGTAGATTACTGGTTATCTTGATACTGCAGAAAAAAGCTCTCAGCAAAAATTATCAATCCTCTTTGATGACAGACAAGATCAGAAAACCGAGAGATGATAAACAAACAATGAGGAACATACTACGGATTGCGCGTGAATCATAACACAACCGCCTACGCATTATTTAGGCAACAAGACGTTGTCATTCTCTCTTTGGCTAAGATGCCTGCTTTTTTCCTGTATTCTCTTTTTCTTTGAATCTTAGTTTATCTTATTTTACTGATTTACATGAAATCTGATAATTTAATTTAGAGGATTAAAAAAAGGAAAAAACTATAACAAAGCTTTTTGAACTTAAGTAGCGCTAAACAGCTCTGCGCTCATACAGAAAAACCATGAAATAAAAAAATTTCTAAGTTTTTCCAATCGAAAAGATAAAATACTTATTCAAAAAAAGTGGTAAAAATCTCAAAAGGCCAATTTTTATTCCACGAAATGTTCGCCTCAGAAAAATAAAATTTATTGTTACCATATCCGTTTCTTCTAACACACAACCTTACTTTTTGGATGTATAAATGAAAAAAATATCGCGAGTTCTCATCATTTGTCTAGATTGAACGAGGCCAACTGACAGGCCAGAAAACAGAGGATTTCGCATGACGAACACCCTTGGCCCATTATTTGTAAGCGAGAACCGGTTCCGGTCGGTCAGCCAATGAGCTGGCGTCCCGGCGCAGCTCTTTCCCAAAACACTTTTGAACGAAAACGCTTTGTTCCTACTATTTTCAGTTTTTTTTTGAATGATGTTCAAACATTTTCATGTTGCATTTTTTCTAAAATCCATTCACAGCTACGAAAAATTGAAAAAAGTTCAAATCGCTGGCAGAAAATGTTAAAGATTGATGTCGTATTCTATTCAAGACGAAGGGAGTATAATTTTTAGACGGCTTTTTTGTTCAAAATTGTATCCACTTGCCAAAAAATGTTATCAACTCTTGATAATCACTAATAGGCTTTATTGTTCCGCCATTGGAAGCCGCGTCATGAGCGTCCTCCAATGGTCAAATTGCACTTTGCAACCAATAGATAAAGATAAAAAACTGCAGACCTGAAAAAAGTTTTTGTGCGCATCATTTTTTCTTCATTACTACACTTCTTCGTCTATATTTGTTTCGAACCGCGGTTCTATGATTTCGAAAATACCTTTAGATGAAAAAATTGTGGCGACAACGGTTCATGTCGAGCGGAAAAGAGGGTCCAATCGATGGCCTCAAGTTCGAATTTTCCAGAAAGCCAAGAGACAAAAAATGTATATTTCTAATGACCTTTTTTGCAAGAAGCCCGAATCTCTTTCAAAATCATGACATTCGCTTACTTTGAAGACAAAACGCTTATTCAGCTCATAATTTTTCAATTATTGTTCAAAAGTCTCAAGAAAACCCAATTAGAAATTTTTTATAGTGATAAATTGGACAGCTTCCTAGTTTTGGGATATGAATTTCCAGATTTTGTTTTATTTTTTACGGCCATTCTTACTTCTTAATTTTACAGACTCTGCTGAAGTAACAACTCAAAGAAGGTCATCCTCAGTCTCTGCCTTGCCAAGAATCCCAGCTTTTGGTTCTTCTTTGAATGAATCTGAGCCAACTTCGTCAAATGTCTCAACGAACCCATCCGGTTTGAAAACTTCCCCTTTTCATTAATAAACAACTTTTCTTTTTAGGTAGCAACGACATGACTTCTTTACGTTTCCATACTGTGACGGGACGACACATCAGTCTCAACAGCCAACGGAACACGGCAACGAGGGACGTGCAGGAGTACGCACTGGGATATGTCTTCACTGAAAGACCCATTCAGAACAACGAGAAACTCTCCATTGTGGTTGGTTTCCCGGAAAATTTTCTTTTTGAAGAGTTTTTGGAGATGAAACAAAGCTTGAAGCAATATTTTCTGTCCCATTTTCAAACTGAATAAAATAAAAATAGTCAACGGCCTTTTTTTAAAAGATGTAATTCTCCCCGAAAGTTGAAAAAAAAACTAATCTTATGAAACTGTTTGCAGTGATTTAAACCATTCTAGATTTAGTTTTTTTTGGGGGTTTCAAGCTGAAAAAACGAAATACTGCAAAAAGAAAACTATTTTTTTCTTAATTCATGAATTCTTTCAAACAGGTAACCGCGGTCCAACATCTATACGAAGGAGGCTTGGCGTTCGGCGTCACATGCTGCGATCCTTCGACTCTTCGCGCCACTGAACTCCCCGAAGATTCTTCGGCTTTGATTGATATGCCGCAGTACTGGGTCGTCATCAAAGATATCGCTCTTCAGCCTCGCGTCAACTCTATTTTGAGCTTTTGGATCACCGATAGCGGTACGTGAATCTCAAAATTCAAATTCAGAATCGTCGCACAACATCTTGAAGAAATAGAATCACATCATGTGTTTCCAGTAAGCATACGGACCACAAAAACCAATTCCAAGACTGGCTTCGAAATCTACAAATAAGATTTTATACATTTAGTCTCATTCAGAAGGCTTAGTGTTTTTTTTTTTTCAGTACTGTCTGCATTCAAACTTATTTGCTATTTATTGAAATAGGTCAAAATCTCAGAAAACTCAATTTTTCATTATAAAAATTTACTGAGTGAAATTTGATTTACAAAAAAGTTTTCAGGAGAGGTGAAGTTCGAGCATGATAACAAAGAAGCAAGAACTGTCCTTCATGTGGATAATTCTCTTCCGCTCTACATGTATTTCGACGTCTATGGTGCTACACAAGCCATAAAATTGCTAGGTAACATAACTTCGAAATTTCACGAGAATCATGTCGAAACTTTAGGAATAAGCCGGTCATCCGCTCAAAACCACGTTTTCAATGCACGGGTCAACATGCCTACAAGAAGGTGATTTTATATCATTATTCTATGAACTAACTGAATATTCAGAGCTGTGCGAAATGGAGAATCGAGTCAGGAAGTTTCTGGTAACTCTTCGCTCGAAACAAGCTCAAGACCTACCCCTCGTATTAATCCATCCGTCTCGATCCCTGTTCGAGTCAACAGTAAGCTTTTTGTTATTTAGTCAGCAAGGATTTATTTTTGTGGCTGAACTATTTTTCAATTGATAAAAAGTTTTAAAAGTCGAAAGTCGTTTCGACTTTTACAAAATTTTCAAAAATTCAGCCGATGGCCGTAGAATTCTCGAACAAAAAAATTCACTTTCATTATTATCAATTCTTTGTTTGAAACCATAACTTCTACTTTTTCAGCTGCTGAAAGAACTCGTCAATCAATCGATGATCTGTTAGGCGGACCGCCGACGATGCTTCCTCCACCAGCTTTGCCAAGAACACCGCCGCCAGTTGCCCCTAGAACGGTAGCAAAATAATCCCAAAAACTTTCCTACGTGTGAGTTTCAGAATCCGTACTTGCCTGCTCCTCCAGCTCGACCACCGCTTCCGACTATTTCGAACCAACCGCTCCGTCAATCCTCACAGCCTCCGATGGAGACTTTGACAACGCCAATGGTATTATCCATTAATGAGCCTATAAAGTAGCCAGAACCAGGTGCGATCGCCAATATCTGCACCATCTACTCTGGCTGAAACGGCAACTTCGGCTTCTGCTGGCCGCAGCTCTGCCGTAATGCCTGTCTCTGCCCCATTAGCCACTGCGGCTGCGCCTAAAAGTGCCAGCTTTTCCGCGCCACCGCCGGTCAACGACAAGGATGAATGTTTGGTGAGTGAAAACCGCCTTTTTATAATTGGGTTAAAAAAAGAATGTTTTTAAACACCGTGGCTTATAAATGATGCGCTCACAAGAAAATTTTTTGAAGTGAGACAAAAATTTATGAAATTTGTAGGAATGTTTTTCGTGATCCCGTCCTTCCCGATTACGGAAAGAAACTTTGAGTTATTGTTCAATCTTTTAATATGGAATTAGGACATAAAATCCTTTACTTCAGTGGATAATTATCAAAAGTTGAACAAAAAGCTGCAAAATTTAAAATTTTTAGTCCCTCTCATTGAGAGATTTCCTCTACCCATAAAAATTTCCGATTACAAATGAAAAATTTTAGATTTGCATGGAAAATACAATCAACGCAGTTCTATACACTTGCGGTCACATGTGCATGTGCTACGACTGCGCTCAGCAGCAACTTTCTCGCTCCGGAACTTGTCCAATGTGCCGCAAGGACATCCGCGACGTCATCCGCATCTACAAGTCTTGAAATCATGTGTTTCTAACAACCAATCCATTGCAGTTTGTACAGGCCACAAAAATCTTGTCCACAAAGCCTCTCAACACTAAATTTATCCTAGATAAAATCTCGGTTTCCCCATTTTTTTTTATTTTCACATATTTGTTTGATGAACCCAATCGTTTTCTCGACCCATATTATCGAATCAAATTCTCCGAACTAGAATATAGATAAAGCCTCATACTTTCGGATGACTCACAATTTTTTTTTGCCTTTGCTGTCATATGGGTTCGCTCTACTCAAAGCGGAATATTTGTGACCACGGCTACAAGCTTCGATTATCAAACGCAACTCAATTTTTTCTTTGTAATTTTGAACTCAATTTCTTTCCTGCTCAATTTATTACTATGTATTTGTGTTCTTTCTCAAATAAATATCATTTTTTTTCTCATTTTCTATTTTATTTTGTTTGATATCCCAAAATCATTGAGCAGGCCTTATAAAATTCATAAAATTAAAAAATTTCAGAAGATATAAAGTTTCGAATTCATCAAAGATTCATTCTTTGGGCTTCAAAAACTTTAAAACCATAGCAACAAAAAAAAAAGAAAAGAAAAAAGAAAAAGAGAAAAAATTTATTTTTTGAGGCGATAAGTCGGTTTTATTTTTGCATGAACGCTATAAATTTTTTTGTAATTTCTTTTAGTTCATTCATTCAAAAGTACTTTTTCAACCTCTACAAGAAAAACCAGCAAAAAAAAAACATATTTTAGACGTTGCTGCAGTATCCTTGACTCCAGCTGGCGAAAAATGAATTTCGAAACCACTGATAGAATTTTTGAAACCTAAAATGCCTGAACAGATTCATTCATTAGAGGTCCGTCAGCTTAAAGTTTCTTCCAATCCAAAACTTGCCATTCATTAAATTGACATGAACTTTTTTCACATGTGTCTTTTTCTAAAAGCTTTACATCGTTTTACGGTTGAAACCCTACAAAGAGAACAAGCTTTGCAGTTCTCGTGCCTCTCGCCGCATCACTAAACAGTCGGCGCTTAACTGTTTGAGGGTGATCGATTGCGCTCCCGTTGACTTTTTATGTCACTTCCTCCCTTTTTGTCCCTAATCCATGCGCCAAAGTTCTGAATTAGCAAGTCTTTCCGTAGTTGAGACGACTTTTTGAATTTTAACTTTTCTTTGTGATTTGGGATGAGGGGGAGGGGGGGATCAAAGTATAATTTTTTCGAGTTTTATCAGATTTTTTTCTCTGCTAGTGAAGTCAGAAATTCTTTAGGAATCACACTTATAGCTCGAATAAAACCGAAAACTTCTAGTCAAGCCCGATTTCCAAACTAGAGGTGCGTAAAATAAGGAATTTCTTCCGACCTTGAGCCGAATACAAAATGACCTCCGAAGGTAGGGCGATAAAACGGGAGGAAAAGTCAAAGCGCGGGAGATAAAGGCGCGAATCTCGGCCACGTGTGCCATTGGAACGGCGCAAAACACCGACGCTCCCGACGTTTATCGTCGGCTCGTCACTGTCTCTTTTGTTCTCAATTTTATCATCTATTGTCATTCTCTCACGCTGCTTCCCTTTTTGGTACACTTTACGTTTTTCGGTGAAACTTTTTCAACATTTTTTGCTGTCAACACTTCAGAAACTCATACTCTCAAAATTTATGTTTGTGGAAGCTTGATATGTTATTGTCAGCTGGAATCCGAATAATTTCATATGTAAATTTTTTTCGTTTTTTTCGATACATGATATCACGATCGAAACATGTTGTATATTGTTTTTCCAAATGTTTTTTTTGAATATTGTAACAAAGACCCATTCATTTTGCAATTTTTTTGAATTCCTTTTTCCGTAGAAAACGTCATAAAATATTTATGATGAGAGTTTCGAAAAAAAAAATCGGCCTTTTCTTACAAGAATAGCCGTTTTTGACGGTTACTTTTTATTTTCTAAAATAAGAAGGAGCATTAACTTTTTTTGATCGTGAACTGTTTTTTTGATAGATGCCTAATGATAGAAACGTTAGTTTATCTTTTAAAGTTTATTTGCCTATATCGAAAGTACAATAATTGGACGTTTTTCAATCGACTTCTATTGTTACAAACTAAAAAGTGAATTTCGCTGTAATTTTCTAATTTTCCTTTGAGAGTTTCTATTTTCAGACGCAGAAATCAACATGAAAGCACAGGCGTTTTTGTGCGTCGCGTTTTTCCTGGTGCGTTTGTCCCACTTCTTCATGTTACAACACGATTCTTGGTGTTCCTTGTCCTAATTGAAAATGATTACTTGAGAAATCATGCGTACGGTCTTGGAAAATATCACAGCCAGGATTTATGAAAAGATAGAAAAATAGGAAAAAAATCTCAAAATGACGGCTAATAAGGGAATATTAAAACATGTTGAAAATTTTTTTGCGTTTTTGTTTAATATTTATGTTGTATTGGTGATAAAGTTTACTTACTTTTGGGCTTTGAAGATAAGCATTAATTCGTAAAAACCATACGACTTACGAAATTTTTTCAAATCCGGGAATTCGCGTTGATAGCGACTTAACAGAAGGCCATATTACGGCACTTCTGAGATTCTTAGAGAATATCGCAAGCACAAACTTAATATAAAAATGGCTTCCATTGTCAGTTTTATGTCGATCAGAAGCTGTAAACCAAAAACGAAAGTAGGGAAATAACAACATTTTAAAAATCAACATAGCATCTAATACAAAAATTCTTTTCTTAACAGAAAAATATAATTTTCAAATTTCAGGTCCATTTCATATCAGCGGAAGAAAAAATTAAAAACGCACATGAAACTATGACCGACCACATTATGAACGATATTACCACTCACAAGGTTTTTCAAACTCTTTTTCTGATAATTTCAATGTTTTCAGGTCATGGTTTACAGTAAAACATTTTGCCCGTACAGCAAGAAGTTGAAGAAAATTTTGAGCAACTACAATATTGAAGATTTGAAAATTGTTGAGCTCGATGAGCAGAACGATATGACTGATATGCAGGTGCGTGAAGGCTTCTACCGAGATAAGTTAATAATTTCTCGAACCCTTTCTTTACCAATTGTTCTTGCACAAAATCAAAGTCTTTTAGTGAGTTTTCGATTTTTTTCACAGATATAGTTTTTTTCCCTCAAAAATTCAACATTTTCTGTTTTCAACTAACCATGCAAATTTTTTGATAAGACTTCGATTTCTTCTCAACTTTTCTTTGTTCAACCTTTTTCTAAATGTTATCCTATAATTGAGCTCTTCGTTTTTCATGAAAAATGTAGCAGAAAACGTTGTTACTAGATCATGTGCAAATGTTTTGAGAGGTCGCGCGAAACCGCTGTGCGATCGCACGCGTCATAACTTTCCAGAGAGGAAAAGGACCAAAAAGAAAATATTACATGAACAAATGCGGAAAAATTCTTTTTGTTCTACCAGCTGCTCAATGTGTTCGATACAAATCCCTTTGTGAATTTTTAGAAAAAGTTTATGTTTTTTTCATCCGTCTAGTATTATGCCACAGTTTGAACGATAATCGGTTTTTTGAGCCTATTATTTTCCTTTATTGTGATCATTGTTTTTATAACCAAAAAAATTTTTGTATAAGTTTTTCTGTACCTCAGCCAACAAAAAAAAAAAAAAACAACAAAATCAAGTCATCTTTTTGAACTGTGTAGAGAAATACAACATAGGGCGTAAAGAATTGAAATTCTTGTTTATCTTCAGAACGGACCTATCGAGGATCTTTCCAAATAAAAATCAACGGATCGATAGTGTACTAACGGCAGCCTGAAAAGCTTAATTCCAGGATTTCTTGAAAACGATGTCTGGTCGAACGACGGTGCCTCAGCTGTTCATCAACGGCCGATTCATTGGCGGACACGATGAAACGCGCGCCATCGAAGACCGCGGAGAGTTGCGGCCTCTTCTTGAGAAGGCAAACGCCCTGTGAGCCTTTCCTCATTTATCACTTATGGAATGCCGTGAAACCTATCAAAACTTCTTCTCATTTTTTCCTAAGTGTCAAACTTTAAAAACAAAAAAATAGGTATGCAAAATTTTTCTTCATCACTATTTTTTTATTCTAAGAATCGGATCAGAAAAAGACTCAAAAACAATTTTCGTATGTAAGAGATCCTTTGGACTTTTCAAAAGATTGAAAAAATCATATTTTCTATCAATTGTAAGAGGAAACGCGTTATTTCCGAGCACTTCCCTTTTCCCCCTCACTCCCCAGATAATTATTTCAAAACGGCGAGTTGTCTTTTCCAGGCAAACTAACCGGGTTCCCAATGGTGAAAACGGTTTGTAAAACGCTTTTTTCAGTTCGAATTATTTCCCCTAACCTGTTCTCAGTTTCCTGTTAACAAATTTATAGAAAAAGTACGTTTCAAATGTTTTGGATGGTTGGCGTCTTTTTTTCTAATGCTTTAACCTTTTTTCGACTTTTTTGGTTTTTATTTTGCTGTTCTCACTTTGCATTGCACGTTTGTTCTAATTTTGTACTTGCTTTAGAATCGGACCGGTATTAGGGCTTTTTTTGTTATTCGCTTAATTTAAGTTCCAATGCGATGTGATTTATTGTTCAATTCAATAATGTACTGACACGGAGAGCCGTTTTTTGCCAGTTGAATATTTGACGAAACGTTACAAAAATTTGCTGTGAGGTATAATTTCGGATCAAATATTTTTTGGCTTTTCGAAGCCCTTGAGTCAAGTCGAAGGGCTTCGAAAATGTTGGAAAACCTATCTTGTCCCAATATTTCCAGTCAGTGCAAAATTCAAAACTACATAACTCGTATGAAATGCAAAATAGTTTTTAAAAAAAGCTTTGAATCTAAAGTTAAAAAGGTTTTTTTAATTACATTTTTGCAAGGTTTGTTCAAATTTTCAACTGGCCACTGAAACGCTCATCTCATCCAAAAATGAAAAACGATAACCCGCATCGCATCGGCAAAGCTAGAAGTAACTGGAAACTTCTGATCTGCTCAAGTATAAGAAATCGCGTTTACAGAAGTGATCGAAACGAGTTCTGAAGCGCTGCAATCGCACGCAACCACGTCGCTTCATTGCCAAATCATTTTTTTCCTCCCTTTTTCTTCCTTATGTTGAGATTTATTCACTAATTATTTCAGATTATGTTCGTTTCCATCCGAGAATAGTCGTGACTAAGGATTATTTCTTCAATAATGAAAAACCCAATCGGCTTCCCGATAATTGTGAATAAATATTTTTCTTTAATTGTTGGAAATTTCAGCAGATTATCTTGAAAGGAAAATGGTTTTTAGTTCAAAACAAATTTTAGTTCTATCACTTGTAATTTGTGATATTTTTTTTACATCGAGGAATATTCTACTTTTCACCGCCCCCAAGTCGATCAACTCAGGTCCTATTCTGATAATCGAGGGAGTTGGTTCATAGAAACATCCGTCCTTGTGTGTGAAGTCGCGTTCTCCACTATCCATATTTCTCAATTTACTTGGTTGTGTCACGACAGGGATTGAACTTGTGATTTTTTATAGCAATCTGTTGCGCGTTTTTATAAAAAAAAGTTGGAAACTGAAAAATCTAACCATTTCTTTTTGTTGAGTCACAATTAAACAGAAATAAAAAAAAAATAAAAGCACAAAAGAGAAAAAAAAAACGAGTTAGACCTGCCGAAAGAGCAAAAGAGTGAATGGCATTGACCTTGGACGCGTCGCGCAACTCCTGCAGTTGTTTTCGAGCCCCCACAGCAGCCGAAACCTTGGCCGATGCGACGCTGTTTTGCGAGTGTCCAGACCGCAGACCGGTTTTCGCCGCAAGACGTCTTTGAATTTGCTTCTGTCCATCGTGTCCTCTGTTCCTCAATGCAGCTAACGTCATCTGTTCAGCCTGATTTTGCCTCTTTTTGATTCACTTTAAAGGCTGCTCTGAAGAAAAATTGAAAGAATAAATTATTATTTGTCAGAACTTTCAAGTTCATTTCCCAACTGCTAAAAAAAGTTTCACTTACAATGATAGTTTTTAAAAAAATCGTTCGAAAAACGTTCATCAAAGTTTTTCAAAACAAAATCCTGAAAGCCAAGAATGCAAACATTTGAGGTGAAGCAGTGGTAGGCGTTTTGTTTGAGAACAACTTTCTGCTGGAAACCTTTCAGCTGATATCGGTCCGAGAAACGCGTCTCGTCATTCTGTTGGTTCACCTGTGACTACAGTCAATATTGTAAAAACTCTTTCAACTTGATTTGTTTTAGTTTTTGATCTGTGCTCTAAAGTTTTTCACGTAATTTGAATCTTGAAATCATATTTTCTTTTTTTCAATTTTACAATAGAAATTTTTAATTAAAAAGCTTCATAAAAAAAGTTATTTTTCTTTTGACACTGACCTTACTTCTCTCCAGTGCAAAAAAAGTTATCATTTGATTAATTTTTTTGAACTTTTTTTCAAGCCATAATCAGTACTCTTTATTTATGAACGTTCGAGTGGAATTTTATTGTCATTCTTTAAAATATCTTTTTTTCAACTGTTTCAGCTCAAAATGAGCGCCGTACAGCCGGCGAGCCAGAAACGCGTGATGGCTTTATTGATACCAGCGTTGATCTGCAACATGTTGGCTTTCACTCTAATCTTGCCGCTCTTCCCTACGATCCTTCATTTCTACGCACAACCAGGTCGCAGGGTTAGTTTTTCTCTTCCATCTTTGATAAAGATTTGTCACCCTGAAGTTTTTCTTTATTAAAGTTCAACAAGAGTCATACCCATAGAGCTGACTATTATTTTTATTCACGTTACTAGGGAAATGTCGTTGATTAAAAACTGAAGACCGACCTTTTGTGTTTGGAGATTGTAGGATGAATAATATTGGAGGCCAAGAGTATTTTTTTGAAGTCATTTCGACCGCTTGTTTCCCTTCAGAAATTTATTTTTTTCCTTTTTTTACTTTTTTTGGTTATGTTCTGCTCTAAAACTATTTACCAGTATATTAATTAATTTAAAAAGAGAATGGAGAAAAAAATCGGCTAAAATTAATGCCTGTTGTTTTCTGGTTTTTCAATTTTTATCAGCTGATTTCTGTTCGAATAAGGAAAGCTTCTATTTTTCCATTTTCCTTTTTGATATAATAAAAAAATTAAAAATTTTTTTCTACGTCGTTCTGAATAATCAGTTTCTAAATGTTTTTTTCAGGATTTTTTTGTACGACATCAGCGTGAAAGGACTCCAGTCTTTCCAATCTTTGATAGGAGTTCCCCACAACGAACGATATGATAAAGTTTTTTTTGGAGGTTTGGCTCATTTCTTCATCCTTTTACCAGTTTTCCTGTCTTCAGGCTTGTTAGGATCACTGTTCAGCGCCCTTCAGTTCATCTCTTCCCCAACCTTGGGCTCATTATCCGACGTCTACGGACGGAGGGCTATCATCATTTTGTGTTGCATAGTCACAGCTTTTTCTTACTTGGTAGGCTTCTTTTGGTGTCTTTTCATTCAGTTTTATGGAAATGGGTTCAGGTTTGGTTGAGGGCCAACACGTTTACCCTTTTCGTACTGTCCAGGGTCCTCGGAGGACTTAGCAAAGGGAACATCAATGTTGCGGTATCCATTGTTTCGGATGTATACACAACAGAAGACCACCCAAAAGGAATGGTTAGTTGATGGAATCCGAAATTTCGCAAGAAAATTTTTTTTAAGGCTTTGATCGGCATTTCTTATTCGGTCGGCTTTTTGGTAGGACCTATGATTGGAGCGTATTTGTCCAGCATTGCACCAACGGTATTTTTCGTTCGATTATTTCTTTGTCCCTGAAAGTTTACTTCTTAAAAAGTTGAAAGTATGCAAATCGGGAATTTATAAAAACATCAACAAAGCTCGATTTTCAGCTGATTGATAATACCTTCACTTATCTTCTTAAAAATATTTTCAGGAAGCGCTTCACACAACACCTGCAATTTTTTCTCCATTATACTCACCTTGATGGAACTTTTCTTCCTAGCTTATCTACCGGAAACTCTGGAGATTTCTAAAAAAAGTTTTTATTAAAACTAATATTTTTTTATTGGATATCCTTTTACAGAAAAATTTCGAAGAAATAAAAAAAACGCGACAGGAATTGATTCGACCTAACGCTTTATTCCGATTTTCTGCGGTTCAAGCTCCAGTGCAAAGTAAGTTGATGAAAAACTAAAGTTCTGAACATTCACAAAACGTTACTTACCGGTTTTCGACTACAAACGAACTGATTCAAAACGCTTTTGACTCAAAACAGTTTGCTCGAAATTGGTTTCAAAAGTGTTGAAGAAAACTGTTGAAGTGTAGTTTAAAGTCTCTTCAAATCCAGTTTACGCGAGTTTCTAAATAAAGGCTTCAAAAATACATATTGGGTTTTCAGAAAAAGAAGAAATGCAAAAAATCGGTCTCGTGTACTTTTTATACCTTTTTTTGTACTCCGGTTTGGAGTTCACTCTACCTTTCTTGACACATCTACGATTTGATTTTGGGAGGTTAGTTCAGTACTTTTTACATCAAAATGATCCTACTCAATTTCAGCATGCAACAAGGTAAAATTTATCTGTTCACTGGACTTCTCATGCTGCCGATACAAGGACGGTTGGTTCGGAAAGTTCCCATACATAGGTCAACTTTCCTATCATTCTATTTTCACTTCAAAAGCTTCAGACAAAAAGCCTTGGCTGAAAAGGGAATGTTATGCATAATACCCGCTTATGTTTTGGTGTCAATTTCTAACTCATTGACAGTTTTCTATTTTGGAATGGTATTCTACGCAATAGGTAAACCCAACAAGTCATCGTTGATATTTTTGGATTTTTTTTCAGCTTCGGCAATTGTAGTTAGCTGTTTGACGACGTTGGTTCACTCAGTGTATCCCGCTCAGGAAAAAGGAGTTATTGCTGGTGTTTTCCGAAGCTTGGGCTGTCTGGCTCGGGCTCTTGGGCCCATGGTAGCTTCTACTTGTAAGTCTCTTCTTCTACGGTTTTTCACGGGTCATGTCTGTAAATTTCTCTTAATAATGTGATTCGACCTTCCAAGTTTGTCTCAAACACTGAGTAGAAAAATTCGTATTGGTGCCAGCATGTCAAAGAACATTTTTCAGGCTTCTGGATGATTGGTCCTACGAACTGCTACCTCCTCGGAGCTGTCCTGCTCGTAATCCCGTTTGAAATGTTCCGACGCATGAAAAATCCCGCTGAACTAAAATCAGATTGAAACCGCTCGTCCAACGGCTTTAACTTTTTGTATTTTCTAGTCCTTTTCAAATTATTGATTTTTGCCTTCCGAAGTTTTCTATCTGCGTCATAATCTTCTTCCAAGTACATTGTGATCACAATAAGGGAAAATATAAGAGTTTATTGGTCTCTTGCCAGCCAGTGCATTATTTCTGTGGCCTTAAACATGAACATGAATAAAGTATTTCAAACTTTGCGAAAAAAGCGTTTGTTGAAGGTCTTGAAAAGTTCTTCCCTTCGGTTCAAGATTTCCGACATTTCCACTTTTGAGACAACCTGTAATTATATTGTTTTTTGGGCCAGAACAAGGATTTGATTCGAAGGAGACCCGAAAACCAGCGATTAGAAAACCTTGGAAATGAACGACGTTGCTGCGCGATGGACGTCGTCACGGCTTCCGCCAACCTCTTTTATTGTACGAAGTAGTCTTCTCAAGTTGCGCCACTGTTCATTCGTCAGGTAGCGCTTCACAAAGTCCTCAACGCACCGAAGTCGGTATTTTTCAATTCCTTTTTGAAACCTTGGCTGCGTTAACCATAACTGAAAAAGAAGAATCTGGGGGAGTCTGGAACTTTGAAGTAGAGGTTTCTAGGTTGGAATCCTTTTTTCCTAAAAATCCTTCCAACACAGGATCAGAGGCTGTTGAATTGTGCGAGAATGCTTCTTCTTCGGGAGTCGTTGTACTTTCTGAAAAATTTTATTTGATATATCAAACATTTTCTCTTTTGCGGATACTTGAATCAACTTCGAACTTTTTCTCTCTCTCACATTAATAACAAGCCGTGTTTTTGGAAGGTTAAGTGAGAGAAAAATGAAGCTGACAAGTTGAAAAGTTTGTGGAAAACTAAGCTTCCTTTTTCACTGCGATAACTAACCTGCTTCAGCACTTTCCTCGTTCCTGTCGAAATCGGTGATATTCTTGATGAACTCGGTGGTTATGTTTTCGTCCGCCAAAGTGGTTGATTCAAAATTGGTGGAATTGCCAGTTTCTTCAATGGAGCTTGAAGTTGAACTCAGGGTGCGATTTTCTGCAGAAGGAGTAGTTTTCGATCGAAGTAATAGATCTGCGGCTTCTGCGGAGTTGAGCTCCTCTACGACCATGCTAATTTCAATTTTGGGCATGATTGCTCGCCGACAATCAACAGTGAGTATCAATAGAGCCACAGAAAATATGAATACGGCGAACCGGAAGGAAAGCATGCCGAGGTCGAAACAGTTGAAGAATGGTTGGGTCACAAAACGGCATCGGCTGATTCGTGAACGAGCATTTTGGTGACGTCGTTAGTCAACTTTATTAAAGGAAACGGAAAATGCCTGTGGTCGGAGAGACACTGTGGCGGACGAGTTCCATAAGTGCCTCTTGACGTCTGGGATGCACCTCCCGTTTAAACTTTTACTTCGCCTGCCGCAAAAGGCGATGAACTATTCGAGGAAACTACTGTTGTGCCAACCGGGGTTTCCACTTTCAATGGGAGGTAATTAAACCACCAGAGAAAGTTTTTCGAAACGTAATAAAACGCAAGCAAATATCGACAAGTTTGAGATTTTTGTACCCCTTCATCATTGTTTATTTTAATAAACTTCTTGGCAGTGTTCTAGTTTGAAACTGTGAGGTTGCAGGCGGTACTAAAGCTCCTTCGGCTTCTCGACCGACCTGAAAAGACGATTCATAGAAAGTTCAATAAGTCAGAGCTTTTTTCCCCTTTTTGAAAATTGGTTCTGTTAGAGGTCTTTTTGGCCCTTGAACTGTATTATTTTTCGTATTGACTAAATGAATGATAATGATGATGATGAGAGCCGAACCGATGCAATCAGAACGCAAACATTTTTCCATTTTTTTTTCAGTCAGGAATAGTAATGAAACGCCCAACTATGAATTTTTCATTTGTAGAACAGTTATAGATTAGGATTAAACGCTAAAAATAAAAATTGGCAAAGATGAACTTTTCTGTTAGACCCAAAAAAAAATGAACTTTTGATCTCAAATCGAAATTTTTTCAGCTGACCTTTAAAATTTGAAACTCTTCCAATTTTGTCATTTCTAATGGTTTTTGAACGAATAAGAAAAACTTTCTAAGTAGTTTTTGAACTTATTGGGTCATGTTCGAAGATGAGGGAGACAATTGGAAAGTCCTAGAAAAAAAGGTTTTCCTCAATTATGGGATTCCCAAGTCTATCGCTCAAGGTTTTCTTTTTTTCTTTTCACTGCTCTGCAGGATTCAACGAGTTCTAGGTTGGAGACTCATGTGAATTGTTTTTTATGAGAAGTTTAGCTTATAATTGTTTTTTTATTAAATCAAACATGAGTTATTCTAGGCTTGTAAAAGTTCAAAACCAAAAAGTTTCAAACGGAGATATTTTTTTTCAAAACTCCTAGAACCTACTATGAAAGAAATTTTACCAGTTTTACGCACAAGTGAAGGACGCAGACCTTTTTCCAGCTGGTTCCAATTAATGTTCGTGTGTGGCGGAAAAAGCAAGATGGACGCGTTGCAACGTCTGATAATGGCGATAAAAAACGAGGGCCGCGAATTTCCATTTTGAAGGCCGCGGCTCGGTCCGCAGAATCCATCCACACACACACACACTTTTATCGCAATTTCGTTTCTCTTCATTGCCTCGATTCCGAGCGGATCATTCTCACGCCTTCGTCCGCTGTCCAACGGGTCCGTTTTATTTACGACTTCTTTTGATTTGCCGCCATCGATTTCAAACCTCCAAGTGCTTTCTCAACATTTTTGCTTTGTGGCTTCTGCTCAATACTTTTGTTCTACTTTCTACACAGTCATAATCCATTACCAGAAATCCATAGAAAAATTGGAAAAGACTTTCGAATGATTTTTTATTGATCGTTTCGAAGTTTCAGAATGAATAAATCAATAGACCAGAACTATAAATTTTTATATTAATTTATTTTTTTGACCTGAGAACTTTTTCCTTTGAAAATTTTTTTATTGGACCATTTTTTTAAACCCGAAATGTCTATATCTCCTGAAAGGGCTATAATTTCATTTTTTTGACCTAAAAAAAGGGCTGAAAAAAATGCTATTTTTAGTTAATAAAGTTTTTTTAATTCCATCAAAATGACCTCCAGCCTAGATCAATTTTGACGGGTCTATTTTGGAAAAAAATTGGAATGGTTTCCTACTTTCCACTTTCTGGATTATCGGTCGGAATGGGAGTAAAAAGCATACAAAATGAAAAAAATATAACAAAGAAGCTGCTGAAAAAGCTTGTTTTTTTGACGAGGATTTTTAAGATTCAGTCCGGAAACTGGTTTACTTTTTAGGTAATAGATCTAAAAAAAAATTTTTTTCAAATCTTTTCTAAATTCCTTTTTTTCATTTCTTCGAAAAATTTTTTTATACTTGTTATGTTCAAATTAGAAGACATCTAAACCTAAAAAGCGTCTTCATACTTTGAGATTTTCGAAGGGAAAACGCCCAGAACGACTGAAACTAAACGAACCGAGTTTTTGAACACTTCGTTCGTCTCACGCAGGCCTAATTGAATTGCTTTCAAAAATTTTACGAGCGTTCACGCCGTACTAGTTCTTGTACCGGACGCTGAGAAACCAGGAGAAATGTATGATATGTGGCGCTTTTTTTGAATTTCGTGACCGAAGCGCCGGAAAAAAATGTATTGTTTGTGGTTATTCAAATTCATCTTGTTTACAAGAACTTTTTTGAAGGAGAATGAATATTCAAAAATTCAGAAATCATTACTGTCTGTTCTATTTTCGATAGATCTCTATCAGACTCTGATTATTTGAACTGAGTCAAATTCTTCGATTCTGTTTTTTTTTCTAACCTTTTCGAGAGAACTTTTTTTGTCTCACTTTCTTTAAAAATTCAATTTTTTCCGAACATACATATAGAGAATAATGATAGTTTTTCTCAGTCAACCAGATTTGTTCTATTCAAAAAAAGCTCATCACAAGCCGTTTTCTGAAAATGAAAACGAGGATCAAATTTAAAACAAAATGATTATTTATTTTTATGAAAAATGCATTTTGTACGCTTATGTCACTCGCCAGTGACTTTCTCATTGTGCAAAACGTTTGTAGGGGGCGTTTGTTGGCTCTTGGAGTCTTCGACGGCGTCGGTCAGCACACAGTCCGGCAGTCTGTTCAATCGATTCTCCATGCAAATCTGCATACTCTCTCGCGCCACCTTTTTTTCACCTTTTGACTTGCCACTTTAACACTACCTGTTCTCTTGCTCTCACTTGGTTTGCATGTTTCTCAGATATTTTGTTTTTAAAAGACTTTTTAATCATTCTCAAAAGAATTACGCTGTTTTTTGAAATAACAGAACTGAAATAGACTAGAAAAAAATGTTAATTTGGTCTAATAGCGTTATTTCTTTCAATTTTTGAGTGATGTTATTATTTGAGGGTTCCAAAAAAACTGAATCTTGAGCTTTTAAAAAAATTTTTTTCATCGCAAATAAATGAAAAAAACATGAGCTAACTATTTCTTGAATTATTCCGCTATTGGAAACGCTTTTTAAATGTGTACCATTAATAGTTATCAACAAAAAAATAGCCTGTTTGAAATTTCTTGCAGAGAGGTTATTGAGTTATTTATTTCAAAAAAATTATTGAGAGTTTTTTTGAGAAAATTTTTTTAATGCGATAATTTTTTTGGGGATGGCTTGCCCTCATATTCGGAAACGAAGTCAAGAACTTGCCCCAAATTTTGTTTTCGACGACTTTTTTATAATTTGGGTCTTGTTTTGTCCGACTTTTCATAATTTTTTATTTGAGATCAACTGGTCAAAATAATGTCTTTTCACGTGGGAAAAAATTTGCTCATATGGCTGATGTTTTTGCGTGGTCCGAAGAACGAAAAAATATCTTCTTTCCCATGAATGGAATAAATATTTTCGCGGCGTCCAATATCAGCCACGGGCTGTCTCAGAATTATTTTTCGCGATTTTATGCGCCCTAAACGAGTACTTTTGTGTTATTCGCGTGTTTAACGGCAGTGAAGAAATTTCGGCAGAATATACCGCCCTCTCGGAATTTATTAGTATTTTTTCAGGCTCAAAACCCTCGAGGCGGCGCGTCTGGGCATTCGTTAGCCCGCCATTCACTCATTTTTCTTAGTTTAGCTTTTTTTGTGAACCTGTTGTTTTTTACTAGTTATTTCAAGAGTGAACTAAAAAAATTTTTTTCAATAGAAAACTAATGAATAAATAGAGACCTAAGATTTTTGCGAACCACATTTTTTGAGCCCGTAGCAATCTCTATAAAATTTGAATACTGTTAATGAAACTAGATTATTTCAAAAGTTTTCATTCTTCTTTAAATTGAGGGAAGTTCTCTCGAAACTTTAGTTTCATCCCATTTTTTGTATCTGCAAAAAGTCATCATGCAAAAGAGGTTTTTCTCCTTCATTTCAAGCATGGCTCAGAACATGAAGGGCAACAATAGGGAAGAAAGACGCCATTATACAGCAGAATCCATACTTACGCGTCTTTTTGTCGTATTAGCTATTGTGGGAATGTAAACAGAAGCCGGAATTGTTAGCCAGAAGTTGGCGACGGAAAAGGTCGCGTGTCAGGCTGAGGTCGGTTGGCCAGTTCAATGATTGATCGGGGTTCGTGCGGCGTTATTTCAGGAAGAATGTAGTCACCAACTGCACCTTTGGCATCTGCTCTCCTTTCTGTCACAATTATTATCCTCAATAACGTTTCATGGTGCAACTGGTCATTGAAAATGTTGAGAAAAGTCTTTGAAAAAAAAATTTTGTTTGTCTTTCAGAACGTGAATTTCCCGATTATCGATTTCAAGAAACATTATTTTGGTAAAGGAAATCGATCTTTCTCTCAAACTGATCTCCATTCCTAGCTATTTGGGGACAAAATTACTATCATTTTTCAAGTTCTTCAGTTGGTCTCGGTTAGAATTTTTAAGAAGATGTCTCAAGGTAGCTCTGAATAAACTACTTTGCTCTTCGACGTGTTTTTCATTCAACTCTTTTTTGATTTTTTACCGTTTTTGAAATAATGAAAAAGCTCACTTTAGCTGAAGGAATGCTGAAGCGTCTCTGATGTATGATTCTCAACTCGGATGAAGCATGTTTCATTTTGCTTTGATTCGAATCATATCGATACTTTGCATTTCTTTCCAAGCAAAAATAGCTGTACGTTCGCTTGCAATATCGTCGCCTAAATTGCGTCACACTTGACTCAGGGCGTCGTACGCGCAAATAACTGCTGCATATCTCACATACGACGTTTCCGACAAGACTTTCCCGTGTTTCCGATTGTGGCCCGTTTTTCATCTGCTTCGGTTTTTTTTTGATCAATTAAACCCATTCGGAGCTGCAAAATTGCCGTTGTCCTGCGGCCGGGTACGAATTTGGAAGTAAAAAAGTTTTCATTGCTCAGAGATTTCAGTTTTATTTGGCTCATAAGTAATACTTTTCTTGACTTCTTCGTTAATTTTTCTGCTTAGATTGCCTTTTTTTCTCTGGGCTAACTAATAGTCGTTCACATTGAAAGAGTTCTTGCTGTAAGGGGTTGAATCTTGTCACAGTAACGTAGTTAAATTTTTTTATTCATATAGTTCAACGTACACTTTTTGAATTTTCATGTAATAATTCTGAAAGTTCAACCTGCTCAATTTTTCAGTTTTCTGTGGTCTTTTGAGATTTTTTTCTTCGAAACTTTGATGTCGACTCAATTTAGAACTTTTAACTTCAAAAAATTAGAACCAGTGCAGATATAGTGTTCATCAAAGAGTGTTTCGTCCGACCTCTCAGAAAAATTCTGCAAAGAAAAAAAAAATGCCTTCCTCCGTAATCGATTAATTCTCGAACTTGATTTTATAAACTCCTTGAGAAATTTTTCGCTGCTGATGACGTGTTTTTTTCACGAAAATATTTTCGAAACACGAATATATCTATTTTTTTCTGTTTCAGCTAATGCGACTTTTTTTTGATCCAGCTCCAGTTTATTCGAAAATGCTGTATGCTCTCACCATGTCAGATGTTTTCCCAATGCACGGTTTGTTTTAGAACCTCTGGTAGCAAAAAGTCTTTCACCCGTGAAAAAAATATGAGAAAAAGTTTCTGGTGAACAAACTTTTGTGGGAAATACACACATAAACGTACATGAACTGAAATGGATTTGAATTTTGTTTGTTCAATTGTGCCAAGCTGCGACGAGCGACAGAAAGTTTTTTAAGTTCGTGATAGATCTCAAGTTTTGAGCATATGAACAGCAAAAAAAAAAGAGCTCGAGATAAATCTTGAAAATCTCTTCTTTGGCTGTATTTTCATTCAGTAAAAAGTATCTGTCTCTATAAATGCGAGAGTTTAGAGAAAGCAAAAACGCGAAAAACGATTTTCGAAGTAAAGCTGCTCTATGGAGAAGATGATTTGTCCTTTTTCAGCCTTCTTAGTCACCTTTCTGAATTTTTCCATTTTTTTGTTCTCACTTATTCAGTGCAATGTAAGATTCAAGTAGTTGTGAAATACCGGCCACGAATCGGTTTTAGTAACAGTTTCTTTGATTATTTGAATTTTCATAATGAAAGTTCAAAATGAAGCATTCATCTCGAACCTTATGCTCTACTCGCAGTATGCTTATGAGGATTTCAAAATCTTGTTCGGTACGTTTGAAAATTCTTGAGTTTTGAGCGAAATGATAGTTGAACATAATTCTTAAATTGAAAAAAATAATCAATGACTATTACTTTTTTTGCTTCCATTTGAGGAAAACTGAGATTTTCATTTCTCGAGACGGAGGAGCGTATTCAGGCTCTGCACTCAAGTGGCCACTCTGCGCTTGCCGTGGGACACATCCTCCGTCTTGAGGCGCCGCCCCTTGCATCGCCGTCCGCTGTCAGCCGGCCATCATCTCGCTTCTTCATCATACGTTCCTTTTACTCTCCGATCCAACCGAAAATCCTCTTTCCTTTTTGTCACCCAGTTGCTTCCGGTAAGCAGCCAATTACGACGAGCCGCTGGACGTGTCGCTAATTATATTTCACGTCCGGCATGCTCGACCAGGAGAATGTCAACTAACTTGTTTCCGCCGATTCGGCACGACTCTCCTGGGATTCAGAGGTTGCTCTGATCTCACGCTCAAAACGCCATTTGTCATTTGTAAAGTGTCAAACGTGCCCGCAACAATTGTTGCACAACACTGTTTTGCTTTTTCCTGAAAGCCTTCTTACGGCTTTTTATGAAAGTTCAAAATCATTATTTCATTTTTTGATTTTGCTCCTTTTTTGCTCTTCCAGTTCTTCCGAATGTTATGAGAATTCATTTTGTTTTGATTTCTTTTAAAGTATCAAATAAAAACACTTTAGTTATTACTTGCTCAAAAAAAAATTTACTTCAGTTCTAGGCACGATTGGAAAATAATGTTTTTAGCATCCGAAATTCTCTCGATTGCTGAAGTTGAATATTTCTCATTGGCATAAATAAACCAAAAAAAAAAAGCTTTTTCCCTCTTCCCCCTCTTTGTTTGGCCTTCTGAACTTTCTATTCAATTTTCTCGTCGAAGCCGTGATTCATGTGATTTTTTTTTCTCATTCAGAAACATTTTTTTTCCAGGTTATGGCCTGATAATCGTCTCGAAGCCAAAATGACAGTGGCGAACCTCCTTTTGAAAGCTTTCTCGCTAGTTCCGCATTTGAACTTCCAGTTCAAAAAGACGGACGATGTCTTCAATCTCGACTGGCGGAGTGAATATATTCAGGTGCGTGCTATTTTATTTTGCGAGAATGCAATAAACAGGAAGCAAAAAGTGGTAGTGGGTGCAATGGGAAGAAAAAAGAAGGAATAAGAGCTTGCTGGGTCTTTCTGCCAATGCTCGTGGATTACAACATGTGCGCGCCAGATGAGCGTGATCTGTCGAGTTTCGTTGTGTTACTGTTTGCGTTTTCTCGCTTAGGTTACACAAAAGATATTTTTTTCTCCTTATTTTTTTGAATTAGTTACTTAAAAATAAAACTTGTTCATGTTAAAAAAAAAAGACACGGACAGCTTCAACTTTTGAAATTTACCCATTTTAGTGTGATGTCGGCTAAGAATTTAAAAAATAGTCGAGACACAGTGAAACTTCAGAAAAATGAGGATGATCCGAAGTAGTACTCATATCTTATTTAAAACCAAACTTCTGAACTGTCGAAAACGTCTAAAAACGTGAGACGAAAATCCCACTTTTCTAAAAAGAGAAGACAAAATCTTTTTTCACAGATATCTGAGGCATTTTTTTCAACTAAAAATTTCAAACGAAAAACGAAAAAAATAACGCTAAAGAAATGTTTCAAAAAGTTATTAAAACACAAATAATTAAGGCCAGTGAGAGCTCAAGTCTTGCAAATCAAATACACAGAAAGAAAACTGGAATACTCTGAAATAATGCAATAGACTCACAGACTTCCATTCAAATTTATTCACACCTTCTCACCATTCTCACACCAGTTGATAGTTGGGTGCGGAGGAGCTGGTTGAAACTTGAGGAGCGGAGTGTTTGTTGTGAGATGCATATAAATGTGGAAGAGACCGCTCGGCGGAGGATCCATTTCACGACATCGCTTCGCTGACCATAAAGGATTTGGACGCGCGGCGTATTGTGTGGGGTTGCCGAGGCGAACGCCTATCACTAGCTGACGTCGGCTGCTTTTGAATCGTGGCAAGGCTTTGAAATTTGGGGATTTTTCAATCTATGGAATCAATTTTCCGAGTCGCTCGAAGTTCATGAAAATTTGAACAACAATGTGAATGAATCAAAAGTTCTTTGAATCTTCTAAAATTTTTTTCCAAGGATAGATGGAATGTTTGTTGTGGATGTACACTCTCTACAGCACTAACTCAGCTTTTTTATTCATGATAAATAAATAAAATCTATAAAATTTGTAATATCTGAACCTCTGGGAGTTGTGAGTTTCCACGTTTAAAATAACCTGAAAACCTTAAAAAACTTCAAAATTCTCTCAGATGCTTTTAATCGTACAGCTGAGATTTTTCTTTCTCACTCGAACGATACAAAAAGCTTTCAATCGTTAAAAGCCTCCACATGCGACCACGTCATCACTTTTAAGTGCTTTATTCGGTTTGCTCATTGTTCGAAAAAATTGAATCAAATGTATATAATTCGGTTGAACATTTTATTTCAATGAAAAAAGCAGCAGGAAGGAAAATGATTTGAGAAGTTGAAAAGTTCTTAAAAGCCACTATCCGAAAGAAGTTCAATCAGAAACTCATATTTCTTGTTTGAAAAATATTTTTTTTCAAAATGATCAAGTTGAAGAAGCTTCGAAAACGCTTGCACTTTCAATAACAATGCACTTTTGATCACGTTCCTCTTCACTAAAATGTCCAAGACCACTAAATTCAGTCGTAGAGTGAGCGTGCATACTTCTGGAAGCGGGCCCAAAAAGTTGACAATCGAGAGGCTAATTGCGCATGAAAATGTTCCTGCCAGTTGGCGCAAAGAGTAATCCTGGTAGTGCAGAAAAATACCAGGATAATCGTTTTAAAAGTTGGTCGCGAAAAATCGGAACTCTGAAAAAATAAAGAATGAAACGGTTAGATTAACTTTGAAACATTTTTCTTACGTCTTTTTTTTTCGAATTTATTCACTTTCAAATGCTCTGTTATCCTATAGAATAGCTCGAGGCATTGTAGTCACATTCTGGAAGCTGGCCCGCAAAAAAACGCGAGAGGATCGGTTGCACCTTTGAATCGCTTTGCAGTGGAAATGAGAAAAATCAAGCTGTTAAAGTATCAGTAATTCTTTGACTGAGCTTCGAAATCGTAACTCATAATGATATACCACCATCAAAGATTAATTTTCCTCGAAATAGAAAGGCAGCGGGATTTGGATGGATTAATACGGATGGAGGTCCGCTGTCAATCACTGTACACGCCAGTCGGGTTGATGTGCCATCAAAGGTCGCAATTATCCGCGGTTGGCGTCTTGGTCGTTTCGCCGCCGCCATAAATCCCAGCCGCCATTGGACCGTCACGGTTACCGGTCTTCAAACAATAACCAATGTTGCATAGTTATATGGCCGGGAAAAACTATCTTTCGAAAGTTTTCCGATTAAAGTTCTTCCAGAATAATCGTGTTCCTGAGAGTGTTAGGAGATATAAAACAAACGTTGAAAACGGATATCGACTTGATACTTTTTCCAAGTGATACTTCTCGTAGATATTCCCATAGATATTCGAGTCAGCCGTTTTAGGCTGGCAGTAATGCACTCGTTCTCAAATCTGTACTTTCAAACTTAAAGAAAATTGCTGAGCTTGAAAAAAAAATCTGAATGAATATCAAAACTGTAAGTAGCAATAAAACATTATCCGCAGAGATAAAAAAAAATGGTTTCGACCAAAACTGCTGATGAGACGGGGCAACACGGGGCGATGAAGCGGCCCGCCCACCCGCAAGCGGTCTTTTTGACAAAAAAAAACCTTTTTCTTATGTTTTTCTCTGAACATTTTATCCCTAATTTACTAAGTTTTTACTCAATTTCAACTTAGCGGGTTGCCCTGTCGGCAGCTCTACTTCCAACAACCAAATGAACCGTCTTGAAAATTAAAAACGAAAGATAATTTTCAGAGCTTGGCGTTAATCGCGGCTCTGGGTGGCTTGATCAGTTTCCTTCTTCTGCTGACAATCGTTATTGTATGGGTCTGCCAGACATGCAGGACCAATGTGACCACGGGAAAAACTCGTCGGAAGGTCCGACGGCTCTCAACAGCCCTTTTCGTCCTCTCCGTCGCCTGCTTGTACGTTTCCTGAAATGCATTGCAACTTTCCGATTCCACATTATTCGCATTGTTTGCTACTGTTTGGGTGCAAAAGCGTCCATGTTTGTTTTTGAGATTGAGGCTTTGCATTCGCGCCCGAAGGCACATATCGTGATTGAATTAAGCGCTCTCATGTTTGGAGTCATGGTTTGGTTGCAGCTTCATGCTGGGGATCTGCTTGTTCGCCAACGAACATATCAACCGAGGGGTTTCCGTATCGATCGATTCGGTGGTCAGCCTCAAAAGGTCCTACAAGCTTTCTTATGCGCAGGTTTGAAGTTGAAAGACATTTTTTGAATTTTCAAGTCAACTAGAAAAGGCGATTATTGAAAATAGATCAAATGCTTTGGACACCGATTAAAATTATTGTGCAGATGCCAAAATTTTGATATTATCTGGTTGATAAAAAAAAACTCTCAAGGTTGAGTTAGGATTTTTGGAAGTTTTGCTCAAATATACTTCGATGAACTGGAGATTGACATTATCTTCAAATAATTTTTAATTTCAGAGATATGAAGTTTCGAAGAACACAGTTTTTTTCAAAATCAACAGCTTTTTTTATTTTCAAAAATCTTCTTTTCAGTCAGCCAGATACACCTTTTAATCCCAGAAAAAAACATTGAATTGAATTATCACTTCTCCGAAAAAGTTAATTTTTTTCAAAGAAAAAAATGAAAACATCAACAAGCTTCAGATATTGCCTGTTTAAAAAAACCTTGACAAGTTCAATTCGAAAAAAAAAACTCTTAGAGAGTTTAGTTTCTCAAAAAGTTATCCATTGGCTTCCGAAAATTGACGGGCCAGACTCCGAAAATGTAATAAATTCCAGGTCGGAAGAATGGAGGAGACGGCGCGGAACACGTCGTCGCCCTTGACGAACCTCGGTGCCATCGTCAACAAAGAAGGGGCTAAAAAGGGCGTCAACCAAACGGTTTTTTTTAATTTTTATTCTGGATTATGAAAAAAAATTGAGTAAAAAAAAATGATCGAAACTTTTAAGCTGTTGCAAGAATCGAAAGTCATGCTTCAAAACTTCACGGCAGCTATTTCGCGCGTCGCCGACAGCGGGAAAGTTTTTCTCGAAGATCACGAACACGACTTGGAACGGCTGGAGCGGATTCGGAGTCGAAGCGCTTCTTATGAAAGCGAAAGGTTTGTCTTTTTTTCTTCTTATCGGGGTAGGACGAAATTGATTGTACCGGTTCCATTTTTTTATTATTTTTTTAGAAACTTATTTTTTTAACTTTTGCAAAATATGCTTTTTGAAAATTATTTTTTTCAGATGATCTCAGATAGAGCTATCCCAAGTTTCGAATTTTTTGCTGAAAAGATAAATGCAAAAAAGCGGAGAGTTGAATGAAATTTTCCGAGAGGCATTTTTAAGAGATTGAGTCCAAATCAGTCTAACAAAAAAGCCTCCTTAGACTTAAGATGAAGCTGTAACGGAAGAGATTTTCAACTTGACTTTTGCAGTGAGAAAGGGAAGATTTTTTTTTAGGTTTTATATTTCTGCTAAAAGGGAACATAAACAATTTTTCTACTGTTCCTTAACCAGAAAGTCTGAAAGTACCTCTCAGAAAAGTTTCATAAATTTTTTGCACCAGAAACTTTTCAGCATGCTTAAAAAAATTTCAAAATGACCGCTCTGACAGTACAAAATAAAAAAATTATAATTTCAACATTAAGAAGTCAAAGTTCTGAAAGTTTTGAAACCAAGATCTACTTCGAAGCATAGCATAAGTTTTGATAAAAAGTTAAGTGTTCGATTTCGAAAATCTCGAGCAACACTCATGAATGATTCAAGGCTATCTGGCTCGAGTCAAGTGGACATATGCAAATTTTGATGTTTGCAATTTGGGAGCCGCTGTCTTTTAGGCCTGTGCTACTCGACCTCGTAAGAGTAGCTAGCCGAGCCAATATTTGCTCGACCTGATGCGAAAACTCGCCGGCACATGTATCCATTCAAATGAGTAGGCCTGGTCCAATTACGTCGATGTGTGGGAAAAATGAGCTTCGTTAAGGATCGAAAAAATATCGAAAAAGTTGAATAAGTAAAGAAGAAGAATGCAAGCTGAAAAATTGCCAAACTTTAAAGGAATTGTGTACAATATCAACAGGGGAAAATTAGAAAAAGCCAGGATACAATTCCACCAAAAGGGCCCATTGAGCTTTGTCAATTTTTTCAATTTCGTTTTTTTTTCAGATGGGCTTTCCTCGTCATCGTTCTCTCAATAACCATATGTGTACTGTTTGCTGGTGTCATCGCATTCTGTCGCCAATCCAAAAAAGGAGCTGTGATCTTTAGGTATTCCACCTTTCATCTACTCCTTAATTAAGTGCTTCAGTGCCGTTGGGTTTTTCATTTTCATAATCGTCTGGGTGTTAATTGCGGTTATTTTCCCAATTTCTATTGTGAGTTTCAGCCATAATATTCGAGTAGAGTATCGACATCAATTAAGGGACTCTCGGATTTCTGTACGAACGGGAAAAAGTTTGCGATGGAGCAACTTGGAAATCTTGACGAGAGTGTCGAGTTCTATAAAACTTGCGCACCACGACCAGCAAATGATATTCTGCCACCGGACGTCAATCGATACCTCGATTTGATGAAGTATATCACGGGCTCGAAGTCAAAGCTCGATGGACTTCTCCAAACAACTTTCAATTCCAGCGAAGCGGTGAGCTACGAAAAGTTTGAAAAATAAATTGGGTCGAGAGGTTTTCTCGATTTGTTCAATGTGTGATGACTTTTTGATTTATCTTTGTAGTCCATGGTGAGTGGATTGCAATCAATTAGGACCTCTTTTCTCCTTTTTTTTTTGAATGGTCATGATTCTCATTGTTAGTGAACAATTTCTCAAATCGTTCTGCGAGAATAAAATCAAACTCAAAACGAAATCGTCTGGGGACGTGGCAACAATACAACTATTTTTAGATAACGAACGCTACAATGTTGGTGGGTCAACACGTTTCTGATTTGGTGAAATTGGAGGGAGCCGTTGGATCGGCGTCCGCATGCTTCGTTTTCCACGATGACATCATCAACTTCTACTACGGCGTTTGTGATCAATCAATGTGAGCATCTTACATTTCTTTCCTTATGAAAATGATCTCAGGATTCGTTCGGGAATAAAAAAAACAAAAAAAAAAATTCAGAGCTATCAAGGGGCTACGTTTTTTTCATGAAAACTTTTGAAAACTTTTTGAAAATTCTCAGATTATTATGTACATACCAAGAAGCCTGAAACTTCTTCTATCGGCCTAAATTTTCATTTTAAAAGTGGCTTGAGATTTTTAAATCAGAGGTTTCTGAAAAGAATAGTTTGTTTTCAATGATCAAAAAAAATTGAAGTACGTGTTCCAGATTCTCAATCCGTTTGCCTCACAGAAATCAACAAGTGTGTTACCACGATCATTACGGACTCCTATGCCATGGCTACCGAGAGAGGATTCGGTTGATGTTTTTGAGCCGACTTTGGCATTGAAGTCCCCTAGAGTCAAGGAATAAGAAGAATCCGCCCCCGGGTGCCGATCACGACGTTGGATTCGACTCAGAGCCTGCTCTAAGTCCTCTAGGCAGCTGGAAAAAGCCTCATCGGCGTAAGACGTGGTTGGCGCATACACTTGGATGACTCTTACCCGTTCCTTTTTGAGTTTAAGGTCTAGGTACGCAAGTCGATTGCTAACAGGAGTGAAATCGACGTTGGCTGCCAAGCTTTTATGAACGAGGAACCCTACACCGGCTTGAGATGCCGTCCCATGGTAGTAGAGGGTGTGCTGGGTGTCGTTAAGCACAAGGCTACCAGTACCAGCCCGGCGAACTTCGCAGAGGCCGATAATATCAAAATTCACTTCCCTGATTGCGTTTTCGAGTGCGGCGAGTCGTTCGTTGGTGAGAAGCGATCTGACGTTCAGCGTTCCAACGAGGAGAGTCTTCACCATGGTGGAGCAGTACGGCGTCAGGCTTGTCCAGGGCTTGCAGACGACGGATTAGTATCTCTTTGCGAGAGCGATCAAATTAACCGACCACTCCACGCGAAGAAATGAGATAATAATAATAACACCTCTCAAGAACAAAGTCAAAATATACCAAGCTTGTATAGAACCTGCGCTCTTATACGGATCAGAAGTCTGGACCCTCAAGAAAACAGAGATGAACATGTTAGCCACATCACAGAGGAAGATGATGAGAAGAATGCTTGGTGTTACTCTAATGGATAGAAGATCAAACAGTTGGCTCCACGAAAGATTGAAGATGCGTGATGCTCGAATGGTTGCAACAAGAAGAAAATGGTTCTTCGCAAAGAAAATCGTGACGGGAGAAGAAACGTGGGCAAAGAAGATCGTAGAATGGCGGCCCTGGGAGAAGAAAAGATCTGTTGGACGACCACGAGCACGTTGGCGAGATGACTTCCGAAGCGTTCTTGGGGAGAATTGGTCGACCGTTGCGCGCAACAACAAGGAGCTCTTCAAAATCTACCATGATTCAGCAGAGCCTTTTTGATTACTCTGATGTCTGAATAAAATTCAAAAATTCAATGATCAAAAAATTGAATGACCTGGAACTCTTACGATTATTTTTTTTTTTAAACCATTTTTTTGGATTCTGTTAAAAAACGAAAAAATCTTCTTTGTGAGCGAAAAAATCAATTCTCAAACCTAAATTTGAAAATTTTCAGCGTCGGACTGGCCGTTCTGTTCATAAGCACCTTCCTTCTCGGAATCTTCCTTTTCGTCGTGTTGATCATCGTGTCTAAAACGTGGCGCCTTTTCACCAAAATGTAAGGATCCTTCTCTTTTTCTGTTCAGCACGCAGTTTTTACGTTACATATTACTAACTTCTTCGCTTTTGCACTTTTCACGCAATTTTTTTAACCTTTTAGTTTTCTATTTTTTAGAGCTTCTGTCTTGCTAAATTCAATTATGAGTAACACAATGCTATTTTTTTTCACTGAAAACTCTAAAAAGCTGAAATCATGAAAAAAAATTATTTGTTCAACAGGCTTTTTTCTGGTGACTTAGAGCGTTTAGCAGATGATTTTTTTCTAAATAAGGCTATTTTTACTTAGCGGTTGAGATTTTGCGAAAAAAATGAGCTACAACAATTTTTTTGATGTGCCAATTAAAGGTTCTGAAGGGCTGAATCTGCGAAACTTCCTAGTTTTTTTGAGAAATGATCAAATTGTCAAAGTCTTTTTATTTTTTTCAAAAAAACTAAGAAGCTTTGTAAATTGAGATTTTTCCGTATTTTTTTGTACTGTACGTTAAGGAGAGTACCTGAATATTTTCAGGCGATTTTCTCAAAGATAATTGCCTGAAAACTTTTTAAATCAAAACCAAAGGATATTTTAGGTTTTTTGAATAGCTGGAAGTTCATTTTGTTCATAAATTGAATCTCACTGCTTCAAACCCTTGCTGTCCAAACAAGTGTGAAGGTTAGGCCGTGACAGGAATTCGGCGTCCTATCCTATCCGGGTGCGACCATTCCGGTACGAAGCTGCCGACCACGATTGCGCCTTGTCTTCTGGCACCAAAAACACGCTTTTCACTTATGAGAGCTCGCTGAACAAGCGTGTCTCGTTCCGGTTTGTACATGAATGTTGTGGCCTGCACCCCAGTCGCTTTCTTCATGTACCTTGGATTGGTCCCGACCCAAAGCTTTCGAAGTCTGGCATGATCCGAATATAGTAATTCATTATGTCTGGAGGCAATATGGTTTATAAAGTTGCTAGATCTTTGTTGATTTCGTCTTGGATAATTTTTCATGCAAAAAAATTTAAATCAATTCCAATGAAAAAGTAATTATTTTTGAAAGTAGATGTTAAATAATGCAAAAGTCTTTTTAAAAGTCTTTTTGATTGGGAGGGAACTATCAAAAAGTAGTTGTATTTTTTTTGCATCCTAGTGTTTGTTCGTTTTTTTGCTTCCATGTTTCCAGAGTTTTCAACTCCCTTCTTTCCAATTTTTTTCTCACTGACCTCGAAAAATCGGTTTCGGATGATTCCTACAAATATTATTTCTTTCAAAAACTTCTTTCAGGCCGCACGATTACGTCGAAGTGGATGAAGACGACATTTTCAATCCTCATCGCGGTAGCGACTCCGCAATTCCTGTAGACATCTACGGCACTCATGTTTTCAACCCGAGGACTAGGTGGGATCAAAATGCGGTTTCTCCCTTTCCTACAGAGTCCTGAACTGTTTCACGCTTCTATCTCCTTTTACGGATCCTGGGTTTTGTGATCATCAACAAGAACATTTAAGCTATGCTTGAAAATTTAGAAAACCTTCTTCAGAGATCTTTTATTTTTTTGATTTCTCAGCTTTTGATCTGCAACTACACCCTTTCCTCTTTCTCTCTTTCAAACTGCACTCGTCAGGGATCGAGCTGAGCCTTCCACGAACACGACCAACGGGACTACAGGCGATGAACAGTCGTCTCTTCTTTGGAACCGCGGCAGCGTGGCTCATCCTGTCAACAGGTTTGCACCGTAGTTCTTTTCTTTGCTTGGGCACGTCTTGGGCTGGGATATTTCATTATTTTTTAATTACTTGACCCGAATGCAATAATCAGTTCTTTGAATATTCCGTTCAACTGTGGCGCAATTTTTTCGAAATGATTAGAAAGCTTTTGGACGAGACTATACACTGCGACCCATAATTATAGACCCACCCTAATTTCTCCGATTTTAAGAAAGATTGAAAAACTTTCAGCCACCAAACTTTTTTTGTGATAAACCTTGTTGATAAGGAACATAATCATAATATAATTATCAATCACCCAGTTGAAAAAGTTTTTTTCAAGATACGAGAAAATCTGATTTTTTTGACCGACCCAGAATTATAGACCCACTATAAGTAATCAACAAAATTCATTTCACAAAGTCAACAAAGTATAACAAAAAGATTAATTAATAATGTGTGATGCCTCCTTGTTTCTGAGCGACTTCGAAAATCCTGTTCGGCATGCTGCCAACGAGTGATTGCAGCAGTGACTTGTCCAAACCATCCCACTCGGCACGAATCGCTCTTTTCAGATAGTTGACCGTTGTATACTGCTTGCCATTCGCGTAGACCCTTCGTACAAGGACTGACCATAAATTCTCTACAGGGTTGAGGTCAGGAATGCACGCGGACCAGTCCAGAAGAACCACGTTCTTGGCCGCAAACCAAGCCAATGTGGAGTTGCTCGCGTGAACAGATGCATTGTCTTGTTGGTAAATCATATTAGCACGTCGTCGGCTAAAGAGAAAAAATATAAGAAAGAGCTACCGTCCCGTTGCCGCAGAAAGCCGCCCAGACCATGAGGCTGCCGCCGCCGAAGTTTCTCTTGGAGAAGTACATCGGATCTTTCCTCAAATATCTCCAGTAGTGAGCGTACCCATCTGGCCCATCAAGGTTGAATTTCTTCTTGTCGCTGAAGATGATCCCAACAGAAAAATTGGGAATCATAAGGTGATAGAAAACATTGATACCTTATTCCAATCCGTGGCCATGTTAGAGCGTGCAAACTGGAGCCGTTCATTCTTATGGCGTTGCTGTAGACGAGGTGCTGCCTTCATTGGAGTATTCACAAGTCGACCGGACCGATGAATTGTTCGTAAGATGGTGTTCTTCGAGACGTTTTCAGGAATTTCGGATCTGATTTGGTTGGCGGACTTCGTAAAGTTTGATGCTTTTCGACAGACGTCTCGTTCAGCTTGAACCGATAGCAGCCTGTGCCGTCCAGAATGTATTGCTGTGCCGTATTCTTGCGGATTCCTTGCATAACGGTCAATAGTTCGTCTTGAGCGACCCGTCTGACGAGCGATTTCCCGATGGGACAAGCCGTTGTTGAGTAGAGCATCGATTACCGCTTTTTCGGTATTATCAAGTTGAGTAGATTTAGGCATTATGGCTTATAGTGATACACGAGGACTTTTTCTCTTATATACCACTGAAAATAACAGGAAAAAAACGTGTTACCTGAAACGAAAAACTCGGAAAACTCTGGGGTGGGTCTATAATTCTGGGTCGGTCAAAAAAATCAGATTTTTCTCGTATCTTGAAAAAAACTTTTTCAACTGGGTGATTGATAATTATGATATGATTATGTTCCTTATCAACAAGGTTTATCACAAAAAAAGTTTGGTGGCTCAAAGTTTTTCAATCTTTCTTAAAATCGGAGAAATTAGGGTGGGTCTATAATTATGGGTCGCAGTGTATATCAAATCTCAAAACAGTTTTTTCTTGATGAACGGTTGAGAATTTGAAGAAAGTTTACAAAATTCCACGAAGTTTTATCGGAGTATCAACCAAAAACCATAAACGATACCTTGTCTCAAAGAAAAAAAATTAAATCTCTTCCCAGAGAATTTCCTGTTTTCATTTTGAACAACCAATTTTATGTTTTGGATCTTCTCAAACAGAATTTTTTCGCGAATTTGAACATCAAAACATCTTAGTTGATTCAGCTGTGCTTGGATGGCTAGGCACAATTACAGATAACGAACTGGCTTCTCAAGCGGAAAATTGAGAGCCAGACAAGACGTGCTCAAATGCACAAGCATGACATTTATTACACATTTCTATACAGCACAACGACTGTCTAGACACTATCCGCATCGGGTAATTAGAGTGAACTGAGTGGCTTCGCTTTTGTGATGGTCCTTGGAAATACCGCATCGGTGCTTGGAATATTTATTTCACAGTCAAACTAAATACAGTCTTGAAAATAAATTCACAAATTTTGAAGAGGTCCTAGAACACGTGTTCGTGTGATGAAAAACACAAAAACTAGCATAGATTTTTGAAAAATTGCTTGACAACTTGGCGTGGAAGTTCTGTACAACGTTGGGGAAATAATTTACTTCAAATTGAGTATTAGATGTATCAGAAAAACACAGAAAATTTCGAATAACAAAAAAAAGCTCATAGTTTTCAAAAAAGAACCTTTGGAAATAAAATTTTGTGGTTGAGTGAAAGTTGGAAAAAAAATGTGTGCAGGCTATAAGTTCCAAGATACTTGACAATTTAATTTTTTTTTCTGATTTTTGGTATCTTTAGAAAAGCTTATTGTTGTCAAAATATTACAAAAATTGGTCGCGAGAGGAAGGGTTTCACGCGTAGCGGCTTCTTGAGAGTTACTCTTACCTTAACACGACTTGCGCGTAAAGGTATTGTTAAGCTCTGAAGAAGACAGCTGGAAAAATACTGATTGAGATTGCCACGCTTTGAGCCATTCCGCCTGCGACCAAGCCATCAAGTTGAACTTGATGATCTATACAGCGCTTTTTTTGCTGAAAAAACTCAAAATTTGCCTGCAAGACTGTACCTGAGCACTTTGCAGTGTGGGCCGCTCACCTTTCACGGACCATCCCTACGGAAACTACGGTGATCGCTACGATATGTGATGTGATGATTTGTTTTATATTTTCACTCAAGTTTTTCAATCAGAAATCTTTCCCTTACGCGTGTTTCTCAACGTTCTCTTCTCTTATCTCTGATTTTTTTCGGTTTTATACATCTCCATTTCATGTAACTCTTGCCCATGAAAACGCACCTGAAGCTAAAAAAAGTTGTATTCGTAGCAATTGTACTTGAACTTTTCCTCATGACGATTTCTGGTGCCATGACGCACGAGCTGATTAATTACTGTATATTTGTGCTGTCTTTTGATCATTGTCAATTATCTTGTTTGTGTGATTAACTAATGTCTGAAATTAAAGATTAATCATCGTTCTCTCGCAAAATGAGTCTCGGTTATAAAGGAAAAAGAGCAAAACAAGTACAGTAGGATTGAAGGTATCAAGATATGATTCAGCCGGACAGTTCCATGGTGACGGTTGCCATTGGAGGGGCAATATTGGTCGTTTCCGTGTTTTTTGGTAGGAATCCGTTCAGCGTCCAAACCGTCAGTAAGCCAACTGGCAGAGGCAGAATGGCTGTGAAGACGTTGAAGGCCTGCCAAAAACACAAACTAAAGAATTCAAGCGCAATGCTTACGGTGGTTGCGTAGAAAATGACGACAACAAAGTCACCAGACACTCGGGTTACTGTGAGAATAAATCCAACGATGAATCGTAGAATGTGCGTTAGAATGAAAAGTACGACCTGTGAAAATAATCTTGGTTTTACAACCAAATCGTGAAAATGACTAATTTTTTTTCCTCAATAGTTTCACTCTGAGAAAATTCCCAGAAAGTTAGAAACCTTGAAGAATTCATTCAGAGTGTTCATGAAACTTTTTGTGCCATGAAAAGATGGAATAGTCTTTGAGAATCTTGATGGAGATCTTTATTCCCTACTTGCATAACTTCCTGTTGTTTGCTAACGGAAGCTTCAATTTAAGAAGAACCATGAAGCGCCCGTTGAATAGGTCATGCGGAAAATTTGGAGCGTCCGCTCTCCAAAATATTGTAAGATCTCATCTTATCACATCAAAGATTATTTGTGCAAGCTCTCAGAAAATCTCATGACGAAATGGGGATGGAAATGTTATGGTATTATAATCCTTTTGAGTTTTACAAACAAGATGAGTAAGGATTGGAGAAACGAAGACTGGTTCCAAGTACTCCAACCTGCGCTTCGATCAGTATGCCTAGCTTCTTCTGGTTGGCAACCTCTTCCGACCTTTCTCCGACTTTATAAATGTAAACTTTCATCGTCCTTCTGGAGCAGCACATCATGAAGAAGCTCAGCAGAGCTATGATGAACAAGTACACAAAAGTCTGCAAATTAATCTTCTAATTGAGACTTCATTAGAACTTTGATGCAGTCTGTGCACTTTCAGCAGTTCAACAAAGAAGTTAATTTACTCGGTATTCTGACTTTCTCTGAAAATTAGCCGTAGAAAAAAAGAAACCAAAGATTATTTTAATTAATTTTCCAAAAAAGTCACAGTGCAAAGTAACATCAATTCCTTTTTAGGCTTCTTACCCTGAAAAGAAGGGTCAGCATGAAAAAGAAAGTGAAAAGAAAGACGAAGTAGTTATTGTAATTGCGCAAGTATTGTGGCCTGAAAATAGTTTTCGGAAATTCTCGGAAAAAGCTGTCAAACTTGATGAAAAGAAGAAGCCGATGGAAAATAACTCCACAGAGAGTGAACCAATAAAGTTCTTCGACAGAGTACAAGACTCTGAGAAGAAAGTAGATATAATTCTCTGAGATCAATCCAGCTAGTGCATAAATCGAGTAAACGTTCTCAGCTACAGTAAAAGTTGCCTGAACCTTCTAGCTATCGAGCAAAATTGATCTCTTCGCACCTTGTACAGAATGAGGGTTATGAATGTCCCAATGAACTTCAGCTGAGTCAGACAAAGAAGCAAGTTTTGTATTTTGCTGAGACTGTTCAGCTCTTTGTAGAAAATGAACAGAAGATGTCCGTAGAAAAGCAGACCTGTAAAAAAATGAAGAAATGTTTCCCTTTTCTCAGGTAAACTACAAAATCGAATCTTACAAATAACGAGAACAGTTCGATCGATAATCAATGTTCAATTTAACAAGAGAAGTAAAATCTACTTTTTCACGTACATATTAGCGAGGTGATTCTACTTGCCAGTTGGAAATCTTCTGAAAATTGATCAGAATACGATTTGACGTACAAGAAAAAATGATTTTGAAAATCTCAATATGCACAACTCGCTAATTTTAGAGAATAAGGGCTCAAAATCCCACAGTCTCTTCTAACGGATTTTGGAAGTTTCCTTTGACTTTGAGGTGTCACTTTTCAAAAGATAGAAAGTTAAGCAGTTTGAGATTTTTCAGAATCTTCGCCTAGTACATCAATAAGTGTTCTAGTCATTTCTCAGGGAATTCTCAACCACAAAGTAAGATGATCTTCCTTGTTAGGAATTTCCCGAGAGTGCGAATATTCTTGGAGAACTTTCCAGTACTCAAAAAAAGACGCTTTTTGACTTGAGAAGAAGGTAATTTCATTTTCAAGTTGGGAACTTCCTGAAATTTGGCCAAAACAGTCCTTGATGTACAGCAAGAAGATTATGAAAATATCAAGCTGCATAACTTTTCAGTTTTTGAGATATAAAGGATTGTAGGTGTCCTTTCTCAAAAACTGGAAAGTTGTTTAGGTCAAGACTTCCAGAACCGTCTTTTTGTACATGAAGAAGTTTTCTAGTGTTTCCCTGGAACTCTAGCCGCAAAGCAAAATTAACTTTCTTGTCAGAGCAAATTTGTTTTATCAAGAAGTGCAAGAAGGTTTTTTTTTTAATTTTTGGAAAGAAATAGAACGACTTGCTTGTTGGAAAATACCATAGAAACCGTATTCAAAAAATACTGAAAATCTGAAAATATGTGCATAAAAAACTATCGAAAAAATATTTTCTCGTTTCTCGCATTTTAATATTTTCAGCATGCTAATTTTGGCTGATTCAATTCTACAACAGGAAGTAAGTGGAACGTTGTTTTGTTCGGAGTCGAGATACTGCAAAATGCAAGGGTAATGGTCCCGTCAAGTGGGTACCTGAGCGAAATTCTTGCTTAGGAGATTTGCATTTTCAAAACTGCCAGTTCAACGCTGAATTCCAATTAGCAATCATTAAATAAGTTTCCTGAAAATTTTCATCTTCAAAACTTCTGTGAAACATGTAGTCACGTGGCGGTGGACTCCTTTCTAAGCTACTCGGAAGGCTGTTCGGGCAAGCTTTCACAAGTTGCAAAAACTCCAGTTAAATGATTTTCCTTGTTTCCCAATTTTCAGAGATCTTCAGATTTCTTTCTTTTCCAAAGGATATTTCTGTGATCATAGCACATATTATTTTTCCTGTTGGCACATGCCAACGAAATAATTCAACCGCCCATTGCTCACTAAAAAAGTTGATTGAATCGGGCAACGACGCTGTCCAACGGCAGTTTACGAGGAAAAAATAATAATTTTTGCAATAAGGTTCAAAATAAACTCACTCAACGCTGAAATGAACGAATTGACAGTCATCTGAGCTTCCGCCACGAATCGAGCATGCTGCGCGATCATCGGAAAGACCGTCTCGACAGCTTTAACGAAGGCGTCGACATTCTTGAACTGTCCGAAGTGGTCTCCATAGATGCTGAGTTCGTGCTCCGATTCCACACTGGCTCCGAGAGTCAGCATTTGCTCGAAATTCGACGAGTTGTTCATTATGAAATCCTTCAAGTAAAAATAGAAGTAAACAGGATTGAGGAAAGGTTCGTAACAAAAAAGAGTCGACGAATGCGCTGAAATTGGACCGAAAATTCACCTGCGCTTTCGCAACTTCTAATTGACGTTGGAAAGATTAGAGAAACGTACCTAGGGAGCTAAATATATGTCGCGCTAGTAATCACCCACAATTACCACGCCTAAAGGGGCGTGTTTTCGCTATCAGAGCCCTAGCTTGGAAAAATTTTCTTCAACGTCTAATTTCAATGAAATTCAAGCGAAAGAAGCAATGGAAAAAAACGTTTCAGTGTGTGTAGTTTGCATTTTCCTACTTAGAATGAAAAATATAAAAAGCTTGGAAAGAAAAGAACAACGAAAGTGGAAAACTTTATTCGTTCATGAAAGCAACAAGCTTTTGAAAAACGCAAGATACATATAAAAATACAGAAAAATCGTGATGGCTTTTACTCATCATCTTCTTCTTCTTCTTCCACCTCGTCTTCTTCAACTGAAAAATTATATATGATTAAATCCCAAGATTACAGTCAATCTTTGCAAAACGAAAATGAGTGTTTTGAACTTTCTAATCATTGCGAATATGAAAATGGTACCTTCTTCAACTGGCTCTTCAGCTGTTTTTTCTGGAGCTTGGGCGACTTCCTCCTTCTTTTCTTCCTTCTTTTTTGTAGACCATGCTGGCTTCTCAGACTTTTTCTGCAAAATTGGATCTTTGGATCAAAATTAGAAATTTCTCCGTTTTGTACTGATGGAGTTGAGCTCGATAATTCCTGATCAAGACAAAAATTCGATCATAAACTTGCAATGAATGTTCTCTATTCATTAAGGTTAAACTCGCATAATGGTTACTTTGTATCGATGCTTTTTTCCAGACTATAAACTGTTTAAGCGCAACTCATAGCAATTCAGAAAACGGCTTAAAGTCGAGTGCAGTAAAGAGAAGCCTCAAATTTGCAATTCAACTCTTTTTCTCCAACCGTTTCAAATAGTGGAAAGTCTGACCCCTTACTGCCTTTAATCTTAGTCTTCTGCATGAATTCGTTATTTTGAAATTATCAAAAGGAGAACCTTGTTAGCGATTTGGGTTATGATGTTTTCCTTCTTGACAACTTTCAGGTTTGTTCTGAAGTCTTGCTTCTCGTCTTTCTTCTCCGCCAATTTCTTGAAGCGGTTGTCGTACTTGCTGACTTTCTTGAGAGACGGTTTGGCGCTGGAAGTTAGTGTTCTAATGTTCCGAGAACTTCCTCTCACAATTTTCCTCTCAAGTCGTTGACTTCGATGTTCAAGGAGTTGATGTTTGTCTCCAGGGTGACCACAACCTTTGAATGTTTTGAATTTAAAGAAAAGTCTTGGAATGTGTTTGAACTTGATTGATGTCGAATTTCTCCTCCTCCAGAGCGCAGACACGTTGGAACAGTTCTTCGTAAATTTTTTCAAGTTTGCCTGAACTTCCGTTTTTCACAGTTTCTCATGAAATATACCTTTGTCATCAATGGTATCGACGTTAGGAAGTGGAATAGTTCTTTCGGAAAGGATCTAAAAACCATTTTGAGAGTTTTGGTTGTTGGAGAACCAGAGAGTACCTTGACGCGCTCTTGCTCTTTCACCAGCTGTTGGCGTTTCAAATCTTCGGCGGCCTTGATCATGAGCAGCTTCTAAATTCGAAAATTCTCAATTTCAGTTTCAGATTTCCCAACTTACACGGAGTTTCTTCTTGCGCTCTGGCGTGAGGAAACCTTTTTTGGTTTTTTTCTTGCCCGCTTCCTCTAGCCTTTTGCGAACTTCAGCCTTCTTAGCTTCACGCTCTTGCTTTTTGCGTTCTGCTTCCTAAAACGCTCGGTTCAAAAAAACAATACCATGCATTGCGTTTTTTTTTTCTGGATTTTCACTGTAAAGACCATTTATGAAGCACTTCGAGGTACTGTCAAGAACAAAATCACCAAAATTTATCAACCCATCAACCCCTGATCAAAAAATGTGATTTGAAAAATTTAAATTTTTTTATTGAACGAAATTTTTTCAGAATTTTCTCACAGCCGCAAAAACTTTTGGAGAACATTTTTGAAGCTTTTCTCCCGCTGTTAAGGCTTGCTGTGTGAAACTTCAAAAATTCAAAAGCTTGATATTGGGAAGCCCGTCAACTGAACAGCTTTCATGAAATAGTTGTAAACTATTTTTTCCGTCTTGCCGATCACCGAACTTTGAGTGAAAACATTTGCATAAGGCCACTGACCTCTCCATCTTCGACGTCAGCGTGAGCTCCGCCATAACGAAGTTTATCTTCGAAGTCGCTCATTTTTCAGCTGTCGGTTTTATCACTAAAACAAGCAAAATGTTATGCGAATTAAAAGGTGGTGCAGTTAGTTGAGAAATTGTGCGAGTGATTCTTTAGTCGCTATGAAGCAACAAAAAATTTCTGTGCGAGTGCAGAACTGAATCGGATGAGTACGTGTGTGAACGGAAAACTTAAACTGGGCAAGCTTAGAACTTAGGAAAGTTAAAGGTGAGTGAAAAGGTAAAAGAAGCTTATCAAACTGAGTGGCTTTTAGAGCAATAATTTTTTGAGTGCAGTTTTTTGGATTTTTATCGTTGTTTAATGGAAAACTGAGTTTTAATTCATGACAGTGATAACTTTGCAGTTTCCCACTTACACAGTCCCTCTCTCTCTCTCCCTCTTTCTCTTTTCCTTTTCCTCTCACGTCGGGTCGGATCAACTATGAAGTCCAATATTATCATATTAGTGGCTGTGATGAGAAGAGTTAAACTGAAACCAGAAGGAGATTTTTGAGAAGAAAACCACAAACTGGTCAATTTAATGTTATGAAATTACCGTTGACATTCTCAGGAATCTGTTAAAAAAGTTTTAACTTCACAAATACTTACTTCAATAATTAGAAAATTGTTCGATTAATAAAGACTTATGGTTATGTATGAGCTTATTAGACACAAAATTGTCTTTGGAATGAAATAAAAGGGTTGATTAAAAAATGATCGCATCAAGAAAATCACATGTTAGCTAATTACATGACTTTATTAGGCAAGACCATAAAAAAAACAAGCGAAGCCCAGCTTGAACCGCCTTTCAAACAAGAAAAAGCCAAAGCTGAGCCTGGAGGCGTGATCTTTTACGCAAACTGAGCCTCCGAGAAGCTCAATAAAAAGAAACAACAAGCCGATTCACGAGAAACAGACGATTCGGCCGCCGACAGCTGCCGTGCCGTACTACGAGATTCCAGATTAATCTAGACATTCATCCGAGAATCGCCCGCTATTTTGGCCGCCTGCACGTCTTGTCCGTTGTAAAGAAAAAGCAAAGTGGATTACGAGGGCGGATCTCAGGATTTGTGTTGGACCTTGATCTGCACTATTTCGGACCACCTGTTGGACAAGCCTCCATTTTTCTCTCAAGTTGAATCTTCTTCGGGAGAAGCTGCTCTTTTTCTGATAAACAAGAGTACGGAGAACTCAGAGAAATCTGAAGAATAATTGCAGGTGTGGATTTTCATAGCAGAAAAAAAAGATGTTTTTTGTCTTCCGCTTTGATAAATTTGACAGATCTATTTTTGAAGGTTAATAAGGAGGGTCATTTTACTTTGATGTCGGGATTTTCTCTTTGTTAGCCAGAAAACTCAAAATCTGTAAGAATGAGCTATTTCATGGCTTTGATCATTCATTTCTTGAAAACTAAGAAGTTATGCGGGTTCAGATTCTTGATACTTGCTGAATTCAAGATGTTCCCAACTGCGAAATAAAATGAAGTTCCTTGTAAGGAATGAATAAGCTGAAAGACAATATACAGATAAAACAGTGAACTACGACCCAAAAGTTTTTCTAAGGATTTTATTTCGTGTCATATTTTTGCCACTGATACTATGAAATCATTTTTTACAAAAAGTTTGAACCTTAAAGTGCTGAAAATTGCGATGAAAAAAGAACTAACTAAAATGTTTACCGTCATAAAATGGATTCAATAGTACTTTCAACTTCTTCTTTTCATTAAAACGGTTTATTTTTTGTCTTTGAATTTAGCTATGACTAGTTTCGGCCCCTTTGATGTTTCTCTGGAATAATTTATTTATGAGTACACGGAAGATTGATCGAATATATTGAGCTGGATTGGAGATGAATTAAGGGAACGAATGTGAAACACAGTCTGAAAAATGAAAAATTTAAACGATGTTGCCCGCAGAATTTACAAAGAAAGAATTTAGAATTATCTTAGGAACTCCAGAGTGGTCCTTACAAGGATAAAGTTAGCGGCCTCTGGAGATTTTTTTGTGGGACCACCTTATTTTTTCTAATAGGGGCCCCTCAAACTTGTATGGTAGAAGTATGGTTTTAGTTAGTGACCTCTTTAGGGATCATGTTAGTCGAGAATTGTTATGACTTTATGACAAGAAGCACTTGCAGGTCAGCGTTATTTGAGTAAAAGTTTCAACAGAAAAAGGAACTGAAGTTCGTCGTTTTAAATTTCCAAACGTGGACAAAGTGTTGAAAGACTCTATAGGGCACCTCGAGCTTTATAAGCTGAGCTCCTATACGGACTACCTAAATTTTACTTCTCTGGGGGGACACTTTTTCGTCTTCAATATGGAACTGTTTTCTTCTCTAACTCCTACAAGAACCGCTGTGGAGTTCGTGATCAGAGATAACCGAAATAAACTGAAAAGCACTCTATGGTCAGAAAAAGAAATGCGCTTCATACGATTCGATTGAATTTCAAAGTCAGAAATGCAGTTATAATCGCTTCTGATTCTGATTTTCTGGCATTGACCCAGTTCCACGATCGCCAAGACATCATTTGAGTTTCAATTCTTCAACGGCCATCCTGCGAGGTGAGAAAAAACTTGATAAGTTTTGCGTTCGATTGCAATTCAGGCAGTGGCGGCGCCATCCCACTCTGTCCTAATTTTTTTTTCGACTCTTTATTTTTTGGTTCTGGTCGTTCCAACAGACTGTTTTCAAATGTTGAGTTTCACGAATATTCTATGTTTCAAAGCTTTATCCATTTTTGAAATAAAAAGACATTCACTTTGAGTTGATGAGTCTCTCGAAGACATGTCTCTTTTTCTCATTGAATTTCCTATCACTTTTCTCAGATTTCTCAAGAGAGATTGGTATATGAAATTCGTGATAGTCTCAACGATTTATTTTTGAAAACAGAAAAACATTTCATCCACCTGAAACGAAGAAAAACGTCTTTAACCCTTTCAACTCCATGAAACCATCTCATCATTGTTTTTTGGGGAAAGTTTCTTTTAAAAAATGAGGCAAATAAGTTTTTGATTGTCTTAAAACAAGACAGCCCTTAAGTTGTTTTTTTTGGAATTCCGATCAAAAACTCCTTTGTTTCATCACGACGCTTTTCTTTTGCAACGCGCGTCATGTGGACGCGTCGAAACTCGATTAAGCAAAGACGGCAACGTGACTCGAAACTCGTACCAACGTTTGTGTTTTTTGTGTCAGACAGTTCATTGACGGCAATCTGATGAGTCTCAATGGAGAAGAAGTTTTTTCAAAACTTCGCTGTTTATTTTTGAGCCGTTTCTGTTGTTTTTAAAAAAAGCTCTTTTTCCAATAGATATTCTAAGATCGATAGAGCTGAAAATTTTTTAAAAAAAGTTGTTATTAATAGATTTATTTGCTACAAAATGTTATGAAATAATGACTGAAGAAGTTCAGAATAAGAGAGCAGTAAAATAACCAGTAACGGGAATTAGTCCACCCTAACGAGTAAACTAGGACCCGGGGTTAATTATGAACTAAATTCATTCAGTCTACTTCAACGAGGATAAGACACTGTTTTTTCCAGTTAAGAACGTGAGTTGAGAATTAGGAATTTAAAAAACACCTCCAAAAAAATGTTTAGAGCGCACTTAGAAATAACTTTAACTAATTTTTCTGAATCAAACTTTTTCTTGTTTTTTTCCAATGGTGTTTCGGTATTTCTGCATTTCGAAAGCCTTTTTTTAAATTAAATGTATAGATAATTTACAACCATTGCTACCCAAAAACAAAAAAGCTCTCAAAAAAAATCTGAACTTTTCTTTTCGAACACTTTTTTTTCTGAACGTTAGAAGACCTCCATTAGGTTTTTTTTTTCAAGCCCGCTTTTAATGAATTATGAGCAAGCTTGCGAGAAAGAACCTCAGAATAAATATAACTTGTTGACAGTTTTTTTCCGTTATCAAATATTCATCAGTTTCTCCAAATTTCAAGCTTGACGACTTTTTATGCACATAACTCAAATTGAGACAAGTTACGATCAAAGTTGTTTCAAATTCTTGATTTTCCGCTCGAATCCGATCAATTTATTTATCTCTTGTTTTTGCATGCCAGTCTAGGCGAGATTCATCATATCGCCCATGGGCATCCCGATGCTTTGGTTTTTTGGCCTGCAATCCAGCCCCCGTTGCGATTTATCGTTGCCTAAGTGGTTGTGAATAGACGCCGCTCTTTCTGGGCATCGCAACACTCTGCAACAAAATAAGGAGCTTTTTTCTAAAGACCAGAAAAAAAGACGGAAGTGCGTGGGCTTTTGTGGAACGTATTTTTGTTCAACTTTTGATTCTTAGCATCTTTGAAAGGATTTCAAAGAAAAATCTTCTAGAAACTTTTTCCGTGCAAGAAAATTTGTAATAAAACTTGGCTGAAATAAAACTGGAATACCTTGAAGTTACTCAAAACGATTTTTCTGGGTTTTCAAAGCCTTCAAAATTAATTTCTGCCAATCTTATTATCACCGCCGCACAAACTTCTAATTGTCAAACTTCTGGAAAAGGAAACATCCTGCTTACATAAAATTGAAGCTCTATCAGAGACCTCGGCAATTTTCCGGAGATTTATCAAAACATTACTGTTTATTTTCCCTATCTTTTTGCTCAAGGCCCTTATTTTTCTACTTTCTCACAAAAAAATATGTATTTCCTCAGGAAAAATTGTGATTTCATCGCAAAATATAAGCTGCCTAGTTTGAAAATATACGAAAACTTCCTAAAATTAAAGGGTTTCTGTTTTCCGAGTGATTTTGAGGTGAAAACGCGTTCGTTCTCATTTGTGCTAGTACAACTGTCACACACTCGAGGCAGGAAATGTCATTTTCACTCCATGTGATTGATATTTATGGATTTCGTGAAAACGTCGCCCAAAAGGTTTTTTCAGGATTTTCACTTTCAGCTGTTTTTCTCATTTTTACTTTTTGATTTTTAAGTATCTCACACCTATGAAAGAATTCCAGAAAAAACGGGGTTTGATGTGAAAATAGTATATTTTAGAGCTTTTTTATCGTTTATGAAGACGCGTGTTGTCCATAGAGCAATTTTATCAAAATATGCGCAAATTTAATCTTTTTTCTCTCCGGCTTTAAATTATTTTTATCAAAATAAAAAAACTTTGTACATTTTCAAATACACCGTTCGACACACAATGAAGAGCTCTACAAAATGACACTCCAACTCGTTTTCTTATTGCCCATGTGCCTTTGAGCTCTCAAACCGTTAACAAACCATTCTGAATAAAAAAAGAGGTCAGACTGTTTCTGGACTATTTTTGTCTCAATCTGAAGACGAAAAATTTTGAGAAAAAGTTCAATTCATACATGAGAAGCGTAGGTAAGTGGAATCCAAAAATCGGCTTAACAACGTTTGAGCGACCTCGTCGCCTCTCTCTTTTCATCCGTCCGGCGGTGCATCCGCGCGGGAAGGCTAGTAGAGAGAAAGACCGCCCAGGCGAGGTCGTCTCTCCGCCTCTAGTGGCTTTCCCACGAGTTGTCACTGTTTGTCGTAAGGCGTTCGCCTTCTGTGTTATGTTGTGCTACCGCGCAGCTTTTGCCCTATTTCGAGTCGATTCAAATCCGTGTTTGGTGGTCAGTTAAACCTTCCTTTTTTGCCCTTCTCTGCTTTTCGCGCCTCTTATTGCAGCTTATTGACTTTTCTGAAGGTTCATGTGGCTGGTCAGTAAACATCGAGGATATTTGTAGCATCTCTTCGGAATGATGTACTAATTACTCGGCGCCAGCTGTGCGAATTTGTCTATTCATATAAATGTCTATTTTTTTCTATTTGTTTGAATAACAATCTCATTGAAATTTTTTTCATAGTTTTTTTCTTCCAAAAATAACGATATTGATCATACTTGAAACAATTGCGACTATGAAAGAATTTTTTTCAAATTTTTTTGAAGATTCTTCGAAACAAAAAAAGGATCAAAAAAACCTGCATTTTTTTCCTCTAATTTCGTTCTCAAATCTTCCTGTAAAATCAATATAATAATCGAATTTGATTTATGCTTCAAGCAGACCAATAGGTAATTAAAAAGACTAATCTCCGCGTATTCAATGAGGTCAACAAGCCAATAATGAACAAGCTTCCAGTCGTTCTTTCGGAGCGGATGGCTTTCCGTGAAGCTTTTTTTCCAATGTATTTGAGGATTTTTCTACTTATGGCTTTATTTTTTTGTATTAAGGTTCATTCAGGTCTTGAAAAAAATGTTCGAATAAAAAAATCGAATAAAATTTCAGACTAAAAAAATATGAAATAAGGGGCGAAGGAGATTAGAAAAATTTCTCAGCTATGTTTGTTTACAATTTTTTTCTTAACGTTTTTGATTATTTTTTTGCCGAGGGAATTATTATTTATTTTTTTAAATCTGTGGAATAAATTTTTTTAGTGTCGATCAAATAAAAAAATCCGGCGCATGATTAGTTATCAAAATCCTATATATCGGTAAACTGTAGAACATGTTGAAAATAAGCCGAGAAAAGTCAGAGAGTCATCAAAAAGTTTTTTATATCAGTCTTACCAGTGGAATTGTTTTTTTTGTTCTTTTCATCGTACGCCCTGTTTCGGTTTATCTTTGTCCCTCAGATTTGTCTCATTTGTTTTTTTTTTGGAACCCCAAGATTAATTGGGAACCTAAGTGAAACTGATTATCTTTTCTAATTTGTCGTTTAATTTGAATTGCTAGCTTGAGGGCTGAAAAAGAAATTCAGAGGGTGCCGCGGCGGATGAGTGTCGACTCTTGAATGAAGCAGCAGATTGCCGCGATCGCAAGTGTTCTGGCGTGCGCCTCCTGCATGAAGTTCTCCAGCTACAGGCCTACCGAGCAGTACAAATGTGGCGCCTTCTTGCGGGAGTCCCGTCGCGAAGCTACAGTACTCGGGACTTACTACCAGTTCGTCGATCAGTTCATTGCCTGGATCTCCTCGCCGTTTCCCCATCAAGGTCCGTTCTTTTTTTTGCATTCAATTTCCTGTTTTGCATCTCTCCTTTCTTATTCTTTTAAGATGAGACAGTTTTGGTGTCCGAGATTGAAGGTCAAGTAACAGGCACTGTCCTCTGTTCTTTTTGAAGAGGGTCAAATGTACAGTTTTCAGTGTAGACGTTTTCCAACCAATTTCAATCTAGTACACTCCTAAAACTTCGAAGAAAACTTCATCGTGTTCACGCGACATAGTAAAATATTCATAAATTTTTCCCGTATTTTTTCTCGAATCTTTTTTTTTTAATAACAGATCTTCATTTTAAAATTGCCAAAAAGTTGTTGGAGCCTTCCTCAATGAAGAAATAAAATGGCATTTATCTTAGAAGTTCTCTCAGGAAATGTTTTTTTTCAATGTTAAAACTCTGAAAATAGCTTTTTCTGGAAGTATCCTCTACTGAGTGAATTTCGGAAAGAACTCTGAAAAAAAAACGGCGCGCCGACGACTGTTGGACCGTGCACAAACAGGTGGTGTACACACGCGTATTACCCCATTTTAGTTGCAAAGGCCGATTGGATTGCAACGAGATGCCGCTATTAACGCTCTTTCTCGGGAATTTCTCTCCAGATATTGTCAGCGCAGCGGGTGGCGCAAATTGAGAACTCTCTTTCTTGATATCATATTCGTATATCCGATTTTATAGACTTTCAACGATGACAAGATAGGTTCGCAAAAATGAGTAGTTGAAATTTCCAGAAAACCCAGTAAGTTCGGAAAGGTTTAGGTCAAACAGACCGAACATCTATCATCGGAAATTTCATTGTTCGAGGAAGATCTGGCGACTCAGGACATTCTAAGTTGACTATAACGCTTTAAGAGAAATCTGCAAAATTTCTTGAATGCCGAGATCTGAGGCCTGAAAAATCGTTTGCCTTTAACTTTGCAAGAAAAGAGAAATCTCATTTTTCCAAAAAAAAAAGTGAGCTGTGTACTTGACGCCTTCAGAAGGATGAAGGAAAATTCGAAGGTTTTGAGGAGGAAGTTCTTCTTTTCTATTTGGAATTAATTTCCTCTTTCTAAACCCATTCACGTTCTGAAGAGCGTTTCGTGTGGGGCGAATTCCCAGGCGGATATGTTGCGCAATTGAAAATAAGTAATGTTTTGAAAGACAAACGACGCAAGAAGAATCCACTCGAACGCTTTGGGTTGAGAAAGTTGAAAATGAGAAATGTTCAGTTTTGCAATAGTTTCCAAACAGAACAAAAACCTTGCATCTGTCACGTTTCATATAAAAATATTGAAAGAAAAAAACAGTTATTTTTTTCTTCTAGTCCAAAAAGATTCTCCAGTTACAGCACACATTTAGCCGTTGTCTGAAATTGGAATAACTGCAGCTTATTAGTTAATTAGGTAACTTCAGACTTGTTTCCTCCGTAGAAACTTGTATATGCATAGTTTTTGTGAATAAATAAGGTAATCGCGCCACGAGAGGTTGTGGGGTTTCCAACGCAAACACTTGACGCGCTTTTGGTTCAGTTTGGTTGCCGGAACTGAGATGAATTTCGAACGGATATTCGTTCAGTTGACGTCCAAAACGCCCAGATTTTGTGCGTTAAAAGCGTATTTAAAGCTTGGAGAGCAACCCACATAATCCATCTTTTCAAATGATGTGCAAGAACTTCTTCAAGAAGCTGAAAAAATATAAGCGGTTTTTTTTGCATAAATAAATGCTTGAAGTATCTTCTTCATAAAAAAATCCCATGAAATCATGAAATTTGCCTGCATCGTTGTCTAAATGAATTAAATTGAGAAAAAAATTTGTGTTTTTTTCTTCCATTTTTTTGAACTCTCTCGACTGCTTTTTTTCAAAAAGAATTTTTAGGATGTGCAGATCGCTTCAAGTTGCAAAAAAATTTTTTTAAACAATTGTTAGTCTTTTGCTCGCAATTGTTTATTATACTTCGTTTAGAATAATTTCGATAAAATTTCAAGATAATGAATTCTTTTATTTTTCAGAGATTCTGACGAAGCAAGCTCTGCTCGGAAACTGGGATGAGATCCAAGATTCGTTAGAAACCAAGTACTGGCAGGTGGGACTTTTTATTCATTTTTTTTTGCCCACTGACTGCCAGAGTCGGTGGCCCAGTCGTAATCTGAAAAAAAGCGTTTCGGGGAGATGGTTGGAACGGGAATGTCAGAAATGTAGATTTTAATGGTTTCTTTCAGTCACCAAAAAAATTTTCCATTATTTGTCTTCATTTTGTTGAATTTACAGAAAGGCTACCCACAAAAATAGTGAAAGAGCGGGTTAAAAAGTAGGTTAAGTAGTTTTTTTTCAGTATTTTCTCCCGAAACTAGGAGTGAATAGAGTGAACTTATTTCTCCCAATCGCGTCTCAGTTATTCTAATTCAAACTTTCAAAAAAATTTTTAAAGATTACATAACATCCTTTTTTCCTAAGATCCATGATTCACTCTAGATGAGACTTCAGTTCTCGTCACTTTCCAAGTATTTCGAGTGTGTCTCAATCAGCAAGACAGGTTACGCCGAATGCCAAAATTTGATTGCTCCAGCGGCCGGAATTAAGCGACGTCGGCCAAATCTGAGAGGAAAACACGCTCAACGGCGCTGACCCGTAGCTGGAATGCGAGCTCGCCGCCAAAACAGTATTAGTTGGGTTCTGAGAGTCGCTTGCTTGGAGGGAACTTTCAGCTTTACGCGACGCTCTCAAGCTTTTCCGCTAAAAACAGGAAAATCACAATTAATTTAAGAGGGAATACGAAAATTACTATGGATTCGAAGTAAGGGGTTTTAAAATTAACTCTAAATTTATTTCCATTATACGCGAGCTTTTTATGCTTTTAGTCTTGCTTTATTCAGGCATTCAACGCTTTTTTTTTCAAAGAATTAACCAAAAAGTTGCTCCTTTCAAACCCTTTTTTAAAAAAGAATCCTCAAGCAAGTTGCTATACACTTTTGGATGAAGAAGAATGAATACAATACCCCCAAAAAAGAGAACTTTTTCTTATTCACACTTTTTGTGCGTCAGAGTATGATTCATATGAGAAAAGTTTACCGTTTTTGATTAACTAAAAAAGAAAATGGATTGCTTTAAGCTTCTGGTTACATCTTAAACATGATTATTTGATTTTTTGTAAGGAAATCTTTTTCTCATTATTGCTATTACGGTTTGAAGGTCTCAGCTTGTAGAGCTTTTCACTTCCGATTTCGACATTGGGGCAATTTTGAGACTATTTTCATTCAGTGATCTTTGAAATTTTTGTCTCGCAGTATTTTTTTCTGAGAAACTGATGAGGTTGAGCGCCAAAAGAGCCGCGAGTTGAAAGAAGAATCGCCGAGTTGTTTGAGCTCAGCGCACGGCTCGTGTCGAAATCCCGGACGGCGCACGCGTACGCGTTTGTACAATTGTTATCTGCTGTCAGCTCAGGTCGCGATTTACTTTCTCGGCCACATCGTTTGTCTTCGGTATTATTTGGCGCGTCGTGAGAGTATTGGGAGTTTTTTAAGGGAACAATAACTGTTGAATAATACCAAGAGGCCTCTGATTTCGCCGTCCATCACACGAGAAAGGCAGTCGTGATAGCAACCAAGTATGAGGGTTCTAGATAAAAATGGCTTCTTACTTTTTTCGGAGCTAGCTGAGGATAGAAACAGTGCGGTGCACGATTATAATGAAAGAATCCTGCAGTGAGCCGTTCACAGTCGAGGGAACTACTTTTGAAGCTAATTAGTCTCACATAGTCGATTCACAACATCTTTCCAGATAATTTCAAAAAGTGAAAATGTCCCGATAGATAAAGGTCTTTCCAAACTTTGAAATAATTTATTTGTTAGCTTGTGACGGGTCAGTATTTATTTTTCCCAAATTAAATGAATGGAATATGAAACTCAAGGAACTTTACTCATGAAAAGATAGTAGAAATTGTTTTCCAAAATAAGTTCTAAAAATGTGGAATTTCATTTTAAAGATCATAGTTTATTTTTTCAGTGCTTTTTCAGTGCTTTTTCAACGCTATCAACTTCTTCAAAACCTATCGAAAGATTTTTGTTGTTTTAATTTTAATAAACCTATCTCAGCTTTATACTTTCACTCTACGACCTTACTTTGTTTGTACTATTATAACTGGAAGTTCCACGGCTTTGCCAAAAGGCAACAAACGAATGTCTGCGAAATTTGATACTTCTGGAGTGCAATACGGCGACGAAATGACCAGTTCATCCGGGGCTGCGTGTTTACCTTCCTCGGTTGGGGGCGAAGCGGTGGACGGCCGCTTTTTTTGTGCCCAAAAAAGTGAGAAACCATCGGGGATGATTTCCAAGCGGCTCATTTCTCAAGTTTCTGCGTCATCGGTGGCGATGATCGGGCTTTGGGGACAGAAAGACGTCGGCGGAGTTCCTGAAGCGGTTTTTAGAAAAAAAGAACGGCTCAGACGAAATCAATCAAGAAAGAAACTGGAAGCTTAATTATAAAAAAATGTGTCGAGAATCATGTTTTGAAATAGAGATGTGAGAAAAAAGCCTCATTCAGCAATAATTTGGCTGGAAAAAGGTCGGTGCACTTCATAAGAAACATTTACAAGGAAAGAAATGTTTATAATCACATTCAAACCGAAAAGAAAACGTCCGTAAATTTTCAGTGAATAAAATTTTCAGTGGATCGACTGGCAAAGAGGATGGCTACTTTTCTCCTTGGGAATTGTCGCGTTCAGCATATTTTTTGTTTTTTTCTACATATTATACAGGTATTTTCACATTAACTAAGCAAAAATTAATCATTTTTTTCAGAATATGCTCTTACTGTTGTTCAAGTTCGATGAAAAAACAGACGACGGACGCTCGTTATGATGCTTGTAAACGGAATATTCTCAACTTTTCCGCCTTTCTACTCATTTTTTTCAACGCGTTAGTGCTGATACTCTATTCCTTTTTAAGCTGGAGGCTATATTTATATACGGTATTTTTACGCAAAAACGAACAAAAACATTTTTTAGCCTTTCAATTTCTTTTAGTCCGAAAGTAGGGACCGCAGACGAATTTTCAAAAATTTTTTTTCAGCATCGAGCTTTGTATGGTTCGATAGCTGTTTCGATTCAAAAACTCAGAACCGTTTAGTTTTTTTCAAAAAAAGATTGAGGATGAAAAAAAGTTATGACGGAAAATGTGGCGCGCCGCGCACCATTTTTTTAGTACTGAAATTTTGGTATTATCCATTTTTGACATTTTTCTCGATTTTTCTTCTAGAACAAGTTTTGATACTGGTCTATTATGATGTAACAAATCATAATAGAGTGCTAAAATGATGCTAATCAGCTAGTTTGCCGAAAAAGTCGGTATTTTCCAGAAAACAAAAAACTGCCGCTTGCGGGCATCGAACTCGCGACCTCAAAATGAAAAATCGCAGCGCACGCGCTGCGCCAAGCTGTTAAGTCTAGCGATGGGAGCTTCCATCCGCCATACCCTTGAGCCGTTTGAATAGCACAGATTGCCTATTTCAAAAAGAAAATCTTGAAGTAATTAAGATATTTTTATCAGAATATGTTCGCAAATCTTTACTCAAACTTTCCGTGAAAATTCACTTCGAAAAAACTGTTTTTTTAGTGCTTTTGGCCTCGTTTAACGATCGCTGCCTTAAAACGGCCCCGTAAATTTTTTTGGCAAAGACGAATTTTTTTATTTTTATTCTTTTTAATTGAAAGATTTTTTTACTAATAAATGTATATAATCGTTTGAAAAAAACCTGCGTTCGACCGCTTTCTGTGTGATAAACGCCGCTAATTTTTATTCTCTAGTTTCAAGAGCATTTTTTTGCGTATTAAACAACTTTTTTTCAAGCAAAGATGCTGTAGAGAAATATTTAAGTAAGCTCATGATCTAAATTTTTGAAAAAAACAAAAAAACTCGATTATATTCGCTTATTAACGATATTTTTGAATTATGACTTTCGGCACTCCCTAAAAATTTTTTTGGCAAAGACGAATTTTTTTATTTTTATTGTTTTAAAATTACCGTTACTTGAATCAAAAATCATTATTTAAAAAAAAGAAAGAGTGCGTTCGACCTAAAAAAACACATGAAAAAAAGCAAAAAAACGACAAAAATTTTTTTAGTTCCATTCACGTTTTTTTGTACGACATTCCGCGCGAACGCATCAAAAAAAGCGTGAAATATTTTTTTAAACGAAAGAGGAAGCTTTTTTCTGTACAAGTGTGTCAAATTTTATTTGCCAGTTCCACATATTTTACAACTACAGCAAAAAGAAAGTTGAAAACCAAAAAAAAGCCACTTTTTCTATCGCGAAAAGGGGCGTGGCTTTGCGGTCCCTAGTCCGAAAGCCTTTAAGCCTTTCAATTTCTTTTAGTCCGAAACTTTCAGTTTTCGAAAGCAGATCACATTTTTAATCTCAATTTCAGGATGGTCGTGACGGTTTTGGTAATATCAAGCATGTACGCTCATCACGGGTTGGATCAGCTTCCAAATCGTGTGAATCAGTGCATCGACGATTTGAATCTGTACAAAAGGGATACTGACATGGTTCGTGTTAACAATTTTTATATGCAAACATTTTTCATCCTCTCTAACTAACAATGGGATTCTTGGAAAAGATTAGCATTTTATTTGAAACAATCTTGACTCGAAAAACAACAATCTGCTTCGGCCTTTTTTTAGTTCTTATTTTTTGAACTTTTGCACCAATAGCTCTTTAAGTAAACTTGGAGCAATCGAAAAGCTAACTCTAGATAAGTAAGCATTTGGATGATCCATTTTTTCTCAAAAACTTTCAAAAATTTACGACAGTTCTTCCTGAACTTAAGTCTGAGTTTTTCAGAGGATTCGCAAGCTTCTGATTGACGATTACCAAACCTTGAACCTAACGATCACGGATCAACTATCTCATGCCGGACATAACGTAGTAGACCGTGTGAAAAGGCTTACTGGGGCCAACGTCATTGACGTATTTTTGAACGTCAGCAACGGTGAGCCGAGATTCCGGTCGTCAAATTATTTATTTATTATTTTGAAGGAGCTCAAGACATGAAGTCGACCCTCGGTATGGTGCAATCGCAAGTCAAGGAGCTGAATGACGAAGGAATCCGCTTTGAAGTACGGACTCCTTTTAATAAATTACAAAAAGATATCTTTTCAGAGCGAGTTTCATCGTCTTCGGAACACAGCCAACGAAGAAATAGTGAAATGTGTGGAGAATGAGATGGAACCGATGAGAAGCATGTGTGCTAGAGCCGAAAGACTTCTAGAGAATTTATCTATCAGTAAATTCAAGCTTCAAGATGTATCAGCTTTCCAAAAACTTCATTTTTTCAATTTACTTTTTAGGAGCTTCTTTCGCCGGAAACAGAAGAAGCTTTGCAGCAAATACTTCAAGCTAACATATCTCGATTGCTTGGCGAATCTAATAGACAGTTTGAAAATATGGAGACGGCCATTCAAAGTGAAATCGATAAAAAGACTCATGGTGAATTTTTTTTTGTTTCAAAAAAAAAACGATTGTTTTCCTTATGAAAACGATTTTTACGAAAAATTTCAGAACATTATAATCGTGAATTTTAAGAATTCTAGAAAGAAGGGGTGCCGAAAAACTTACACAAAAAAGTCATATCAGAAAACGTGGCCCCTCTTTTAATATTCTCAAGTTTCAGCCGCACAAAACATGCTGAAGCAAATCGGCGACGATCTTTTTGTGGTCGCTGAAACGATTTCCACACAGTTACGCCAGATAAACTTCGATTTGCTCTACAATGGCGTTTCACGGATGACTGAGTTGAAGAAACAAACGCCGTTCAAATATTTCGAATACAGGTTCCTCCGTCCTGAAACCTTAGCATTACAAAGATTTTATGCAGTTGGATAGGATCAGTGACAATAGCTTCGCTGATTATTCTTCTCAGTCTCCTTTTCCTGATCGGAGTTCTATGTGGAGTTTGTGGCCGTCGGCCCTCCTACTACAACGACGACTGCTGTGTTCGTACCACCGGTGGCAAGTTCTACAGCTGGTATAGTTTCCAGATTATTCCTAGAAGATTCTTGGGTTTTCAGTGGAATTTGGCTAGCAGTGCTCCTCTTTGTCTTTTTGGCACTCGGCACGGCTATCCTGGCTTTTGCTGTTGGTAACGTCTCCAGTCTGGTCTGTCAGCCATTGAGAGATCCTCTGAACCGACCGGACATTATGTCGGTGAGTAAAAACTACAGCCCCGATTTTTCAGTATTAGTAGTGTTTTGTCAAAACTTTTCCTCTCGAAAATCGGGTCTGTTTGAAGTTTTTTGAAGCCACGAAAAAAGGATTTAGATTTTCAGACGTTATTGAGGACAAATAAAAAGTGTTCAACCAAAAATATTTCTTATAAGAAGTGAATTTGGGACGTTGTCAATAACTAAGTAATGCCGATTCTAGATCGAAGTTATTACAAATGTGCTTTCAGACGAGTTATGAAGTCTTGAATTTTTTTTTCTGGCCTTGTGGCTTAGGAATAAGTTTTTGGCGTTTTCGAAAAATTATAACTAGAAAGCGAAAGAGAAAATATGTCGCACTGAAAATGAGGTGCATGGAAATAAATGAAGGCTGATTTTCTAGCACCCCAACAAGTGCAGATACCAACTATATAAAACCAAGAACAGCTATAAAATTGTTTGTTGAACATTATTGACTAAATCTGCGCTCAATGAACTCATTCCTACCAAATCATTTTCAGCTTTCTGAGCGATATGTCGAAATTTGGCGCGAAAAACACCGTCCCAGCAATGACATCCAAGCAATTTTGGACCAAAGATCGCCGGCAGACATCATTCGAGCATGTCAACGGAATGAGACCCTCTACCATATCTTCGAATTTGACAAGAAATACCATCTCAACCAGCTCAAGGTTCCTATTTCCTATCAAAGCCATAAAACGATATCGATTTCCAGGACTTTGAGAAGGAATCTTATGCTCAGCTGGAAAATTTTTTGAAAATTTCCATGATAGAACTACCTGAAATCAGACCTCTAGATGTCATTATTTCGAAGTCAGAAATGGAAGATCTTGAAAAACTTGCTAAGATGAACGTTTCCAAAGTCAGCCACGTCGCCCTCGACACTGTGAGCCGGGATAAGATTTATCTCATTGATATAAATATCTAGATTAAAAAGGCCATAGATGAATTGGATCTGGTCACAAAAACTCGAGAATTCGAAGAGAGTTTGGATGATAATGCTGGAAGACCAAAAGCTGTGTCTTTGGTGAGATTTAGAAAGTAGAGAAAAATGAATAATATTTTATTAAGGTACTCGAGCAAATTCAAGAAATTGATACCCAATTCGCAAAGCCTCTTCGAAATCGGCTGGAATCTCTCTACAAAAATATTACCCATCTGGATGAGAGGTAATAATATAACTCTTTAAAACTGTTTTGTTTGTTTCAACTGTTTTCCCACGGAGAAAAAGCTAAAAAGTTGAATTATTTTTCTTCAATTATCAATAGTCAAGTGGAACTCCATCACAAAGGCAAAAAGTTTTTTTGTTAGCACAAAAAAACGAAAAAAAAGAAGAAAAAAAATAAAACTCATATAAAAATCCAACCCAAATAAAAAAAATTAGGATAATTCTTTGTTTAAAAATTTTTTTCAGACTTACGGAATTACAAGTGCCGGTTTCTTCCTTGTTGGTGAAACTACAGCACGCCCAGGCGCTTCTCTCCGAAAGTGTCAAGGAACATTTCAAAAGAGCCGCCAAAGAAGAACTAGACTTCATGGTCGGCCACATTGACCACTACATTTTCCATGTCCGGGATCAGGTTTTCAAGTTTTGAGCGAACTTTTTCGAAAAAGCGGCTGCAGATGCAAAATGAAGTGTCTTCCTGTGAACCTTTGGCCCAAATAGCTAAACACTCTACGTCTGCTCTTTGTACTTATACTGTCGACACATTTGTAAGTCTGCCTCAATATTATGATTTGATCAGTTGTTCTTTTCAGAATGGAACTTGGATGTGTCTACTGATATTCCTGTTTTGCCTCGTCCCTATCATAGTTTTTCTGCACTGCGCTCATTGATCTCTACAACAAAATGCATGCATTCCCCAAATAGTAAATTTTTTTGATTTAAGATAATCAAAAATCAGAAAAGAGGACGGAAATCTGCACAGTTAGAGTGACAAAGAAACTAAATTAAATCTGTGTTTTCGATTTATTTTTTTAAGTATGGAAAACCAAATTCACCTACTAAAAAAAGATATAAGTCGAGAAGTAATTTTTTTCAAATTACTAAACAAGAAACATATCAATAAAAAAAACTTAAAGAAAAAAATTAAATTTGGAATTCACATTTGTTTCATTGAAAATTTTGCAAATTTCAATTGGTTTCTGCTGAAATTTTCCGATCTGAGGAAAGAAAATCAAGAGGCTACTTTTTTCCCACCATGCGAAAAAATCTGCAGTTTTGACAAGATCAGACAGTTTCTCGGGTTTTCAGTATCGTGGAGCCACCGCAGGAGTCGCACCACCTGTCGTCGTTCGTCACCGACACGTACGACACGAGACCCAAGCCGTACGACAAGAAAGATTCCCTCACAGTTTCGAAACGAATCAAGTTTTAGTGGGTACTCTAGCTACGCCTACACTGACGACTACCATCGCACCTATCGGTAGTTCGGTCACTCGTTTCGTTTCACTCAACGTCGTCCGGTGGTCCTGTGAATCTTTTCAAGTTGTAGTAATTTAAAGAGTCAGTAAATTTTCAGTGACCTTCTCTCTGTCAGTTTCGCTTTTATCAACTCACATGAGAGTTTTAAGTTTAAAACTTTTTAAATGGAAGCACTTGGATCTGATAATCCTGCTCATGGCCAATCATGTGAGACAAAAAACTTGAGACAAAAGTTATTCCTTCCTTCTCTTTTTGGCGAGATTTTTTTTTACTGAATTTTACCAAAAAACCTCTGAAATTTCGATTAGCCAATTCAAGGATTTTCCGACCTCAAGTGGTTCCGGAACCAACACAAATTTTATCTGAGATCTTCAATACTTGTTCCTCTACTCTTCTTCATGATATACGTGTTCTTTCCCCAATAATCAGTTTTCAACTTCTCATCATCAGTTTTGGTCGTTTTCACTCATCTCGCATATCTTCTGGTGCCATTAGAGATTATTTTAAACTATAAAGTTTAGTGATGAATTTCATTGAAGGTTCTAAAATTGCTCATAAATCAGAATCCGAAATAAGAATAAAAACATGCGAGGTTGCCCCATTTCAGTTGCTCTCCTCAATTATTTCAGTTTGCACTTCTACCAATAAAAATGTTGTTCAAAATTTCATTGATTGCTGTGAGATCATATGACATCAAAATGAACTGGGATTAAACTGACTATTATAAAAAGAACTGGGATAAGCTGGAGGTAATAGATTATTTGACTTCGACTATTGGTTCAATATCACAACCCTTGTATAATGTAAATCAAAATATGAGCAATATAAAATACACGGTGGCTCAAATAAAACTGTACATAGAATATAATGAGGTCTTTCGACTTAGAAACAATACCGAAAGGTAGAAGTTAATCACAGATTTGAAAGAACAATAGGAATAACCATAATAATGAAAGCTTCGACATACTTAAGCTAATCAAATCATTCTAAATAAAAACTCAAAATCACGAAAAAGTGCCTAAAATCAAATAAAAAAAAACATTCTCAAGCACGAGGAACGGCAAGTGAACTTTTGTAAGGAATCATAGTGGAGACGTATCGAGCAACATGTTCACGCATTGCTGGGTCCGCATATCGACGATAAATTCCAGTGTTTTTGAGTTGGTTGAAATCAGCGCGTTGAGCTCTTTCTTTGATGGTGCTGAAAAAGTTGAAAAAATAAAAAATCGAGAAATGTTTCTGACCAGGACATGATAAAATTGCACATATCTGTAGATAATCCAGTGTTTGTCAGTAGCGGTGGATCGCCATAGACGATCATTTGAATCTGAGCAAAGATAGGAGCTTCCGTAAGTCCCGGGTAGGGATATCGACCGTTCGCGACTTCCAACTGCAATGGAAAGTATGAACAAAAACTAAGCTTAATTTTCAGAAAACGGAAATTTTCGAACATTTAGAATGAGAATATTTTTCAGAGGATAAGCAAGATAACAAATGCAAACTTTTGAATAAGTTTTTAAAATTACTTTGAAACATCCTCGTAATATTTTTCATGTATAATTGAGTTATGACGCTTGACGCGAAAATTTTTTTTCAAAACTTCCATATCAATTGAAAGAAAAAAATAACTTGCCATGGAAATTCCCAAACTCCAAACATCTGATTTCACATCGTAACCTTCGCAATTTGGAGCTAGACGTTCAGGCTGAAAATAATCAGTTTCATGCACAAATTTTCGTGAAGAAATCTGACAGCCATGTAGGGACGACAGCCAACGTCTCGGGACTGAGCAACTGAATCCTGTAAGTAGCCGCAAATCCCGAAATCGCACAGTTTGATGTAGCCGTCACAGTTGAACAAAATATTGGAAGGTTTTACGTCTGCAAATACAACTTCCTTGCTCAAAACTCAAAGCTAATTAATCAAAAACTAACCTCTATGAATGATATGATGATTGTTTTTGAGATGTTCAAGCGCTCGAATTGTCTGAAAAAAGTCTTAGGTTCAGAAAATTGCGATTTTCCAAATGAAAATATGCTCCAATAATCAAAATTTGAAACACTTGGATTATTCAGACTTTTCGAGAAATTCTAGTGTCAAAAATCGTAGCTAAATCTTACCGCAACAGCCACCGAGCCTAGAGTAGTTTGATCAAATGGCTGTTTCACGACTTGATGAGCGATTCGATAAAGAGTTTCGAGAGAAATGTCCATCAGTTCCATGCAAAGCCACGCGTCTCCCTGAACACGAAAAAATTAATCTAATACAGAATCGCGAGGAAAATGCCTCATAAAACGTGATTCCGTAATATTTGACAATCTCATCGCAGTTGCTAGAAGCTTTGATAGTTTCCACTTCGTTTTTCAAACGTTGCATCGATTTGCTAACTCCTTCATCATTTCCAATACTCATCAAGCGAATTCTCTGAAAAGAACTTCAGAAATGAATGTATGGATTTGAGTTCAACCTTGACAGCAAGAGCTTTTCCAGATTGGTTGTGCACCATTTTCCTAACAGTTCCAAACGTTCCGTTTCCAAGAGCTTCAATATCTGTTAGTTTTGCGTATTCAAATGGATATTGCGTGGTGTCGGGTGGAAAGTTCAGGCTGTTGGCCAAGTACTGTTTGACGTAGTTTCTAAAATGAAGAAAATATAAGAAAGGCCAACCTTATAGGGTATATCGGCAAAGGTATTTGTTTTTTGGTTTTGTTATAACACGAACAAATCTATACGGTATCCTCACTGTGTTTAAAAAAACAATTTTGGCGTCTTCGAACCCCGAAAACTTTTCTTACAAGATCCAAAATCGTAAGACTTCTTCTGAAATAAAAAGGAAAAACTAACAAACTGCTCATTTCGTCGTTGTTTCCAGTGCCTTGCCGTCTGCGATTTTTCTTCGAGGTCAAAGTTGTTACTGAACCTGAGCGTTGGAGGACGGGTTTTCTGTATAAAATTTTTCAGCTTAATTTTTTTATTATAGGAATTCAAGTTTAAAAAACTAACACCAGGTGCACGACCATTGGTAGCCATTCGAGAAGAACGCGTGGGAGGAGCCAGCCTGGAAAATTCACGATTCTAAACTCGAAACGAAAATTGAAAGCCAAAAATTTCTGACGATTCTGTTTTTTTGAGATGAAGTACAACCAAAAAAAAGTTAAAACAAAGGTTTTCAGCTTTCTTTGTTTGAAGGTAATAACAATAAATCAAAAATAAGGCTATAACTCCAAAAAAAATAGAAAATATATTCACGCACGCCCTTTTCATCTTAGAATTTTTATGCTAAAAGACAGCAGGGCTGTGAAATAGTTTTTCAATAGGTTCAATAATTCTTTCAAAACAATCAGAAAAGGATATTAGAACAAGTGGTTGTCTTATAATTGGAAATGAAGCCAATTAGACGAGAAAACAAAAACTGAAAGAACGAGAAACGGCGGCGCTATCACACCTCAGCAAATTTACCTCCGCAAACACCGAAACCGAAATATACATACTGCCAACCTTTTTGATCTTCATTTGCCGCTCAGAAGAGATCAACTTCAAATATTTATTCTCCAAAACAACAGTCTCACAATTGAACGATTTGGATGAATATGTATTGAATGAAAATTTTCTAAACATCCAACATTTTTTCTAAACATCCAAAAAAAGATATTATGCAAAGCAAACGTTACGCTTGAAGTAGAGTTCAAAGACAAGTTTCCATCACAATTAGAGAATTGACAGGAAAATGAAACTAAACAAGGGAGCTCATTCTGCAATTCTGAGGATCAGCAAAAGACAAACTATCCAAAGTTTTTATCGAAATTGGGATGTTGAAAAGGTTTTTTTATGTGTCTCGTACATCCTTTATAATAAGTATTTGGAGCAAACTGCATATTTACAAAAATAGATAAATATCAATATGATATTTTGATGATAAATAATAAAGTTTATGAAAGATAGAGACGGGTAAAGAAGGAGAAAAGAAATTTTCAATATTCAAAGATCGGCTACCAGTTCCGGTAGGTCGCCCAGACTGTCTTCATCATCTTCTCTCTCATTTCTCGGAGCTGCTTCGACAGGATACCACATCTCGGCTACTTTGTCTGTGATCGAAGCCTAAACATTTCTCGATTCGATGATAACTATCGGAAAACAATCACTTCAGGTTCTTGAGGCATCTCCATCGAGCCGCCTGGTACAGCCATTTCTGCTACCAGCTTTCCCTGCTTCTCGGCACGTTTTCTTTCTTTCTGTCGCAGTTTTTTGGCTGCCTGTTTGGCTCGCTTCTCATCTCCTTTCTCTTTCAAAGCTTTGGCTCGATTATTCTCGATTTCTGACTTTGACTGAGATTTATTTGAGTTTGACTGTGGTATCTATAAGTTTTAATCATGAATTTGAGAATTGAGAGAAAAGCTTACATCTAGTTCGGCCACCGCCCTCATCAAATTTGATCTTCTTTTGATCATTTTGACGTAATCCAGCATACGATTCATACACACAGTCACATCTCGAGTCGTGATGAAGTTCTCGTCGAAAGCATAGCTCTGAATTCCCAAGATTGATCGAAAATTCCAGGTAGTGGAATTACCATGATACGCTTAGCCTCGATGTAATATCGCGCAGCTTCCTCAGGTCTCTGAAGAGATTCCAGAATTTTGCCAGTTTGGCTGTAAGTAACTCATTATATTTTTGTTTACGGAGAAAATCTTACAAAAGGTGCATTCCTTTTGCCGGATGTGCGTAACGAAACACGTAGCGCACAAATTCTTCCGTGTCGAGATAAATATTGAGCAAAGTATTTGAAGTGCCAAGATCAATCTTTGAAGCGTCATTCACTTTATCAAGTAGCGGAACAAGAGCCTTGAAATCACTTGTTTTTTTTTTCAGTTTGCCGTCAATCTTACCGCAACGAGGGCGCAGAAAAATGAATTGCAGCTTGGCAGCATTTGATCTATCAGAAAAAGATGCTGCTTGAGAACTTCCAGTCTCATTTCAACAGGAAGCTGGAAAGAAGTTTCGAATTTAGATAATTTTGTGAACTAACGATGATAAGCTGGGGGTTGTCTAAAACCAATCGAGTTTCTCGCATTGCTCCAACGCAGTCGATCACATAGTCCTCAAAAAATGTTTGTACATTGTTCATAAATGCAGGATTCTTTGAGTTCAAACTACGAGCATTTTTTTTAAACCAACCTTACTAACCATCCTGTTGCAGAGATGGCAGATTATTTCCATGTTTTCGCTGTTTATATAAGCATCAGGACCATGAAGACGAATAGGTACTCTTACGCCCTGTAAGAAGATTTTTGAATCGAAAATGGTTTTTGCAGCCTCACCTCTGCGTTGCAATGAGGGCAATACGCAGCAGTAAGCCAGCAGTCGAGTGGATCTACGCAGCGGTCGCACTGACATTCGAAGTACCAAGAGTCCCGGATCATATGTCGACGTTCCACAAGACATCTACAAAAATTGTTCGATCAGAAAATCTTTAAATAGAATTACTCAGTCAGAGAAATGTAAGAATAAAAAGTTTCGTCGAAGTTATCGAAGTCAACGTCGTCGTGTAGAGCACGTAGTGTAGCAGTGGTGCCATCGCAGCTGTAGATCTGAAAATACTGACATTTACGTGTAAAAGGATTTCGAACAAACCGTATTTGGTCTACAAGAGTGGTTGTAGCGACAGAGGTCCAAGTAAAGCCCTTTCCCGATTTCTACAGTAAAATCAGGGTCGGAGAGAGAATGTCGGTTGATTATGCTCCGAGAATAGAGCTCCAAAGCAATATCTTCAGTTACGTTCTCGTAGTTGTTGTCTAACAACTTTTCAACAGCCAGAAAGATCTCTGAAAGTAGCTTCGATTTGTAACAGAACGAAAGATTTTCAAAAATGTTTTTGAAAGACCTTCCCAAAGAAATTCAAAATTATAGCTTCACTCACTTTTGAATTTTCCGTAAGCTCTCTCGTCCAGTCTGATTTCTTCAGTGTGTGCGCAAAGCTGCATTATCGTGCGGTTACTACTCCGATTGACGTAAAATGTTGGATCCAGATCCGCTTTCCCGCTTTCAATATCCTGAACACGCCAACGTTGAGCCTCACCAAGATTTTTTCAAAACTCACCGACCACCGTGCACAAATTCTTGCCAACATTCTTTCTTCTATTCCCAAATCTGTCATCTTGCGCAACATGTGACATTCTACCTAAACATCTCTTCTTGCAAATTAAAAATTGAGTTTTCAAATTACCTTGTGGTCTCGCCTCGACTCATTTCGGCAATGCAGGGAACAAAACCTACCCACTTCACAATGAGTACACGAACTTAAAAATGAATTTTGATGTTTTGAAAATTATTTTAAACTAACTACTGCAGGACGGGAGGTCTCTTCATGCACCCCCAGCAGAACTTCTCGAAATATTCGTTTTTAATCACAAAAGCAAACGGATAGAACTCCTTCGTGATCTTTCTCGAACCGATTCTATCAATTCCAACAACACCAAGTGGAGTGCTTTGTGGCATCTTGCGTCTGAAAAAAAGAACCGAAAATTTTTTAAAATGAAACAAATACGATTGACGATTACAGAAGCCTAGAAAATGGAAGAGGTTATAAAAAAAACTACATTATCAATTATTCCAAAAAATTTGATCAAAGTATACTTATTTCATGAAAAGGATGGTGATTTTTTTGGGGGTTTTTTTCGATTAATTTTTATTCATTTGAACAAAAAAAGTTTGACTATACAGATGGGAATGTTTGTTGGTGGGAATCTGAAAGTGAAGCGAGAACAAAATGGCGGAGGCGTGAGTCAAACGGAAGCGTCGGCGTTGTCGCGGCAACCTTGGAAAATGTATCCGACAGGCACTACGGATAATGAGAAGCGCGTTGAGCGTAATAAAAACCAATCACGGGATCCTTTGTTCCGTTTGTAGCCAAGCCGGAGCTACAAAATCTCTTACTTGATGATGATGAACAACGCGACCGTTGCTATGGGAATTGACATGTCACAGAAATCCTAGAATAGTTTCTGAACACATGCATTTTTTTCGGAGAATGATAATTTTCGAAAATGAATTTTTGCAGAATAATCATTTCTAATGAACCGATCATTTTATCTTTATGTAACAAAAGTTATCAAAAAAAGTTTTTAAACAGAAAAAAAGAGGGTCAGTTAGTTTTTTTGATTGAATTATCATTAAGGTCCCTGAATTAAGATTACAAAGACATTTTTTTCAAAAAGTTGGCTTTTTCTTCTGAGTTGCTTCAAACTTTGCTAACCCGAGTGAAAATCAAAAAAAACTGTTTTCTACAAACTAAGACAGCTCAAAGAAAAAAATAAAATAAAATCGATTCGGCCATCAAAAAAATTCTCAAAGGTTTCAGTAAATCCGTATGGTTCAAAAAAATTTAGAAAAAAATTCCGATTTCTTATTCTACAAAAACTTTCAAAACGCTCCAGTTAAAAAAATGAACGCCCTATTGTTTTTTTATATTTTTTTAAGAGAATACCATAAAAAGATATTTTTTTAGGGTTTGCCCTAAGATATATGCCGTATGAAACGTCCCTGCTTTTTTCTCATAGTACAACTAGATTCTTCCAATTAAAAAAAGGAAATAATGAGAATTTTCCCAAAATCACTAATATCAACAAAAAAATTCAATGAATGCTAATAAAACTTTTAAAGTTGACAGTGTTTCATTGAGCAGGGAATTGAGAGTGGCGACAAAAGATTCATCAAAGAAAGAGCTGGACTGAAGAGTGTTTGCCGTGCAGTGTAAAGTTCTCGCTCGTCTATAACAAATCCAGTTACGCCTGGGGAGATCTAGCCACCTTTATAACATATAAAATGCAATCTTTTCAACAATTTTTTGCCTAAAAAAACAGATCCTAAAAAATGGACTAACCTTTGAAAAGGAAAAGATGGACCAAAAAAAAACTGAAAAAAAATGATAATCCCGATTTCCAAGGAAAAATTCCTAATATAAAGTACACTACTTGTTCAAAATATAAGAAAATCTCATAAACTTTTCATTAGACAATAAAAGAAAAAAACAAAAATACAAAAGGAACGTTTGCCTAAAAATTTTCTACTATCTTTTCAGAGCAAACGCGCGCCATCGGAATAATTTAAACAGGTCTTGGCACGCGTCACGCTTCCTTCTTTGGGTGTCTCATTGTATTCAAATTTCATTTATTTTCTTTAATTTTTTTAAAGTCAGCTTTGGTGTTTTCTTCTCAAATTTGTTTGTAATTAAACAAAAACTATCAGATGAGCCTGTAACATTCGATTTAGTATGGATATTTTTAAATTCTAAATTTTTATATTTGAGGCTGAACTTATTGTGCATTTTAAAACTTATCAGTGACGTTTGCTCAGCAGATTTTTTCCTCATGAGTTTTCTCATTTGAAAAAAAAATGTTTATCATCGTTTCACAATGATTCCCTATGTAATTTTTTTTATTTTTTCTCTCTTTGATGAAACAAAGTGCAATTATTTTATTTTTCATTGGTAAACAGTTACTTTGAAAGTGGAACGAGTTGTTAACATTGTGATTTTTGAAATTGATGACTTTAATTATTTTGAGGCCAAAATGTTTCCTTTTGAGGCAAATCTCGGGAGAAACTGTGGACCGCTTATCGCAGTCTCGCCATCACTGTACCGCTTTCACTTTTTGAAGCTTCATTCTTTCAATCTTCTTCCCATTCTTTCCTTTTTCGTTTCTTTTTTCATCGCGCTTCATTTTATTTTTTCTATCGTTGAAAAATGGTTTACAGATTGAGCAGATCGTTCAATAGGAACAATGAACGTTCTGGATAATGCCCCGGGTGAGATTTCCTTATTTTTTTATGCATTTAACATGTGAATTTTTGGAATGAAATAAATGTTCAAAACCAATGAAGAATTTTGGAATTGGCTTAAAAAGATTCAAACCGCATAAATTGAGGAATTGCCGCAAAACGGAAATTTTTTTTTTACAAGAGTTTCAATAAGATGAACAGAGCTTTTTTTGAACAACTTTTTGCTTTTTTCTTGTCTCAAGACATTTGTAAATGGAGTTCATTGCATCTAAAAAAATTAAAACCAATCAAAATAAATGAATAAATTTTTTCAGAATCCTCACATTCACCAGCGCGCAGAACAGTTCGTCTTTCTTCTTCCGGTCAATCCGGTAATTTTTTTTTTCTTCTCCAATTTGTTTTTTTTATGATAGAGAAAGTTTTGAAAAAATCTATTTGAACTTTTTTTTTTTACGAGTTTCCAATTGCGCAACTTGAAAACAACGGTTAATAGCACTGCAGAACCCATTTTGCAAAAAAAAAAAAGAAGAAAAAGGCTAGAAGACTTTTCGAGCCGTCAAATTTTTTGCCAGTATCTAGTGACCGAAGACGATTTGAAACAATTTTTCAATTCATTTGCTCGTTTTAAACTTTCTTCTCAGATTCTGACGTGGAGACATGTGACGAGAAAGCGGGGCTGCTTGGGAAACAGCGCAAGGCAACTGCTTCGAATCGTCTTGAAAAAACTCCACTGCTTCACCGTCCCATGGGCTCCAACATCGACGTCGCCGCCGTAGAGTTTGGTCGTCGACTGGAGCGCGTGAGCGACATGATCACCACCGACGAAGACGATTTGCTCCATTCGGGTAATTTTTTATATTTTTGCAGTCCTTTTCGCATCAATAGAAAGAGTTTTTCAGATAGAGAGCGAATGAGGTTCTATCGAAGTTAGTTTCTTTTTTCCGGGCGGGTTTCTTTAAACAGAAATAAACCAGTCTCCTCATATTTATGGAACTTTGAGAATCAAAAGATTTCGCGTTCCTATGAGAGCATTACAAAATCCAAGAATGGTCCAGAATTTCACCAAGGAAAGTTCACATTAACATGCAATTTTTTTGACAATTTTTTTGTGAAATAATCGATTTTTGAAATGATATTTCTTTCGGTTTATGTGGATCGACTAGACGTTTTTACATTCGTGTCTTAGTTAAAAAAGGTTTTTCCTGGTATTTGAGAAGCCATATTTTAATTAACCAGGGAACGTTTTTTACCCGCCGGTTGAACTTCTGCTGAAACATTGCCAAAGTGTACTTCAGAACCCGTGATTGCAATTCTAGAAAAAAATTTCTCGCAATAGATCTTGTTTCCGAGTTATGAAGCTTCAAAGTAAAAAAATTCCCTAGTAAAAAAAAAAACAATAAAATGTTAGAGAAATTCAAGAACATCTCCGAAAAATTTCTGAAAGTTTAAAGTTGATTCCACTAATACTTCCTTTAATATTGAAATTTTTTTGTGTTTCTGAAGAGTTGCGAAATGTGAAAGTACCACTAAAAGTTTTGAAATATCATAAAGAATTATTTTTGTGATCAAGGTAGTTTTTTTTTCTTATTTGATTCATTTGCCTGAAATAATCATTTCCAGGAACGGAGGCTTACGGATCCACTGCTGGAGCCAACATGGCCAACGTCATCAACGAAGCTTGTCGGGCCATTCACAGCGGAATCTTTCCAGAGCGGATCGCCCAGGGCTCAAGTGGCAGTTATTTTGTGAAAAATAAGCAGAATGTGAGTTTTTCGAAGCTAAGAGAACTTTCAATAACTCAGCGAGTTTTGGGAATTACTGTTTTCCAGCAAATCATCGGAGTGTTCAAGCCAAAGAACGAAGAGCCGTATGGTTCCTTGAACCCAAAATGGCTCAAATGGCTTCATCGTGTCTTTCTGCCATGTTGCTTCGGTCGCAGCTGTTTGCCACCCAATCAGGTACGACAACTTTCCCGTTTCAGATTCAAAATTGACGTTTTAAAAAGTTTATTTCAAAATAATTACATGAAGGGACAGTGAGAGGGCAGTTAAAAAACACATAGCCATGAAAATAAAGAAAAATAGAGAAGCTGCAAGGAAAAGAACCATTGAAGTAAGCCGTTTGAGAATAAATGTTCGGAGTGAAAATTAATGAGAACTGTTAAAGAAAGCTCTAACAAGCATTGCGTTAAAGTACAGCGTTATGAATCCGAATGTTGTTATGGAGAAACCGGAAATGAGTTAGACTTTCTTGTTGCTTCAAGTAGAAGAAGCAATCAGAGATCGTTGCTGCGTTCGAGGGTGTCGAGCCGTGGCCCGTGCACCGAGGAATGCATCGACGAGTGCAGAGAAGCGTCGCCGCCGCGGTTGTAAGGGATCTCGACGACGCTGTCGCGGGCGTCGCGAGAGCTGTCGCCTTCTTGACGCGAAGAGACATCACGTCCGGCGACGCTACCGCCGTAGATAGAGTCACGGTCGCGCTCACGCACGGAGCCTCCGTAGACTGAGCCTTAAATGTTAATCGATTAATACTGTTAGTTCAAGCAATTTGTTAGTTTTAAGTCAAGCAGTAGAGAGGTTGTGAACAGAAGCTCACTGAATCTCGTTTATATGCATTTCCAAATCAGTAAAAGCAACTGGCGTAGTCCGAACTCAAAATGAGATTTCCAAAAGAAACTAACAATCCTGTATTCTAAACTTTGTCACAGAAGTCTGTGTTGTGCTGGAGTATATATTTTGAAACAGAAGACGTTTGTTTCATAATTAAGTTGAATAAAAACCAATCGAAAAAAGGAAGTCACTGTAAGTTCAGCGCAAATTATTCCAACGCTTAAATTTAACTGCGCTTATAAGTAAATTAGAGAAATTGCGAATCAATCTGAATCAGTCCAAGATTATTCGCCTTGCGCTTCATGTGAGTAACGACTGTAGTCGATCTCGGGAATTTCTTCTGTATCCTGCGTCGTCGTCACGACTTCGTGAACATTCTGACGACGTTCATCACTACTACGACTCCTGCTGCGATTCACGCGAATCACTGGGGTAGCATGTGGAGAATAGGTAAAAGTAGGAGGCGGATAGCTGTTGATGGTGATGTCCATACCGGTGTCGTCAACGCCGCTGCGACGGAAGCTGCTGGTGTGGTCGCCGCCTCGGTAAATGTCCGAAGTGACGTGGGGACGGTGGGTAGGCGTTGAGGAGCCCAGTGGCGGCGTCAAAGGATTTGAGGCAAATGTGCTTCGAGGCAGGAAAGTTCTGGAAAAGAACTAGTTCTTCGATGGAATAACAATGACTTACCCGACTGAACGGCTGCCACCGTGAAGAATGTTGTCGATGTTATTGTCAGCATAGCTTCTTATACCCAGGACGTTTCCTCCAAGACGTCCAATGTCGTTGACCATAGACCGATCAACGTACTCTCTAGAAGTTTCTAATTTTTTGACTGAACGTTTCGAGGTTCATCGTTTTAACATCAAAAACTTAATAAAAAGGACCTTCTTCGTCGTCGTTCACCGTCGAGTTGATCTCGCAGTATCATGATTTGATCTTCAAGCTGCTTGATGCGGTTGCGATGAGTTCGCTCACGATTCTCAATCACTTTCTCAATCTGAAAATTTTTTTTTAAGATTAAACTTTTCCTCTCTCTCTTCAACCTGTCCCTTTTCTTGACGCATTCGGCTTAGCTGCCGTTCTTGCTCTTCTCGCTGCTTGTTAGTGAGTTCCAGAATTCTGTTGCCATTCTCCATTTCAAGTTGGGCAATCTGAATCAAGAAAAGAAATCCCACTTTCATTTTCTATTTTGCAAACTTGTTGCTGAAGTTGAGCGCAGTTTTTGTAAAGTTCCTTGTTTTCACGCTCCATGGCGTTCAGCGACTTTTCAATAGCTTCCCTCTGAAGAGCCGTCTCACGGATTGCGGCGTCTGTTCGTCGTTTTTCGGTTTCCATCTGAAATTTTTTTTTTTTTGTTTCAACTTCTATGTTTCCGAGCCACTCACAAACTCAATTTTCTTGAGCAGAACGTGCTTTTCTTTTTTCCATCCATCAGCCAAATGCACATTGGAGCGTTTGTCGTTTTCGAGTTGAGCCAAACGGCGTTTGATCTCTTCCAGCTCTTTAAGGGCGTTGCGTTTGTCATTCTTAGCGCTTTCAAGTTGTTGACGGAGATCAGTCTCTGATGTTCGTTGTTGGTTCATGCTCTGAATATTGAAAATTGATGACGATTTTCGATTAAAAATACCAAAACCTTTTCCAAATTGAGAAGTCTATCTTCCAATCTGTTTTTCTCAGAGTTGGCGTCCTGAAGCTGTCGCTGAAGCTCGGAAACGCGGCTGTTGACGTCGTGAACTCGTTGTTTGTAGTCTCGCAGTTCGCTGCGAACATTGAGCAGCTCTGCGTCAAGTTGAGTCTTGCGACCGTTAGCTGCGGTCAGCTCGTTCTGAGTGTTGACGAGTTGATCTTTCAGTAGCTGATACTCGTGAGAGGTTTTGCTTTGAAGGTCAATACTCTTGCGCAGTTCGATTTCAATGCTCTCAGCTTTTCCAAGATCACGACGCAGTTTTTCGGCGTCTTCCTGAATTTCCATAATTTGTTAGTTATATCCGGAGCTATAAGTATTACTCTCATGTCTTGTACTTTGCTCTCACTTAGCCGCAAAGCTCCATCCAGTTCCTTGATCTTCTCTGTGAGGCTCTAAATTTTCAGACGTGAATTGATAATTCAATTCGGAGCTATTACCTGGCGTTCGCTCTCGAATGTTGTGATTTGAAGTTGAAGCCTCTGAGATTCGCTGTCAGACTCGCGGAGTTTGCTCTCGAGTTGGAAACGACTAGCATCCCACGCTTCCTCCTTGTCACGCAATGAACGAATGTCCACATGAGCGTTGTCCAAATCCGTGCGCAAGTTTTTCAGTTGTTCCTGGGTTTCAAGTTGAAATAATACTTAGAAAAAAACTCAAATACGTTCAGATGTCTCAGCTGAGCTTCTTTGCCTCGGGCTTGGAGTTCAGCAGCAACCATCTTTGACTTCATCTGTCGCCGTTCCTCATCCCGTTGTTTCAAAGTTTCTTCTTGCGAACGCAACAACTGCTTAGCCGAGGCCAACCGAACTTCAAGCGCTCGCTTATCTGGAATATAGTATAATATTCAAAATCTTCCAAATGTGAAACCTTCTTCGATGTCGTTCAGATTGTCTTCGATTGTTCGGAACCGCGTCTCATGATGGTTGATAGTGGTGTGCGACTCCGTAGTTTTCTTTTTCAGTCTGTTGAGTGCATCTCGCAGTTCATTCCTTTCAAGTTCGAGCTTCTCGATTTTGTTGAGAAGCTGCTGCAAAGTTCCTTCCAACTGCGAGGCGTCGAAGTGGTCATTGATGTTAACCGTCGTCGTTCCGTCAAGGTTTGATGTTACCCTTCCTCCAGCTAAATCATCCTTTCAATTCAACAGTTTGTGATGCGACGCTCACCAGTGGTGATGCCAGGTCTTGCTCCACCACTGTAATCGGCGGCCGGTGGGAACGGAACTGAACGAGGATAAGCAACGTCACTGTCGTCGCCGCGGCCAATTTCGATTTCTCTACCGAAATCTGGCCCGCCAGGTCCTCCACTGATTCCAGCTCCAATTCCCCCGGCGCCTCCCGTTGTATCAAACCCAGAACCGACTCCACTTCGATCAATCGTCTAGAAAAATAATCATATGAAAAAAGCAGCCTCAGAGTCCTCACCGTGTCAAACACTCCCACGTCGTCCCTGTATCTGTTGATGTTGATAACTCTGCTTGCAGAAGCCTGAATATAATTCAAATTAGATTTCGCTTGGTTTCTATTACTTGGAATCGCCGCAGAGCATCAGCAAAAGCGTCCCTCTCGGAATCGGCAGTAATATAATCTTGCTGGAGCGTGATCAACCGCTGTTCGGTATTTTCAAGTCGCGAGGCAAGGTCATTGTATTCGTATTTCCTTGTTTCTGGGAAAAAATTGATTAAAATTTTCTCTCCAAACAGCTCACCAAGCTCCTGGATGGCGTTAAGACGTCCGTCTTCTGAAACGCGGTGAGCATGAGCCAAATCATCGATAGTTGTCTGGTACTCGTCCGTCTTCCTCTGCATCTGTTCTACGCCGAACTTTATTTCTTGCTGAAGCTTGGTGAGCTCGCTGCGCAGTGTGTTACGCTCTGTGTCGGCGTTTATCAACTGAAAATATCTTTTTCAAATTTTGTGGGGAATTTAAAAAATCACCTTGTCATTGGTGTCTTGGAGTTCCTGACGCATTTTTTGCATTCGGCTGTCAAATTGTTGGGAAAGTTGGGTCAAGTGATCAGCTTGCTTGGTTTTCTCACGGTAAGCGTTTTGAAGCCGCTCGCGCTGAAGTTCTGTTGGGAGTTTATTTCAAAGAGTTAGTAACCTCCGTCTTGGCGTGGCTCAGGCTGTTTTTCAACTCTTTCAGTGTGTCTTCAGCTGTCTTCAGTCGGTTTTTGAACCGTGAAAGATCGGCGTCAAGGTTGGCGTTAGTACTCTTCAGAATGTCGTTTTCTCTCATTGCTTGGTCCAGCTCGCTTCTCCACTTGTTCGAATCAATTTGAAGTATGGCGTATTGCTCTTCCAATGTTCGAAGCCTATTTTTACGTTCAATAAACAACAAAAGTTCTCTGGATCACCTGTTCTGAGCGCTGTCCAGATCAGTTTCTTTCTGAACCAAGTTGCTTCGACTATCCGCCAAATCTTCTTCAAGTCGTCGAATTTGTGAAGTTACTAGAAAAAAATTTTTGACTTGAAAAAAGTTCAAACTCACAATCTCGAATCTTGGAAGTCTGATCGCTGACAGTCTTGTTGAGGTGCTCAACACGGTCGTTAGCGGCCTGTAGCTGAGCCTTCAGTCCAGTGTTGGCCGTTTCGACTGCTTTCAGCTCCGATCGAACGGTGTAGCTGTCAGACTTCCATTTTTGAATTTCCTGAAAAAATTTTTTGCTAGTTTTTCAAATTTTTTCTTCTAAAAACCTTATCGCTTTCGTTTCTAAAGTCTTCCATGTCATCGCGAAGTTTCTGATTTTGGCCGAATATTGTGTTGACTTTTTCATCAAAGTCGCGGCGCTCACGCTCAAGTTCATTCTCTCTGGAAATCAACTTTTTTATAAGATAATTTCGTGGAGCCTACCTGTTCAGAGAGTCGGCTAGCTGCTTCTCCAAGTTGTGGATTTTGTCTCGAAGCTCGTCTTCGACTCCTTTCAGATTGTCGACAGCCTTTCCGTATTGCTCTTTTTCGTCATCCAAATCGCTCAAGTGTTTGTCGTGAAGAGCGCTGATATCAGCCTTGAGCCTGTCGATCTCGGCAGCATGCTTTCTCTTCAGTTCGGTGATGTCGTTTTCCTGTTTGTCGTTTCCGCGGCCAATCTGCGACAGCTCATCTTCAAGCTCACGAATACGTCGCTCCAAGTCGTCCTTCTCATTTTCAAGTTTTTCGAGCTCGCGCTTCCATTTATCGTTGATTTCCTGAAATTTTCTTTGATATCCTTCTCGAATATCTTCACTCACTCGTATCTTGATGCTGGTCAGTTCATCATCATGATAGCGGTCAATTATTGTTCTTTCGATTCTCTCTGTGACACGGTCGCCCGTCTCTCGACCACGATCGCCATCACGATCTCCTTCGCCTATGAAAATTCTTTCACTTTTTTTAAAATTTTTATCATCATACCTCCTGGAATACTGATTTCATCGCCTTCCGTAGAGTCCGTGCCGCCAGGGATGTTGATCTCATCTCTGATAGTGGTGATGGTTGAACGGCTCTTTGTCGAGTCTCCCTTGAAAAAGGATTGCTTCGATGAAACCTGTTTCAGATAAACCTTGGAGCCACGGTCTCCCAGCCCTCCGGTGATTGTACTATCTCGAGAAATAACAGTGGTACGGCCAGTATTTTTCAGACGATCTTTTAGGTCACGAATTTCTTGTTCCAGTTGCTTGTTGCGGTCTGAACTTTTCCGTATCAACCATTTTCTCGACAACAATACCTTCGGCTGTTTTCAGCTCGTTTTTAGCATCTTGAAGTTCTTTTGCAAGTAGGTGAGCTCGGTTCATTTGCTGAGCGTGGGCATCTTTTGCGCGTGCTTCTCTTCCTTCCAATTCCTTGTTTTCATTGCGAAGTTTCTCGACTTCTTGCTCGAGTTTGCGAATTGTTTCTTTCAATGCTTGCACGTCGGCTTCTGCCTTGTGCTTTTGACTTAAATTAGATATAGTTTTTGAGCACAACCGAAAAACATACTTCAAAACTTCCTGCTTCTCTTTTTGAAGACGTTGATTGAGATCACTTAGCTTCTCAATTTCTCCATTCCTTGAGCGCACTTCATTTTCAAGTTGCGTTATTTTGCCTTGTTGTCCCTTGATTTGAGTATCAAGTTCATCGTTATGACGACGAAGAATTATGACCTTAAATTAGCCATTATTAGTACTTTATGTGTAAATAAGGCATACTTGTCTTTCGTAGTCGTCAATAGTTTGACGAAGCCTCTCCATCTCTTCGTTGTTTCGAACGCCGCTCTTTTCGAGGTCTTGACGGTTTTTGATTTCAGTATCCATTTTGTGGCGGATATCAAAGATAGTACGAGAGAGTTCATCTTTCTGTTTTCTGAATTTTGAAAATTAATTCTTTTTTTCTGGTTGAAATGAACTCACTGATAATCGTCGCGTTGTGCTTTGATTTCTTTAAGCTGCTGATCAGCAAGATGAGCAGACTTGACGGCATTTTCGAATTCGGTACTCATTTTGTCATGCTCCACATGCAGAGCGTCGTACTTCTTGCGAATGTCGTCAATATCGCGCTGCAGGTTTCTACGCAGGTCGTCCGTGTACTTTATCTGGGACTCCTTCTCTTCCAGTCGACGTTGCAGGTTGTTGAACTCGTTCTCCAGGTCGCGGTACTTGTCCTTCAAAGGGTTCATTTCCGATTTTAGACGGTTGTTCTCGCGAAGCAAGTTTTCGATACGCCGATTGAGCTCATCCATTCTGTTTTTGTATTCTTCTTCCAAAGAGTTGGCATGTTCATCCATCTCATCGCGGAGCTTCTGAGCGTCATCGGTGCTCGATTTTGTGAAAGATCTGAAACCTCTTTTTTATCTTCATACTTTGATCTTTTTGATTCTTACGCTTGAAGTTTGGCGAGCTCGTCTTCGAGGAACTTTCTGGCCTTTTCAGCGGCCACTCTTTCAGCTTCTGATGCACGGAGCTTATCATCTGTACGGCGAGCGTTTCTCTCAAGTTCATCGACTTGTTTTTGTCTGAAATTTTTTTTCAAATCGGTATTTTCATGAGCCGTACAATCCGCTGATTTCACGCTTCGCATCGTTCAGCTGTTTGTCTAAACGTCGGCGCGCTTCATCAGCGTTTTCGAACTTGTTCATGAACTCTTTGACCTAAAGTTTGGGTTTTAACAAAAGTTGACATTTTAAAAACCTGGCTTTCAGCAACTTTGAACTTTCTCTCGAGCTGTTGAATGTCATTGTCTTTTATACGGATCGTATTGCGAACTGCTCTGAGAGCTTCTGCAGGAGGAAGAGGAGTTTTTCCTGGCGACAGTGAACGAGTCCTCTTCGATCCATCACTGGATTGATCTGCGTCCTGGCTCATCTCGTGCATTTTTCTAAGCACGTTTTGAGCTTCCGTGAGCTTCTCTTTGTTTCTGCGCAGCTCTGCTTCAAGCTCGGCAATTTTTCTTTGTGCGTCATCGCCTTTTGATTCGAGTTCAATGTTGCGTTCGATTGATTCTTCGTATTTTTTCATTAGTTCCTTGTGAAGTTCCGCATCGCCTTCCGAGCTTCCAGTTCCTGAGAATCAACAGATTTTGTTGATTTTTCTGTATAAAACTTTTACCTCGGATACGGCGAAGTTCTTCGAGCAAGTCTGCATTTGAAGATGCTCCTGGCGCTGCGCCAAGTCTGCGAACCGTGTCAATCAGGACAGTTTCGTAGTTGTGCGTAGTTCTGTTGACATCTCCTCCATCACCGGAATATAAGTAGCCGTTGCCAAGACCAGCAGCTTGCAAACCCTGTTTTTTTTTTGAATTCACTTTTGATCCAAATGTAGTATATACTTCTCCAGCAGTGATGTTGATGTTCCTTGATAAATTGGTGACGTTTCGAATGACACGAGTGAACTCGCTGCGTTGCTTGTCCAAGTCCTCAATTTTAGTAGTTGAAAAAACTTAACTTGAGACAGAAACCTCTTCTGTAGTGTTTTTGAGGTCGGAAAACTGCTTTCGGACACGTTGAAGCTCTGTCCAAAGATCCATCATTTTCTTCTGTTCATCGCTCAAATACTGGGCAAGATTCTAAAAAAAAAAACCATGTTTTCAATATCCATATTCAGCTTCTTACTCTTTCGCGATTGATAAAAGTGCGTTCTTTGTCCTTCGTATCGCGATCGTAGCGCTCAAACTCTCGACGAAGACGTTCATTTTCATCTTCCAGTCTTTCTTTCGCAGCTCTCTCGTTTTCATATTGCATTCGGTACTCGTCGGTTCTGCGACGCTCCTCATCAAGTCTAGCAATCATTTCATAATTGGCGTTCGGGTCGCCAGCCAAGACGTTGATATTCCCGCCTTCGCGTCTTGCGCGCGCTGGGCTCCACAGCTCCACTTCACGGTCACGGTCTCGACTGAAAATTTATTGACTGATCTGGATAGCTCGAAAAAAAAAACAACATTGTTGAAAAGTTGTTGGAGTTGTCATATCCTTCAAAAACCATAATGGTTGATGGATCATCGAAGCCGCGGCGTCTGGCGCCAACCATTTTGTTTTCAAGTTCCGCAATATGTTTACGGTATTCATGAACCTTGAAATCATCTTTTTCGATTTAATTTTCTTTCTAGATTGCTTCACCTTATTCTGCAAAGCCGACATCATCTCGCTGTATTCTTTCTGCTGCTCGACATTGTTGTCAATTCTCTGTCGGAACTTGTTCAGATCCTCCTAAACGTCATCTTCAATTTTCTCTTTTTCTTCTTTCTGTAACCTGAGTGCGATCGAGTCGCGCAACGGCTGCTCCGCGAGCATTATCGATTTCAAGCAGCAAATCGTCGTCGAACGAAGATGTGTGGTGATAGTTGTTTTCACCGGAGGTGTCCCTGGAGTACTCATCCCTTAACATGAGCGAGCTGGTTCATGCAACACCGCAACTCAGCAAAGTGAAATTATGTCTTATGGTTGAGCTTCTCGATTCAAATAACTGCACTCATACTATTAAGGAAACTCCTTATAGAAGGCTCGGTAGCGGCATGCACGAAATACAAAGAAAATTAAGATTTTGTTGTTTTATGAATTTACAAAGTTGATGTGTTTCAGTGTGATGAATTAGTTTAGCATTGTGTTAAATTCAGGCCCAATTCACGACTCACCAGTAGAACTCTCCATAGTTAGAGCGCGACCCAGGGCTCTCAGGCGTCGGTTCTTTGGCATCGCCGGAGGGGATGTGGATAGTTCCACCTTCTACAGAGCTCCGAGTATCGTCGTTGTCATCCATTGCTCTTCTTCCTAAAGTTTTCAATCCGAGGCTCTTTAACTTTTGAGTTTTCACGCAAACGGAGGAACCTTCAAAGAAGTTTTTTTTGGTGTTTCTCTAATTTCTTTTTATTTTCCAATTAGGCATGCAAAAAAGAAAGAGAAATTTTTGTTAGTAGGAATGAAACGAGTGAAAAGACGTGCTAAGGGAAGGTGACTGTCTGGGAAAATTCGAGAAATTTCGAACCTGCGTTCAAAAAAAAAGAAATATTTTGATTGAGCTGTCGAAGGCCAGATTACCCTTTTCGAGCTACCCCAGTTGTCAGTTCTAACTAAGTTGTGCAGAAAAACCTTTGCGAGAGCCTTTACTGGATCGTTTGCGCTTCTTCTGTTTGGCGAGAGCTGAGTCGACTTCTAAGGGAGTTAGAGGCCGTACGGAGACTTTTCCGGAGATGTGCGTCCACTTTCCAGGGACGATACGCTCGGCACGAACCGAAGGACTACAAGACCGACTGGTCGAACTACTTGAGGTAGCTGAGTGACAAGGAACTGGGGGCGAGAGTGTACGGAGGACTTGCGACGGCGGATCTCGAAGTACCTCCTCTGGCAAGGACTCGCTGACGACTAGTTGACGGCCTGGCGAGCTGCTATTCACGCCACAGCTGAAGAACATCCAACGAGCAGCACATCAGGCATGCTGTAACCGCCGGGGTCAGTAGAGTCTCTCAACTGAGAAAAAAAGAAAAGCCGAAAGAAAGAAAGAAGCAACTAAAATTCGTGAGAAAAGGTTGCCCTGCTTGCACACTTGTTGTTTCCCTCCGGTGAGCTTGTTTCTCTGTGCGCGCCTATGAATGGGCAATCGCTAAAACTAGTCTCTTTTTGCCGCGCTGACATACTTATTGAAACTTCGGTGAAGAGGCCGCGCCGTTTTTGAATCTTTTAATAACGGTTTAGACTTTCATTTGAGTGTTAATGGGTTAGACTCATTTTTTGAATTTTTTTTTGTAGATTACAGGCTAAAAACTACTCAGAAAGGTTCTTCAAATAATTAGCAAAAATTATGTAGCTTTAAAAAATAGTTCCACCTTTTTTTTTCCATTGGAGAGAATAAAAAAACACACGGAGCTCTTCATCAACAAACATCGGAAATTAAATAAAGAGAGTTCGGAGAATACGTTAGTGAGATGAATTTTTGAGTTCTTCTCAAAAAAACATCAAAATATGTTGAATCTATAAGATCAAAGATTGAGCAATGTCCATCCCGTGTAACCAAATCGCATGGAAAGACTCGCGAGAGGGTTTGTGTGAAAGATGCGCGCAAAGGAAAGCTCGAATTTCCAGCCAGTGGTTAACCTCTGTTTCATTTACTTTTCATATGAACCGACAGTGATGTTAGAAGCTCAGCCAAAAAAGCAGAAAGATCTGAGAGTACGATTCAAATGTTGAGAGAAAGAGCAGAAGAGAGGCATGCAGCTTCAGTAGCTAGGCAACCCTTTCGTACGCGATCAAACGTCAAACCCAGGCAGAGGTCATGGAAATGCAGTTTTTCTCAGGACAAAAACCAACGATTGCTGTGTTTTTTTTTTCCTGGTTTCGGATTCCAGGCAAATAATGGACCCAATTTTGAAGGAGGCCGTGCTGTTTACGTGAAACCGAGAAGTATATAGTAATGGGGTTTTCTTGGAGTGCCTTGTGAGAAAAAGCGTGCATCCGGAAACAGACCTAACCACTTATTTTGTTACTTTTCTACTGAATTTCGAAGTGAAGCTTTTCCTGTACTTTAAAAAACTTCAAAAGGTCGATAGGAAATTTTTGAGAATAGAGGTCATTTGTGGCTAATAATTCCTCAAAATGGCCTTTTTCGTAAACGGAAAAAATGACTGTCAAGCTTTTTTGAGTTTAAGTAAGTTTTTGACTCTTTATTAACTGTGAAATTGCTTTGATCTTGCAAGACGTGAAATTGGAGACACCAGAAGAGGAGAAAGCAAAAAACGAGTCAGTTTGTTTACCGCCTCCGTTTTCCAGCTATAAACATCAAAACAAGCCCTATTGAGCACGCCTACGGCATTCTATAAGCCTTGCTATTAAAAAAAGCGATTCATTTCGAGAAAAAGGAACAAATGCTTCGAAAATGAGCCTTCGGACACAAACATCCTAGCTGGAGTGGCCTGAGGGCAAGCGAAGCCAAAGTCGGCATCGATTCGTAAGGGGCTGGGCCTTGTTGTTGTGCGGTCCGAGAGACGAAGCCATGGGAGATGAGGAGTGCAGAAGGGACATTTCCAATGCTGGCGGCTCAACCTCACGCTCCATTCTTCCTGGATGCTCCCTGATGATGACCGCTTGGATGGTGACACTAATGCCGGCCCAGCAAGCGCTCATTAACAGCGTCGCTTCTTGGAAAAAGGGAACAAAGCTCAAAATGCTGCGAAATGCAAAAATTTTGCGAGAGAAGAAGTCTTGACTTTGCAAAGCGTAAATAGTCTTTTTTTAATTATAATTTTTTTCTATTTTATCTCGTTGAAAATTTCTACTCGGTTCTGGAGGAACAATATCCAAAATTACGGAGAGGGTAGGATTAAAAAATGAAGAACTCGAAAATATCCTAAAGCGGTCTCAACCAAAACAGTGTTATTTTGTAGTCTAGAAAGATCACTAACGTAGCAATTCCATAGAAAAATTTGAAGTCGAAGGACTTTCTGGAAGAAAGGAAAGTTTCACTGACTATTGAATCCAAGAAAAAAAAACCATTTTCAATTAGGGGAACAAGTTAGTGAATAGTAAGAATTCGGCCATAGCAAAAAAGACCTTCCGCCTGTAATAAAATTGGACAAAAATAACTGCATTCTCCACGCATGCCATTCTGTTGCGGTGTCGCTTTTTTGGCTGGCAGAGAAGGTGATAAATGGGGAGCGAAGGCTTGTTCCTTACAAGTTTTCCTAGCGTCCATACCATTGCGAAGTCTTTCTCCTTATTTTGAAGTTTGTTACAATCGAAGCGAACAAAAAGCAAAAAAATGGAGAATTTGTCGGTTCCTCTAATTAAATTTTCCATTCGGTTTGAGAGGAGCGCCAGACCATAGAAAACGATTTGAAGAGTTATAAAGAATGAAGTATTGGAAGGAAAGGCATTGTTTCGATGCTCACGTAAGTAACACTTTTGTTGGAGATGAGCACTGAATGACACTGGAGGCGGTGCCTACGGAAGGCTCTAGGCGATCTTTAATCAGTTGTTTCAAGCTTATTTTCGCACTGAAGAGAAGGCTTATTCCGAAAGAAATGGGTTCTACTTGTTTCTCTGAAAGTTCGCTCAGAAAATTTTTTTTTCTCTGCAATGCACTAAGTAGAGATTCTAGGAACTTTGAAGTCTACAAATTCCTAAATTTAAAGTAGAGATGATTCAATCGGCGCCTAATAATTCTTTGGACTTGAAAAAGCTTTAGATAGCTATGGCTGAAATTTTCGGTGAGTAGAAAACATCAAGGTAAACGTGTGTATGGGCTTTGTATCTCATAAAAAGTAATTTTTAAAAAGTCTTTTAAAGAAGACAAAAAGTCAAAAAAATAGATTATATTTTTACATTTTTCACTATTCTTTTGGACTTAGCCAAACACTTTCTATTTCAAAGCCTATTACCTTTTTTGTTTTAAACTTGCTAGAAAGTTGATAAGAACTTCTCTGAACAAACTTGTCCATTTTTGTTGTTGCAAACGCGACTCTCGCGGAAATCGATGCGACCTCTGCACCCAAAACTTTGCAGTTTTCCGGATGGCAAAAAAAAACGCGGAACGAAACGATTTTTTAGTGAGATTTGCGGCGCGACAAACATCCTAAAAAGCGCGGCAGAAAAGATTTATGCCAAGTTTCAAAGGCCTGGTCTTTGCTCGTCATCCTTTTTTGGTCTCACTTTCTAGCCAAACAAAACCGGGATTAATGTGGCTTAGCTTCGTTTTGAAGCACTTGCATAGAGAAGACAATGAAAAAGATGAACTCACTCCATTTCAGATTTGATTTTTTTGATGAAACAGTGTTTTGGGGAAATGTAAGGAAGTCAAGCTCTTATTGCTATGAATATGAGCTGAAGCCGGGAGTGAACAGCCAGGAATTAGAATGCATGTGGTCCATGACAAGTGGCCTGAGCACACATTTACGGGCAGCGCTTTACTCTTTCCTCTCTGTTAACTAATTATCCTCGTTGCATTGTCAAACGCCTGTTTTGTTCGCAGAATCGGCTCAGCAAAACACAATGGTTCGGAGCTTTGGAAGGCGAATTGAAGGCAATCTTCGTGCTCCCGTTTGCGGACACTCCTTTTTGCATGAGACAATTACTCTCTATCGAGCAGTAAAAATGAGTTCGAACCTTTTTTTCGTTAGAACTCTGTTCTGATAGAATTTGGAATGACACAATTATTTCGAAAAATGATGACGGATTCATTCGAAAAAAAGCTCTATTAGCTGGAAATGAGGTGACAGATGCGATAGGGCTTTGCTTGAAAAATTACTCTGGTTCAAAGTATCTAACTCTGGTATGCGTAAATCATTTTGTGGTCGGGCGCAAAACTGTTGGAGCCGCTTCACAGTCGCTTCAAATCGGCCATTCTAAGATAAGCTGATAGTACGATGTTTTTCTAACAACGGAATATAAAACTTGTTTTACTTTGAAAAATATGGAGAGTATGACTTCGGAGACTGCCAGGAAGACAAATGAAGATGGGACAGAAGGAGGAGCAAGATTCCATCCTTTGAGAAAATTTAAAGCTGTTGAACAACGATATTATTAAGCACATAAAGCCGAAAATTAAGCGAATGTGGTCAGATGCTCCAAAAACATGTGAAGGGACATTATGTAACAGATTATCCAAATCTAATTGTTTCAAGATGTGAATTTACACGTCTTTTCGTGCACATCCTGACAGCCGCACCAGAATCAAAATCTACTGAATGTTGCAAACGCGTTCAACCGTGATCTAGCGGTATTACCGGTTTTCCACGCGGACACGTGTGTGTGGGTTTCGACGAGCACCCGCCAATAATTATGGCATTTTCACTTTGCATCTTTTCGCGCACTCTAGAAATGGACTAAATAACGATCGACTACTTATGCGGCCTTGAAAATACTCTTAGAAAAGGAATTAGAGGGTTTGAATCTTGTACGACGTAAAAAATATTTCTTGAACGGTGTTAAAATAGAGATTTTTTCAATTTGTGATGAAAATCAAATGATGTAAACCTTCAAAAGGCTTCTCTCCCCCAAAGCATATCTCAACACAGTATATCATTTTTTTTTGGGTTACAGTATGTCTTCCACAAATTTGCGTAGCGGTTTTTTGTTTGAGACCCGTAAAAAGCGAGGGAAACCTCTTACTCGACCTTAGATCGTAGTCAATTTTGGAATGTGAACTAGAAAAAGAGAAGATATGGATCGAAACAATAAAAAGTTTGTAATTGTAGATTACGTCCTAAAATGATCTAATTTTTCAGGGCTACTTGTCCGAAGCTGGAGCATCTTTGGTTGACCAGAAGCTTGGTCTGAACATCGTGCCGCCAACGGCAGTCGTGGAACTCGCAGCACCTTCTTTCTACTACGACCGCTTCGACAGAGCCAAGGCCAGAACTAAGGAGCGCATTCAGTCTCGCTATCCGAACCTCGGAAGACGATTCCACCGAATCGGACTTCCACCCAAGGTTAGATACATATTCACTACTTTCGCTATCTTGAATTGAATAAAAAACAATTGAAAAGCTTAAAGTTGATAAATTATGAATTATGAATCATCTTTTTTCTGTTTCCTTGCAAATTTCTGGTGTTTTGAATTTAAAGGTTCCATTGACCAATTTACGGATTTCTTTCATAAATCTAAAGATGTTGTTGAGTACAGCAAGGGCCGGCCTTTTCTTTCACTTTCCCGCAAAAACAACTTGTTTTTGCGGCGGCGTTCAGACACAGTTTTTTTATGTGCCGTGTGGCACCGATAGAAGAGAAAAACATCAATTTGGCACAAACAAGGAAATACTCTGATCAACTTTCTTCAAATAAAAACTGTTTTTTTTGTTTTTTTTTCTCATTGAAGAGAAAATCTTCAATTTCGGCAAAAGCTTTAGATTTTTTTGTGATTTTTTTTAATGCAAAAAGTGCAAGAATCAAAGAACGAAAGTTTGGGAGTTAGCTAAAACTCTTGTATTATCATTTTTCGAGTTAGTGAAGTCAGTACGGTCAGTATCTTCAAGTCAGTATATTAGTAAAGAGAATCATAATGATCTCATTTTTGTCATTGTCAGTATTAGGAACTTTAAAGCAAGCTTAGAGCTTGCTTAAAATCAGTATTCACTCGAAAGATTCTCATTTCGGACTCACGCCATCTGGGGTCGGAGCTATCACTGGCGCCTGACACGCGACAAAAAAGAGATGAAGCATGCAGATAGGCATGGCAAGTACGCGTTCGAAAAGAGATTGATGAGTGGATTGCCCTCCTAAAGAGTGCAAACCTCTTCTCACAAAAATAAGTGCTTCTGGGGAGAAAATTTTTCAAGAAAAATCCCCCAATATATTTAACTTTTTTAGACTGGCAGCTTCCAATTGTTCGTGACTGGCTTTCAAGATGCGGGACATTGGCTGCGCACTTGGTCAACTTATCCCGAATCCGCTCCTCCACCAATCACTCAACAGTATGCATCTCATGATTTTCAGCTTGAACTTTGAGTTTAATTTAGGCAATTTCAACTGTTGTTCGAGAAGTTAGTTGCTCTAGACTACATAATCCGCAACACCGGTAAAATGTCGAAAAGAATCTCGGTAGTCAGAGGAATTTCTTATAGATCGCGGGAGTGACAACTGGTTGGTGAAGTACATTCAAGCGGATGTCATCGAGCCCGAGGTGCCCAGTGACCCTACTCAAGACTCAACAAACGCCGAGAATCGGGTTTGAACAAAAAAAACTTACCGGAATAAAGAAAAGCTGTATGGAGAAACGATATCATAAAAAGGACGGAGCGAGGTTTTGGTACAGAACGAATTTGGTTTGATTCGGTTCCATGCACTAGGAAGTTCTGGAAGACACTCAAAAACACTTCACTCAGATTCCTCCATCTTTTGAGAATTAAACCCAATGGAACAGTCAAAAGAAAAAGAGCCAGAACGATTTTGTTCAGTTTATTGTTTTTTGGAAACTCGAATTTCTTCAAAGATCGTTCTGCTTTAAATTTAGAATCTTTCTGAAAAACTCGCTTCAACAAGTTCAATGTACCCTAAAAGGTTCACCTTGACGAAATTCCTGATTTTTTTAAGATGATGGTTTGAAATTTGGTTGCCTTACGTTACAGATTTTTCCTTGAAAAACTCACAATCAAAGTTCACAATGAAATTAATTGAAGGAACCTGAGGAGGGAAAGCTGATCGACTTGGTCGACACGAATCCAGTGGCTCCGCCGGTTGCTGCTCCTCCAGGTGAGACATGAACGTAGTCAGGGGCAGATGCCTTGAGCTGGCGAGCGAGCCGGACCTTGGTGCTGACATCGACACCGGAGTCACTGCTCAGAAAAGAGTAGGCGCGGTCGCGATCGTCGTGCTCGACAGCTTCAGAGTAGGGATCGCTCATTCTGCGAGCACGGCGTGGGGAAAAACAATGAAAACAGCGAATAGTAGCGGTCGGCTCGGCGTCCGACGGCACGAATGAACAGCTTGCACTGAAGTTTTGTTTGGGAAGGCTGAGGACTACAGCCTTGCTCCACCTCTGAAAATTGTTCTGATTCCTACTCGCTCGGTTGTTTTGCCGTTCGTTGGGGTCTTTCACCGCCTGGGCCGCCCTCCTATACCGTACTTCGTCATGTTTACGTTCCTTAGGGTTTTTTTTTCGTTTCGCGACTCTCTTTGTCTCGTATTTTCAACTTTTTGTAAGCGAACACAGTTGCACCCTGGCGGTCGGTTGGTTTGTTGCTTCAAAATATGTTTTTTCTCAGGCGAAGGTTTTTTTTCAGAGTGAATTCTGATTGAATAAATAGGACTAAAGAAAAACAAAAGGTCAACCGCTCTATGGTGTTGACCGTAGATTGAAAAGACGCCATTACCCTTCAAATTCTTCTCTTTATGTCTATTCTGGTTTATCATTTCTAAAAGAATGTTCCAATGAGCATTTGCTTTGAGAGGTTTGAATTCAAAAAAAAAAATAGGGTTTTGCAGGGGCTCAGCTTGAAAAAGAATACATATAAAAAGTGCTTTTCGAAATTTTGATGGGCATTATTTCAGAGCAAGAACGTTCCAACTCGCGTCTTTTCGGTGATGAGCCGGCTCCAGCGGAGATCGAATGGGCCGATGTGTCCATTCCAAGCATCGAAATAGCGGCTATCGACAATGGTCTCGCTTTTCCGTTCAAGCACCCTGACGAATGGCGAGCATGTAAGTGATCATCAACTGAAGGAAAAGTGATAAGAAAATTTTTTATCTTCGTTCCTGTATTTAAAAGTTTTAAGCTCATTTTTTTCCCAAATTTACTTCAAAGCTCAAAAAAATGCGCTCAATTTGTCAATTGCGTGTTTTTTCTGTTGCTTGCGGAACGAGTTGAAGCCAATAAAAGGCCGTCCAGAGGTCGTTGGTCGCGCAAAAAGAAGAATGGGTTTGCATTGCTAATGACAGGCCCACGAAAGAATTTATCCAGCCTGAGGTCTGGAAAAAAAAGGGAAAACAGTGAATTTAAGTTTTTCAATCAAGAAGAGAAAATAAGAAAATATCCGAATCAACTGGTTCAGATCCATTTGGCTGGTCGCTGCTGCCACAGGCTCGTCAGCCTTTTTCCGACGAAACCATCGACCTGCTGCTTCCGAAGCTGGACGACACCAAATTTGTGCGTGAACTTTGCGAGGACCTCCGTTTGGTTTTCAAGGTGCGTCAATCGTTTGATATTGAGATAATTTCAGGGAAAAAAGTGTGCAAGTTTTTTGAAACATTGAAAATGCCAAAGCCCAGTTTAATCGTTGTAAAGCTATCCCTTTGAACTGGCATCTCGTTTAAACACGCTGATCCGGCGCGTCCGACCAAAAGCTACTTTCGCGAGGTCTCATACTTTAGGATGGGTAACCACTACGAAAAGCAGCAAATGATAAATTTCTGATCTGCGAAGCATATGTCGAACAGTATAGAACTTCGCCCCGCCCTAAATGAGCTTAGAAACCAAATTCCTAAAAAAGAACAAAAAAATTTTTATCCGGTTAAAAAAATCATATTGCTACTATCATCTGTAACAAGCTTTTTGAATTCTTCATTATTTCTTATTTTTCTCGGTTTTTTTCAGAACGACAAGGGTTTCGATAAGAAAATCTTCGAGCGGCAAATGTCTGTGATGAGAGGCCAAATTTTCAACCTACGGGAGGCTCTGATGAAGAAGAAAAGCCCTTATCAGTTGATTCAGGTACATTTTCGACCATTTTCACTTTTAACGAAGCATTATCAGATGCCGGCCCAATACATGGTTGAAGTCAAGCAGAAGAAAAGAAGACACCGTCGCAGTGGCAGGAATGTCGAGTACACTGCCGCTCCAACTTACGATTGTGAGTTTTCCATGAACTAGCTGAAAACATCCTCGTTGAGTCCAAATAATTTTGAAAGTTCGAAAAATTTGCAATGCTTTACTGGAAAACGAAAGCCAACGTATACAGCTGGATAAATGTTTGAAACTCTTTTTTTTTCGCAAAAAGGAAATAATTTCAGCCGACACGGCTCTCGACGAAGCTCCTCCAACTGTGCAGGTCGCGCCATCTTCTGCTAGCGACGTCAACCCAGTCCGATCCCCAGAAGTCAATGTCGCCGGGTCTTCTCGTTCTTGGCAAGACGCGTACCAACAGAAAGTCCAGACCAAGAATCCTTTCTTCCGTTGGTGGTGATTCATTTCTTTCTCTTCCTTCTTCGGTACCCAATCCACTGGTTCTGATGAAAAAAACGCGTAAATAATCGGACGATTTGAAATTTTCTCTTTACCTTCCTTGACTTCTTGGTATAATTTTTTAATGTTTCTAAGCAGAGCGTTTCTCGAGGTACTTCATAAAAAAATCCAATTTTTTTGCATTTTTTTAAAATTAAAAAAATCTCATTTGATAATTTTGTGGCTGGTGTATAGTCAAATGTATTATTTTTTTCCTTCAGTAACAGTTAATTCCGCTCACACTCCATTTTTCCCTGTTTCAAACATAACTAAATACACCGCTAACAGAAAAAAGTACAGAAAGGTGTTTGAGATTCTTCTTTGCACATTTATTCAATGAAGATAAGAGGAATATTTTATTGTGTGTATGATTTTCACTTCACCTTTTCTAACTTGTAAAAATGAAATTGTTTCTTTCCCCGATTTGTGTATTTTAGCCTTTTTCCTGTCTCATTTGGTCTGGTATGGGATTTCTGCAATTCCTAACACTGGTTCGATCATTCTGGTAGTCACCGTTTAACTTATTCCCCATGAATTGTGAAATTACGCATTTGCATATCAACGCTTTTAATTCTCTTTTTTCCAATTGTAGCAAAACTTTGAGCTCATAACATTTTTTTCGAAGGTAAAAAATCTCTTTACTTCTCATCTTGTGATTATTAGCTCAAAGTTCATACTTATTTGTAGTTTTCGCATTTTTGATAACTGAAATAAATCTGTAAAAAACACGCGTTACCATGAAAAAAAAGTTTTTAAGCAAAATATATATAGTAAATTTCCTAATTCTACGAGAAATGTTCATGTTCGATCTACAATTATTTTTGAATTTTTTTGACAGAATACCTCAGTTCACGCAAAAAAACGTCCCAACTGCGTCTCGAAAAAGTAGAACTGTGAATTTAGGTAATGAGGCCGGCGGATTGATAAGGTGACCGCCAAGGGGTATGTATATGAGATATCAAGTTAACGAGGTCGTTCTTCTTTGCTGCCTTCGATGCGGCTGTTTAACTCGTCTATTGGTCCGGTGCAAATGCTGACGTGGCCATCGACTGGAAGGGAGGGTCACTCCTCCTCTTGCGCTGTAAAAACGGCAGAAGAAACGACGTGGCCTCTCTGGATCTTCCTTTGAGTCGGTTGACCCTCTTGACTGTCCTCGTGGCTTTGCGTTCGGTTCCAAATCTTCTCATTTTGAATTCGAGTACGGCGCCCTCAATGCTGCTCAGAGACCTGATTACAGAGGTTTTCATAGTTCAATCACCTCTAGTTTTAAAAAAGACTTATGGAGGTCTCTTTCTTAAAAAAATTTTTATCTTGCGTTAACAAAGATTTCAGTTATGTCTACAATTTGTTTTTTTATTTTGCAAAAACAGTTCTTTGATAAAAAAATTTCATTAGTATATCCAGTTATTTTTAGTTCTCTGCTTGATTCATTTTTATGAATAGAAATTAAGCTTTTAACTTCCAAAAAAAATAAGACAGTTTTTTTTTTTTGGAAAAAAGTAAATTTGCCGAAATCTCCCAAAGGCGTCAATTTCAATAAAAGAAAATCCAAGTCCATTTTCAAAAAGTTCCGAAAAAGTTTTTTTGCTTCGCTCCAAACTGTCTTCTGTCTGCCACTACAAATAATCGAAGAAACGCCATTTTTCTTAAGTTTCCTCACTGTATTTTTAAGGAAAAAATACTCATGTTCCTCGTGGCCGAATTTACTATAAATTTACAGCTAGCCGGAAAATCTTGATTTGAAACGCAGAAACCATGAAAAATCTTTAGTTTCATACTTCTTTTTTGGTTCTATGACCTCAAAGTCGGCCTGAGTTTTTTTTTTGTAAATGAACGTTGCCCAGATTCAACACAGATAAACAGGTTGCTGGAGTCGCAAATATTGAGGTCATGTTTTTGAAAATAGAGCTTCCTTGTTTTTGGCTAATCATATTTGTTCTATCAGACAAATATTATGTATAGTACGGTCACAAAATATTCGAAACCTTGTTCGAAAACTTTTATGATCTTTGAAAAATGAGATTACGGTTATATCTAATCGGTTTTTTCGAACCTTCTCGCTTGTTTTGCTAATTTTTTTTTTACTATTTTACTGACTTTAGTATAGTGTGTTCTTGAGAGTTCCTCTGGAAAATACTGTAATTTTTCTTTGATCTGCACTAGGGTCCTTTCCAACTTTTCAATAATATCCTAGTTTGAAAAAAACGGTCCTTCCATCGGTAAGTTTTTATCAGATTTGCATCTTCCGTTTTTTTGAAAATTTATAAATTGAAAAAAACATGTTTTTGAAATCTTATTACTTTGATTTAGAAATTTAGAAAATTCAAAGTGCACACAAGCCTTTCTTCGGAAAATTTATCCAAATCTTAACTTCCTCCGGATTTTTTCAAAAACTCATCTCTATAATTCTTTCTTCCAACTCTCTCGGTGCACAAGATGGTACACGTGGCGTTTGGCCGCTGTTCGTCTTGCGATTGCGGGAGAAAGAAAGTCTGGCGGACGACCTACGTGTCCCCCTCGCTGCCTCGCTTCTCGACCTCGGCCTCTGTCTCTCTCAACTCTTTCCGGCGCTTGACTGACCCCTATTTTCAGATGTCCCGCCGTCGTCCACCGCCTTGGTCTCGTCGACTACTTTAATCTCCTTGACCAAATTTCTCACTTTGCTGTTTCATCTTAGTAGTGATTTCCCCTTGCTACAAATTTTTCTGCCTTTTCCATCAAAAATTGGAATCTTCGTGGTTCTTAAAGTTTTGGTCAAAACTTCCCAGCAGCGCATTTAAATCTTAACAAAAGAAAGAATTCAGTTTAAAAGTAATTTGCTTATTGTAGTTTTTGAGTTTATTCATAAGACTTCCTTCTTGCTATTTCGAAATTTTTGATTTACCAATAGTGACGCTGTATGCATTTTTTACAGTTTCTCAGTCATCGATCTGGACGGTTAATGTATCCGAAAGCTTTTCATAAAGTTCCATAATTTCCATCACCAGGAAAGACGTGTAGAGAGACTGAGAGCGGAAAGTGCCAAGGAACTGTCAATAGTAGGGAATGGTGGCCCCGATTGACAGCTAGAGACTCGACCAACTCACACAAATCGCCTTTTCCGCCTCTCTGTCTTTATACCAACTCCTTTTCTCATTCAACATTTAAATATCCTTTTCAATTGATAGTTTCCCGTGTCTGGAGCATCGCCAGCCTCACAGTTTATTGTTTAGGCGAGCGTATAGCATCTGGCGACCATTTGCTCATCGCTCTACGCGCATCCACTTTTTCGCGTCTTTCTTCGTTTTGAGTATTTTCTCCACCTCACGGTTCCATTAGGAAGAAATTCATATCTATTTTGTTTCAGGGAAAATTTGCCTACGTAAGCCTTCGGAAAATATGAAAAGCCTGACGCTGTTTGCCGTTTTGGCGGCTGTAGCCTTCGCCTCTCACCACTCTGCGGACCCTTCCAAAGATTCCGAGCATGTGAAAGTGAGTTTTCATTCTTGGTTACGTTTAAAAATCAATAAAAAAAGCAAAAAAAGCCGAAGAACTTTTTTTTTAAATTTTTTAATGATGAATTTCTCTTTGCACATTTTTTTCTAAACTTTCTCAAATCAGTGGTAAAAGAGCCACATAGAATATTGAAAACCTTTACAAAATTATATTACTTCCTCTCGGTCACTATCTTGAAAAACATTGGTTTTTTTATCTATGGAACTAAAAAAGGAGCTCATTTCTCAGGTTGAGCAAAAAATAACCAAGTTGGATCAAGTTTTCTTGAAAATTTCTCAATTTTTGCAGGGTGGAGAGCACGATAACAAATATGACCACGAACAGTTCCTCGGAAAAGACACTGCCGCTGAATTCGATGAACTCACTCCTGAGAAGTCCAAGGAAAAGCTCTCGTTAGTTCAATTCATCAGGTAAAAAGACAACATTTTTTTTTTAGAAAGCTCGTCCCTAAGATGGACTCCGACTCTGACGGATTCGTTGAAGAGAAAGAATTGAAGGACCACATCAACTTCATGCAGAAACGATACGTGAACAACGATGTTGAGAGAACCTGGAAGAACTACAAAGACGAGAAAATTGTCGATGGCAAGATCAAGTGGGCTGACTACAGGTGGGTTCAATGTGAATATTCTTAAGGAGATTATGCTTCGATTTTTTCGTAAGCGGAAAAAATAGGATAGTTTTCCCAATCTAAAAATAGACTTTTTTGGCGTTTTTGAGGGCGAAAGTTTAGAAAAAAACCTTTCAAATATTTTTTGCGTTTCTACTTTCTTACGGTACGACATATAGCAGAGCGCAGTTTGAGAGTTAAATAGAAAATTCGTGAATATTTTCAGGTTCCCTCAAGGATACTTTTTATTAAAATTTTTCCACAAGAAGATCGATGAAAAAAAAATCAATATTTTCCTAAGTATACAAAAAAGGCTTCTTTTCCAGAGAAATGGTCTATGGATCTGCTGACGGAGCAGGACAGGAACTCTCTCCTGAATACGCCAAGATGATCGCTCGTGATGAAAAGAGATGGGCTGCCTCAGACTACGACTCCAACGGTGCTCTTGACCGCACCGAGTACGGCTGCTTCATGCATCCTGAAGACTGCGATCACATGCGTGACATTGTTGTTGCGGTTAGTTATATCTAAATCTGAGAATATTTATTTGATCTCTCTGCTCCAGGAAACCGTTGACGACATCGACAAGAACAAGGACGGATCTGTCGACCTGGAAGAGTACATCGGAGACATGTACCGCCCAGAAGACTATCCAGAGCTCAACGGAAAGGAGCCTGACTGGGTGCAGAGCGAGCGCGACATGTTCAAGGAGCACCGTGACAAGAACGCCGACGGCAAGCTCGACCAGGAAGAAATGCGCGACTGGATCATGCCGGTCGGCTTTGATCATGCCGAGGCTGAGGCTCGTCACTTGGTCGGAATCGCCGACGACAACAAGGTAAATCGTAGCCTCATAATGTTCTCAAAATTAGTCTCCTGATTCTAGGACGGAAAACTGTCTCTGGAAGAAATCGTTGCCCACTACGACACCTTTGTTGGCTCGCAGGCTACCGACTACGGAGAGCAGCTCCAGAAACACGACCCCGCTGAGCTCTAAACTGAAACAACCTTTTTATTCTTGTTTGCGGTGCTGGATTCTCATTGAAAGTGCCTATGTTGCTTTTTTTCCAAAAAATGATAATAATTTATGACTGGTAATAATTTTTTATTTTCAACTCGTCTCCGACATTCACTGGTTGTCATCTTTAAATGTGCATTTATTTGAAAAAAAAAATTGCCTTTTTGCACTTATTTATCTTGAATAAATGGTGATCCGAAAGAAAAAAAGTTCGTCTCAACTTCTGTTTTTGAAACATAATTCATGTGCAGCTCGGTGAGGATAGCCCACAAAAACTCAACCGTTCAGTATTTAAATTCATTATAAGAAAAATTTGTGATAGTTCAAAGTAGCTTTTTCAAGATGATTAGAAAAAGCGAATTACTATAAAATCCTGATAAGTGCTTTGTTAATGGAGAAAACAGATATCAAAAGTTTCACAAGCCCACTTGAGATCCCGAAAACTTCCTTTTGCATCTTAGCCAGCAATCCAAGTAATTCTGAAGACAACTGCAACTTTTTTATTGCTGGAGCACATCAAAAAGTAGAACCTATGTCACCAATAAGTTAACCTCACCGTATTTATGATAAATTGAAAAACGAAGAGAGCTCACTCAAAGTAGTCAAGACCAAAAGAAAAAAAACTTCTTTCATTGCAAACTTCGAAATGCTCGTCGTCCATGAAAAGCTCTAACGTTGCAATTGAGGGGCTGTCAAATTTCAATTTAGGCTGCATTTGCATTTGAAAACAAGCTTCAACGTTTTTTAGATGTGCCAAAAGGCGTACGTCGAGCCATTCCACTTGCGACTTTGATAATGAAGTTGAGTTTAGTTAAATGTTATCCATATCTGCAGGTTTTCGTTGAAAAAGTTGCTGAAGAAGTCTTCTCTGGAGATTTTAGAGCAATCAAAGCAGACGGAGAAATTTCTCCGTTTTTATATATTTTTTGCCGGTGTTCAACAGACATCATTTTTTGGCTTGCAGCGGGAACAAATAATGAAGGCTTCTTTGAATTTTTTACACTGCAATAAAAAAATTTTAGGACAAGATTTTTGATTTCTGAGCTTATTGAGCGCTGGCAGTCCTCCGTACAGAAGAACGAGGCAAATGGTCGTAAACTTTTAATTTTTTTTTGTCTGTACTTCTTGGTTTTTTCAAGAAATACTCCATTCACAGCTACTTCGAATCAATATATGAAGCTGAACAAAAAAATCCGACAAAGGACAAAGTTGAAGTCGAAACAAAATGAATGGCCATTTTTGAGATTTATGACAATCTGAAGATTACAACATTCAAACTGACGAACGTGGCGCGAGGCCGCGCCCCTTAGATCCGCAGCGATTTCTTCTGCGAAAGGAGGTCCTCGTGGTCGTGTCCCCAATTCTGTCTTCAAATGCCGCCGGCGATCCTACTGCCCCTGTTCTTGTTATTGATTGACCCGTTTGTTGAAGCTTTCGACGTACCGTGCTCCCGTGAGTTCATCGAGTTCCTACTGTTTAGCACTTGCTTTTTTAACTTTTTTACATGAAGGTACTCATAAGAAAAGTGAGAGAATAAGGTTAAGTCTTGAAAATAAAAATATAGACAGGATTAACCGTCTTTTACTTTCTTTTTTTCATTTTACTTCCAATTGTTCGAAAAAAAAAATGGATCAATAATAGTTTTGTAACTTTCTGAGAAAGTTACCGAAGATTTTGATAAAAAAGGGAAGTGAAATGCAATTTTAAAAAAACTTCGAGAGAGAAAGCAGTCTTCCATGTAAAAAAAATATTTTTTTCTCAATTTTTTTATGATAAAAGCTAAGTTGAAAAAAAGACGTCAGTGATTTCCTAAAGCTTAATGAAGCTTCCATGAAACACGTTCCTGCTGTATGAGTCACGATTTTCGCTTTTTTGTTTTTTTTCCCTGCTTAGTGTTATATATTGATTTTTGACGCTCTATGAGAGAGATTGATTTTCAGAAAAGCTGATCGGGAGTGATTGCCTCTTCGACGAAGAATGTTACGGCATGAACTCGGTATGCAGAAACGGCCGATGTACATGTCCGACCAACTTCGAAGAGTACGATATTGATGAGAGGACAACGATTTGTAGATTGGGTGAGTCTTGCTTGGTAGATCTCAGAATGAAGGAATTTTAAGCTCCTGCGAAAATTGGAGATTCATGTCAAAGAGATTGCAAGCCGCCGCTTCTTTGTCGTGATGGGAAGTGCGAATGCTGGGGTGGAAGTATTGTGAATGGAGAATGTGTTGTTCGTGAGTTCCTCAATGTTTCCTTAGGATCATCGAAAATTTCGTGATTGCTTCGTTTGTTCTGTAGAGGATCGAGATTTCCAACGTCTTGATTTATCTATCTTTTTCAGTATTTCAATGATCCTGAATTGCCTGAGTTAGTGAGATTTTGAAACTTTGAGATTTCTTCCCTCATATTATAAATTTTTTGCAAGCTCAAATTTTTAACATCATTCCTTGTTTGGTTTTTTTTGAGGTTCTGACAAACTTTCACGCATCTCATATCTCAAAGTGAAATGCGTTTTTTTGCAGAGAAATTTTCAATAGAATACAGTTTCAAATCATTTTCATTTTAACTTGCAACATACTCAAAAAATAAATAAATTTTGGAAAAGTTCTGATGTTTCCCTTGAAAAACTTTGAAACTCAATAAAATTAAGCTTGCCCCGTCGGTCAGCAGCTCTATGGAGTTGAGTGCACACGAGTTGCGCATTACATGCAGCCCTGCGATAAAGACAGTCAGTAAGTTCACAAATCCCATTCTGTCAGTCCATTCATGACTACCTGCAGATGTGTGGATCCCTTCAACGCATGCATAGCTGGAACCTGCCAATGTGCTCCTGGAACCACTAGAGACACTATGAGGGGTTTTTGCTACGCAGGTTTGGTTTTTTTTTTCAATTTGATGATGCTTCAATTTTCTGTCATATTGAGAAAAGTTTAACGCTCTTTGATTTCGATAAGAACTATGGCTAAAAACAAAAACTTGTGAACGATTCTCAGTCGTGATTATCTAATTTGTAGAGCACTGGAATTTCTGATTTTATTTACGTTCCAGTTTTGGGTTTTCTCGAAACACAAATATCATACGTTTTGTATGAAAAAGCTTTGATGAAGGTGTCACGTTTCAAAACCTTCATCAAACTCAGCCCTTGCCTAAAAATTGCCTTTCGAAAAATTTAATTAATCTGACTTCGGAACTTTTTTCAGTTTGCCCTGACGGCATGCATCCTCGTCAAACTTGTCGACGACTCTTCATTAACGACATCGATATGCTGGAAAATGCCGCCAACACGGATAGCTGCCCTCTCGGTTATCGTTGCGTAACCTATGGAAGTCCTTACGTCGGTCACTGCTGTCGATTGAGATGCCCTTATGGAGAGCCTGACCTGAGGTTGGAAAGACGAGCTTCAACTTTTTCGAATCCAAAAGATTCTAGTCAATCATGTGATGCTGGAGCTTCTCCTGACGCAAAATGCCGACCGCTGACGCATTTCTGTCTAACAATCAGTGAGCCGGGGTCAGTTATCTTATTGAATTCAACAAAGTTAGATAGAAGATATTATTTCATATGGGTTTGGCACGGATGTTTTTTATAATGAGATTTTCTGGAAATTACTAAATAGGAGAATGATTTTGGTGGCTGCTCAGAGTTCAGCAAAATATTTCAGAATTGTACCTTAACGGTCGTCAAAATTTAGTAAGTTTTCCAACAATGCAAAAGCATTCAAAAGAAATGACGTTTTTAGAGTAGGGTTGAACTTTCGAAGTTCTATTCTACTCTGAAAAGTTTCAAAAAAAAAACATAATGACCGTTCCTGCCGATTTCATTTTTTAAGGCGTATCAATTGATGTCAAATTTTCCTTTCTTTTAAAGGCATAGGGGCAGTAAAAAATGGGGTTTCAGGTAAAAACAGTATCTTATATAGTTTTTCTTTGCGAATCGAATGGTGTACTCAAAACAATTAAAGATGTGACAACTTTAGAAGAAGAACGCGATTTTACTTTCCCGCCTTTATTTTTGAAAAAAGCTTTGGATCGGCCTACGGACAAATGTTTACAGTAGCCGTGCACGCGATGTTGCGGACGTCTCATTAGACTCGCATTTTGTGAGAAATAACCGGCTATCTGCTTCAAATTAAGGGTTTCTACTCTGAAAAAAACGTTTAGTCAAACAAAAAACACACGCCGATAATAAAGGAAACACAAAATAACGCTATCCCAATCGAAACCGATGTAAAAATCATCATTTTTCCCTACAGAAGCATTTTTGCGATCAAAGTTTACAAATTATACATGAATAGAAAGCTTTTTTGACAAAAAGAACTTTGGTGACAACAGAAAAATTGAAAATTGAAAGAAACGAAGAAAAAAGCGAAAATCCGGAAGATGGGAAAGCCTGTTGTCCATAGAGCAACTTTACTGCAAAGTGCCCTTTTTGCGGGAACTCAAAGTTTCCTCTCTCCGACTTTGAATTATTTTTTCTCCAAAACTAGTAAGTTCGGTACGTTTTCAAAATTACCGTTCGATTCGCAATGAAAAACTCTACAAATTACTGCTCTGAACTGAAACACCGTTTTTTACTGCCCCTATGCCTTTAACGACTTTCCTGAGTAAGATTTCGATTTTTTCAATATTAAAAAATTTTCGATCGAAACCTTTCCTCAGATATTTTTTTTTGTATTTTTAGATCTTGAGCGAGATGTATAAATGAACCTCTTTTTTTACAGATGGAAGTCCTCGTTGTGCTGCCCGAGGCCTTGCCGCGATCCCACTCCCCTCTACGTTAACGGTCAATGTCTCTCAATTGCTCATCGCGGCGACCCCTGCCAAATCGACCAGCAGGTAAAGAAACTCCGCGCTCGTCGTAAAATTCAAATTTCCAGTGCGAAGGCGGCATAACGATGTCTTGCACTCTGGGAACTTGCCAGTGCAAAATCGGTTTTCACGCGGTTAGTGGGCAATCGTTCCTTCATTCTTCTCTGTAATCCACAACTCGAATTTATGATCTGGAAAGTGTTCATGTCCACGAGCTTTTTGAAATATTTTTCTAGAAGTCGTTGCTCCTTGAGCAAGCTTGAGAAAGGTCTGTTTTACATTGGATTCTGCAACCTTTGAGTGAGAACAAGGCAGCTAGGTGATACACCGATCGATATTCCTGCAGATTCAGATTACAAAAAAAACTTTAAATTTGCAGAACGCACCTACTTCAAACTTGAATACTTTTCAAGTCTATCTTCATCTGTTTTAAAATTGAGTCCTTGAACAAATCTCAAAAAAATAATCAAAACTGCAAGAAACAATAAGCCGTCAGCCTGGAAAGTAAAAACATAATAACTTTAAGCGAACTTTCAAAATTTTACTTTCTGAAGCGGATCAAAGAATATAATTAGTTCAGTCATTAAGTCGCCTGAAGTGAGACCAAAATTTCTTTATTTCTCGAAAACTTCCCACATGTAATCTCCAGAAGTTGTTGAAATTATGAACAAAGTCTTTGAATTTTCTCTAGGCAAGAGTTGAGTGTTCACTTAAAGACTCATATTTGATGAATAAATTTGGCAAATTTCGGTTTCAGCACAATGACGATCGTTTCCCGACATGCATCAAGGATTGCTCTCTGGAAGAAGTTTCAAGCACAGACCGGTGTCTGGCCAAAGTATTTAAAAAATACAAATATTAATTGGGAGATAAATTCAGACTCAACTGGGAATGAGATGTCTTTCCAACAAGCAATGTCCTAGTTTCGCTGAATGCCGGTTCGGAACTTGTCAATGTCTCTGCGGCTACAAAAAAGTTCGAGTAAGATTAATTCGAGAAAAAAACAGGACAAACTTGGCTTTTTCAGGATAATTTGTTGGGAGTAAGGTGCACGAATCCGGACGATCCTCTCAGTTTGAGCACAATCTTGGACGGAGTCGGCCAGTTTTTCGGCAACCGTCGCGGCAACTAATACTATGAACTTTATTCCATTTTCTCAGTTTATCTGATCTTGCTACTTGCTCCGAACGTGGACCGCATCTTCACACCTTTTCGGGTTTATTCAATTTGTTTTTTTTGGAAAAATCTAACAACTTATCAATAAAGGAAACATTTCATTAATAATAACTCCAATAAGTCGGTTATCTGAGAGACTAATTGGAAAACTTTCAATTATACAGGTGCTTTAAAACATCCTTTACCCCAACTCCGAACTTCCACTTTCCTTCCGAAGACTCCATTTGAACTTCTGTATAAATTTTGTGGTTGTCGTTTTTTCTGTTCATTTTTTTTGTGACAAAATACGATCAGAGAAGACGAAACAATATTATTCTCTTACCACATGATATATTGCAACATGAACAAGTAAAGATGATGGGGCAGTGACCTGCTGGAGACTACTTTCAACCTAACAAACTTAACAAATCGAAAAGCCTATGTTATATCTATAGCGGTACTACCGCGGTAGTATTTACAAACACAACAAAGGTTTCCAACAGCCAAGAGAAGGCAAAAAGTGCGCCGCCGGTACAAGTAACGTGCAAGGCATTTTTGAATAAAAAGAAATGGTTTTTGATTGAAAGATACAAGAAAAAAAATGATAAAAAATGGTGGCCGAGAAATCTTTGCGGAAGATGGAGAATGAATATGCGAGAAGGCGCTTAGAAGCACTTGCGGTGGACGATGGATGGGCCGGACTCGTCGTACTCCTGCTTGGAGATCCACATCTGCTGGAAGGTGGAGAGCGAGGCGAGGATGGATCCTCCGATCCAGACGGAGTACTTGCGCTCAGGGGAGCGATGATCTTGATCTTCATGGTGCTGGAAAAAAATCATTTAAAAACCATCTTTTTTTTTTTTTTCAATTTCAGTTTGTCTGCTCAAAAGTTCTCGCTTAAGTTTTAGATGATTTTTTATGAGTCCGAAAAATTCAGCGCTAGATCTTAGAATTTTTTAAGGAACTGTGAAGGTTGAATGAAAGTTTAAGTTTAAGATGGCTTCGAACCTGGGAGCGAGAGCAGTGATCTCCTTCTGCATGCGATCAGCGATACCAGGGTACATGGTGGTACCTCCGGAGAGGACGGTGTTGGCGTACAAGTCCTTACGGATGTCGATGTCGCACTTCATGATGGAGTTGTACGAGGTCTCGTGGATGCCAGCAGACTCCATACCCAAGAACGAGGGCTGGAACATGGCCTCCGGGCAACGGAAGCGCTCGTTTCCGACGGTGATGACCTGTCCGTCAGGAAGTTCGTACGACTTCTCGAGAGAAGAAGAGGAGGCGGCGGTGGCCATCTCCTGCTCGAAGTCGAGAGCGACGTAGCAGAGCTTCTCCTTGATGTCACGGACGATTTCACGCTCAGCGGTGGTGGTGAACGAGTAACCACGCTCGGTAAGGATCTTCATCAAGTAGTCGGTCAAGTCACGGCCGGCCAAGTCGAGACGGAGGATGGCGTGGGGAAGAGCGTAACCTTCGTAGATGGGGACGGTGTGGGTGACACCATCTCCGGAGTCGAGGACGACACCGGTGGTACGGCCGGAAGCGTAGAGGGAGAGGACGGCCTGGATGGCGACGTACATGGCGGGGGTGTTGAAGGTTTCGAACATGATCTGAAAATCGCCTTTTTCAAATTTGAATATTGATAGTTTTCAAATTTTTTCCTTTGTTGAATCTTGTTTCTTAAAATTTTGATTTGATTCTTTCAGATTTATTGAAGAAAATTTGAAGCTGGGTAATAAAATCTAAATGAGAGGAATTTAGCCGATCTTCACACAAAAAGTCTCAGATTTTTTTAAGAAAACTTCCACGAACCTGGGTCATCTTTTCACGGTTAGCCTTGGGGTTGAGAGGAGCCTCGGTGAGGAGCACTGGGTGCTCTTCCGGAGCAACACGGAGCTCGTTGTAGAAGGTGTGGTGCCAGATCTTCTCCATGTCGTCCCAGTTGGTGACGATTCCGTGCTCAATCGGGTACTTCAAGGTGAGGATACCTGAATTTTATGAAGATATTTTTGACCCGAGTTTTCAAGAGCAGTACCTCTCTTGGATTGAGCTTCGTCTCCGACGTACGAGTCCTTCTGTCCCATACCAACCATGACACCCTGGTGACGAGGGCGTCCAACGATGGACGGGAAGACGGCGCGCGGAGCATCGTCTCCGGCGAATCCGGCCTGAAAAATTGACAGGATAAGATTTTAATGGAGAAATTGGTACGATTATGTACTGAAAAAATTTTTTTCGCGTTTAACAAAAATCGGCTATCAATTCTTAACTAGATGTGATATTCCGACCCAATGCAATTTCTCGCCTCTAACAAGCTCAAATCCGCGAATGGTTAACCGCATTATGCAAATAATCTATGTGAAAAGCCTGTCTTAAGAGGGTTTCACATGTCAACTCAGCATCTAAACGATGGGTGCGAAGGAGCAGCCATCTGTGCATCATCGGCGGCCATTTAATTCGCTCAAATAACATATGTGGCAAGGATCTGGTCCCTCGATCGCGGTTCGGTTCGAAGCTGCTACTACGTTTTTCAGAAAAGACTTGGCCGCCAACCTTTTGTATTTGCAGTCAAACGCGAGTGCGGCGGCTGAGGAGGAAAGCCAAGATGGGCTCAAGGCATTTCCCAAGAAATGCTACAGCCACGCCGCGAGTGCAGAGCAAACACGCGTTCCCTCCTGCCGCTTGGCTTGATGGTCCTCATCAACTATTGGGGAAAGCGCGGCGGTTTTTTTGAAAGAAAAATTCGAATAATCGAAAATAAGTGCAAAAATCTGTTTTCGAAAATTTCCTCTTATGGGATCTGCAACTCAAAAAAGGCAATTTTTGAAATTATGATTTTTCTCAAAAACTAAACAACGGCATCGATTTTCAAATTTTTTTCTAATTTCTAAAAATCGAAAAAATTCCTTTTTGACTCAGTATATCCCTGCCTGATAAATAGCTAGAAATCTCAGACAAAAAGAGGCACATATGCCAGATGACCTCCAGACGGAAACGGAGCGCCAAACTTTTTTCCGAGGTCATATACCCTTTCGTAAGATATTCTGCCAATCAACAGATCCAAGTCTGATCACCAGGTCAGATCCCCCACACGTCACAACAGATTCGCATCGAACAGAGGGAGCCGATCCGCCAAATATGACGAGACGGAGGCAGTGATCGGAAAAAAGACGTTCTCCTGCCTCCCAAGCCTCGCGCTCTTCTTTTTTCTGAGGTCTTTTGGTCAAGGAGAAGAGCGGCCTTGACAGCGGCCCTCACTCGCCTCCGCCTGCGTTACCGGCACCTCTCAACCACAAAGGAGATTTGCGCCGCGAATATATCTCATCCTAGCCGCTTTTAGCAACAATCGGTTGCCTCTTGACTTAAAGCGGGTTGTGGCTCTGGTTCTTCTTAGCAAAGCAAAAAAAAAAGAAGAAAAAGTGGTTTCCAAACTCGGAGTTTTGAAGTTAAAAGTTATACTTTCCCTATGAGCCCTTAAGAGGTCGATAAGCTCTAAAATTTTGACTGAAAGTTCCACAGTTTTTGTTCAAAAAGAGGCGAGACCAGTTTTATTGAGAAAATATGACCTCAGTTTCGAAAACCTTCATTTTTCTAACATATTGGTCCACCAATGGCTTGAGCAGCTTTCAAGGGACATGACGTCCAGCAAATTGGCTAACTATTCAAGATGTCCTCATTGTTCGACAGTGGCCCCTATGTCTGAGGATAATTGATGTTGTGTAGAGGAACGAGGCGTTCCCTTGCAATTAGTTGCTGAGGGCTTCGCAAAAATCTTCTCGAACGGTCCGAGGAACAGGGCAAAAAGGCTACTTGACTTTGTTGGAGATAGCGTAGAGGATTGAGAAAAAGAAGGAGCGTCTGAGATTAGGTCTCCTACAACCATAAATTTTTCAAGTGGTTTTAAAATTAGAACCTTTTTGGAGGTAATCTCTTGACTGTATTCATACAGTTCTCATGATCGAAATTTGCTGAGTAACTAGGTATCGCCTCTGAGATGATTAACTTTCTTAAAAATAATCGAAATTTTCACAAATGGCCTTTTTCAGACACCGAATTATAAAATTTTCTTTTAACGCTGACTTTTTTTTCTGAGATGAAAATAGATCCGGAATGTTTTCTGCTGGAGTTGGATTATTCAAGCGAAAACAGGTTCCTTTTTCGAAAAGTTCAAGCTTTAACTTTTTACATTGAGATTGATTGAATCAAAGTATATTTTAAAACGTTTTGCTCCTTCAGATCTTCGAAAATTTTTCCAAAAATTAGAATTTTTGATGTTTCGTGTTACTGCACAACTTTACTACTTGCTCAGCGTTGTCCACAGATTACGCACTAGCTTAGCACTGTATTGTTTATGCGCGAAGGTCGAGGGTGCTCTCCGGCCGCAGATCGCTGAAGTGACAAGCCGCCGAGGTGCACACTTTACACTACGCGCCGGCCTAAGATCTCCCATCCACCCACACGGTCGCGGCGTAATATCCGTTGGCTACGAGCCGTGTCACCAAACTTTTTCGACTGCCAACTTTTTCCCAAGTTTGTTGTAAAGCTTTGCGTTATTTGGGATTCTCACAATAAAGTTACAAAATTTCGAAGCGAAAAAATAATAGGTTTAAAATGTCTGAAAGCTTTCACAGGCGTGAGAACAAAAAAGGCCCAAAACGAATTTGACACCGTTTTCATGGAATTAACGTGCTTTCGAGCGTTTTAGAATTGATTCCCTTAAAAATCTAGATAGCAATCTTTCACTCAAATTTCGAAAGTATCTTTTTTCCAAAAAGCTCGAAAAACTTCTTACTGAAAATTATCTGGAAACTTTTTTTCTGATTACACTATAATTTTCAAAACAACAAAACCATGTTATTTTGAGATTTAATATTAGTTCGAAAAGCCTGATTTTTGACCGAGAAAAGGTTTTTTGCAAAAAACATTCATTGTGATTTATCCCATGCGCTTACAAAATCGATTCCAAGGAGGAAAGGTGCAAACTCGAAAAAAAAAGAGGCGAGCGTTTGAGAAAAGATGGCAGATGGCCGATGACTCATTGCACTTTCGGAAACAAAAGCGGCGCGCTGTTTTTAGATTTTTCGAAAGTTCTAGAATTCTCTGAAAAAAAGGAGCAACCAAAAAAAAAATTAGTTTTTTCGCAGCGAAATTAAGAAAAAGTTTTGAGAAAGTGGAAAAAGAATTCGAAAAAATAAGAGTTTTCAGAAAATCCAGAAAACTTGTTTTTTTTTTTTGTTAAAATGCTCCAAGTTCAGAGAAAATCCAGGAAATTCGAGAGAAGCAGTAGGAAAATAATCAGTACCTTGCACATTCCGGAGCCATTGTCGACCACAAGAGCGGCAACTTCGTCGTCACACATCGTGAGTTTGTCGGAGAAAGGTTGAGTCCACAAGCGGGAATGAGGGTCCCTCCTCTTCGGCCGCTATTTATACAGGCCGCGCCCGCGAGCCGCGTCGCGCTTTGCCATTGGTTCCATTCATCGCCACGCCCCTCGCTCCGCCCAAAATGTGCTCTACCGTTAATGTTTCGAATGGTTTGTAATGGAGATAATGGATTTGCATGATTGATAATAGCGCCACGTAAGCGTTGTTTACGTCTTTCGAGAAAAAAAAAAGCCTGAATTTTCTCACGCAAAATTGGTTTTCTGGCTTTGGTATGATCAGAGATACAACAACATGTTTATTTCTAGAATATTATTTTTGATTTCTTGTACACAGTGAAAGGAAAAACGAACATAACAAAGATGTTTCAAGAGATTTTTTGAGTTTTATCATGGATAAACTGCACCTGAACACATATTCTGGTAAAAAGAAATTTTTTTGCTAAACCTCGTTTACAAAAAGTAAAATTTTCCATTCGATTCGAGTCGCCGCATCTGTCAAATTTGAAAAATTCATCATTATTCGATAGATCGCAATTACTCAAAAAAAAAAATAATAATAAAGAAATAAATAGAGAGTTCAATGTAACTTTGCTGAGATGTTGTTCAGTAATTTTCAATCACAGCCAATCGGACAGTTTTTCTCGTTTTTGTCTAGGAGCCTAGTAATGACGCTTCGAAATATCCGGGGAAGTTTTTGAACGGAAGTATTCATGTCGAAGACCTTCCAGGACTTCAAAAACAAAAGCAAATTAATATTTTTTTCTGAATTCGTTATGAAAGGTGATTAATAACGGGTCAGCGAAGTTCTATCAGTCTTACAAGCACGGTTCCTCGTACCTCTCTTGATCAATTATTATATGAGAGTCTTAGAAGAGTTCGAAACCGAATAAATATTTCATTACTCTGAAAAACAAATGAAAATGGTTCTTGTTTTTAAAAAAATTCAGTAAACATTTATCAACCTTCATGAATTTATGATCGGTAAAGTATTCTCTTGGATCAGTTTCGATTCTTATTTTCAATCTCTTTTTCGACGAAATATATTGAATTTTTATTTTTTTCAAACGGACTTTTTGAATATTGCACGATTTCAATTTCTCACTTCATCGTAATTTGCTTCCGTTGATACGACCTTTTTTTGTATAAAAAAATGTTTTCCATCAAAGTTTTATTTCTTTTTAATTTTTTTTTCAAGTTTTATTATTTCATCAATTTTGATATTTTGATGAACTATTTGCTTTTTCAGAATCCTACGCTTCCAGAAGGCCTACTTTTTGCACCGAAGTTTGATTTTTCGGCCTATCGATCCCACGAACAATCGAGCCACGGCATTACACATGACGCGATTCTCTCGAATCCATTGGAGATCGCCAATCTTTTAACATCTTTGTTTTTGCCGATAGTTCACTGCGGCAGCTTGTTTCAGCGGGCGACATTTGCTTCCAATCATTCGTTTCGAGCCTGATTCCAGGGAAACATCCGAGTTTTGTTACAGCGGTTGCACGGAGCAGCCTGCCGAGCCCAGACGCGATAGGTAGCTAGAGATAAAAAGCGATCGGATGTGGAGAGAACTGCCGTCAAGCACCCGTCGGCAGAACGCCTGCAAGATATACCCACGTTTTTTCGTTTTGAGGCGTTGGCGGGGATCCAATCGCACAATCCCAACTCATCGCCATGTCTTCGTTTTTTGAAAATTAGCGGTTTATTTGAAATCTGAGATTTTAGGAAATTTTTCAAAAATATTTCATCTTGTTTATCATGATCATCGATACAAGTCTGCAATCATATTTGTCATGTTTCTAAATTAAATTTTCCTTTATGCATGGGAAAAATGAACAAAGCGTATGACTCATCCAAATTAAATCTAGACTATTGCATCATGTTTCAATGCTTGTCAACAAGCGCTATATCATAAACAAGAAAGAAAAAACTGTACAGTTGGAAAAAATAAGAAAAACTGCGAGCCTGATTAACTATACAGAGCTTGAAACTGGGCCTTGAAAATTCAACACGGAAATCTCGACTTCTCACTCCGGTAGCTTTTTCAGCATAAAGAGGAAGCTAAACGCGTAAGTAGAAACTCAAAAAACTCGTTCTGAAACTATGAAATTGGTTCGAATTATTTTAGAACCGGAAAATTTCATGATTATGCGCTCTAAACCTTACATGAACTGGGTATTTGCTTTTGATCAGCCGTCCTGTCAAAAACCTCTCTATCATTTATTAAAACATGACCCGGTAAAAATATTGTCAATGAGTCTAAAAAAAATCAGATGAAAAATCTGAAAAAGGGCAGAAATATTTTTTGTTCAGTGAAATTGAAGCTGCGATTTTTCCCTTATTCGAATTGAGAAAAAAGATTCCCCATCTACTCCTTAGCTTAAATGGATAAAAAAGGCTCAGATAAAATTTTTGCAGCCAGACTGGCAGATAGTGAGTTTTTTTTTATAATACTGTTTCTTTATTTTCAGCTCATGATTGTTAACCAACTCCCAAATGAATATTTTTTCCAATAAACAATGTCTTCTTGCGCTGGAATACTTCGAAGTAGACCATCGCAGCCTAAATATTCGAACAAAGCGGAGGAAAATGTCATGGTGATTCATTATTCTGCACGGCTCTTCTAAAAAAATTCTCTGCGAAAAATTGCTACAGCCGTTCTTTTTTTCGATTTCTTATCATACCCAATCAAAAAGGCCGCAGAGATCTTTCAGCAAAACTTTGATAAAAAAAATTAGAAATTTTTTTGTATAAAAAAAGGAGGGAAAAAAATAGTCTAATGAGTCATGGATATTAATCATAAAAACCCTATTGAAAGCCGGTTTAGACTTGTCCTCTACATTTTAATACAAAGATTAATTTTTGGATAGACGCTACTTTTTTCCAGTGAGAAGAGTACATAAAAAGTTATAGCATTTTCAAAAAAAAAGCATAACTTTTCTTTTTCTTTTTCTCGTTTTAATATTTAATCGTCAATCACTGGCGCATCTTCCAAGAAATGAGTGTTATTTGCTGTTTGGTTGTGTAACGTGGTTGGCCCTAAACTTATCTTTTTCTTCAGTTACCCGCTTTCTCTCCGTCTTCCATCAACTTTTCCATGATCCAGACGCCCATCACATAGGCTCTCGGTGTAGTAAATAGCTAACCGAGGGCCGCCGGCAATTATAAACGCTTAAATTCTCGGAAACGGTTGTAAAAAACGAAGACTCGTGGTAAGGAAAGGTTGGTTTTTCCGAAAAATCGAGAATTCGGGATGGTTTCTCGTTATTCATACGTAAAAGTTTTTAAATTTTCACACGGCTTAACGGACCAGTAAATAATCTCAGCTCACAAAAAGTTTTCTAAAGGGTCTGTAAAAATTACCAAGATCTCGATATTAAAAAGTCTATCATTTTCTATACAAATCTTTCTGAAAACTTTTGTGAACAGTCTCCCAATCAACTTAAAAAGCTTCTTTCAGAGAATCTCGTCTTCTTTCTTAGTTATGACTATTATTACTGAAATTCAATCTTAAAATAATTCAAATTCTGCTGTCACTTATAATATGATGTCACACACATCCAATTTCTAAACAAGCATGTTTTTGGGAATTTTTTTTTCCCCAAGTTTTATTATTCATAGAAATCTGAGATCCATTGAAAATATTTTTGTAAACAGTATTTTTCAAAGTCATGAAATCCATGTTTTCATCATCTTTTGAAGCAAAAATATTTTTTTGTTGAGTTTTCGTCAAATGCTAAAAAACGATGATTTTTCAACGTTTTCTCGAACAAAAATTTCTAATGTACAATTCATGAAGATCAAAGACCAATCAGGACGGTTTTGGGACACGTCAGCTCCAGATTTTTGTGCGTGTCAGTTATCAGGTTCTGTGATCTTTTTAAAACATTTCAATCTTTTTCGCTCTGAATAATTTTTTTGTGATTATTCACAAAAAAATTGATAAAGTATTGGGAGAGAAAAAAATGTTTGTTTATTTTTTTGAAAAATCCTCATTACGGCGGAAAAAAGCTACATAATCTTTAAAGCTTGATTTTTTGAGGTTTTTTTTCCCAGGAATATGAGAAGAAAGGACCGTGAATTGATGCTTAAGCTTTCACGTTAAGCGTTTCTATGTATTTGATTTTTCGATGATTTTTTTGCAAGGCCTCTGCTACCAAAAAATAAAACGAAAATGGTATCGTTCAGTATTTTATCTGCTACGTCGAAGAGAATTTTGGCGGTTTTCCACAAAGTATCAATGGCAAAAAAAATTTTAATGGCACATGGAAAAAACTGCAGTTTTCCGTTTTTTGTAATCAGGCTTACAAATCACAGAAACTCAATGCCAAGAGGTGATGTCACTATTCTAAAGACGAGTAATTTTGCAAATCCAACAAGTTTCGGCAGCAAAAGTTTGTAATTACCCTGTTTGTTGTTGCGCGAAGAAAACACGTGGGTCTCGTATGTGAATGAAATATTGTTGAAGGTAAAGTTTGGATGGTGGGGACTGAAATGAAAATATAAACCGTAAATAATAAGAATAGTCTGGGGATATTGTCAACGTCTGAAAGCAGTTTTTTGAACGCTGATTTGCTACCTGACATGCCTTAAGTTAATGAATAAGTGAAGATATGTTTTGACTCGGGAGGAATAAAAAAAACGATTTCTTGCGATGAATGAATAATTTCTACGCGAAATAAGCTCAAATATTTATTTTTCTCTAGAATGGCTACACTCTATTTTTTTCATGGCGGTTTTAGATGATACGAGCTATAGGAAATCTCAAATTTAAAATTTCACAGAATTTAAAAATCGCAATGAACTTATTTTGGTCTCTCACATAAATATCATATAATTCTTTCTTGCCAATATATCTCGAGTCAATCAAAAACGAATCCTTACAAGCGTCAATTCTTTCAATACTTTAGAAAAAATTTTTTTGAAGATTCTTATTACATTCACATTCAGCTCACAAAAAAGTTCTTATACGAATGTTGAATTTTCTAGGGGTGCGAAGAAACTTTTCATAGAAGAACAACTAAGATGACACTGCGTCATACCAAAAAAAAATGATAAAGCAAAGTACTTATAAATACTTTTCAATAAGCTTTTAGCGAAGTTTCAGAGTGAGCGAAAAAAAAGGGGAAAATACACGGTCAAAAATTGAAAATTTGGTGACTTTCTAAATTGACCAGTAACATCGGAAATAGCATGTCAATACGTTGAGCCCCGTGATAGTTAAGAAACACGAAATTGTTTGGTGAAGTTTCGAATACTTATTCAATTGTGGCAATTTTGTTACATGAATGGCTAGAAAATCGTGCTTTGCTGGTGAAGTTTCTTGACGCTCATGGTCCGACGATGATGTTGAACGCATCCGAAGGAGAGCAGATCTCGGAAACATCGCCGGAAGTCGCCATTGTACATTGTATAAATTATTGGGTTGAGCACCTTAAAAGGCGAAATCATCAAAACTAGTCAACATTCAAAAATTCAGAATAACGGAAAGTTTGCAGTTGTATGATTTTCATACTTTTCATAACTCTACCAGTCTAAAGAAAGAAAAAAATGTTGATTTTAAGATTCATGGTAATTATTACTAATGAATTAGCATTTATTTGTACCTCTCTCGTCATTAAAAGCTCCCTAAAAAATGAAAAAAATTTACGCGTCAGAAAATCTTTACCTATTCCACTCGAAACCTAGTCATTTTAGCTTTATTTCACGTGACCTAAGCGATCTGGCCATGGTTGAATATTTATGAAAGTACAGTGGAACTTGCCATAAAAGCGAGATTGGCGCGCCTCAACTTTAAAAAATTGGAAAAATTCTTTGGCTCAAAAAGCCTTTAAAAACTGGTTGAAAACCGTCATTAGAAATAAGCTTTGATTTCACAGATGTCTAGATAGAAAAAGAGTATTGGAATTTCAGAAGAGATCGTCGTGAGGTAGAAATGAGTTCCAGACGATCTGGCAAAAAGACTCACCGAGTTGGAATAGCCAAGCCAGAGGAAGAATTCAGAAAATATTTGATATAACGAAGAGCTCGCAATGGCCTCGGCGACAAAAACTTCAACCAAATACATGATGAAAAACGGCATCCAACAGACGATGAAGCCTTGAAAATTTTTTCTTTTGATTTCAATTTGCAAATATAATATTACCCAGAACGACGATTCCTATAGTTTTAAGAGCTTTTCGCTCTCGTAAATACACCATTTTCTCTTTGGACCCGCGAACAGCTTTTCCAGGCCCATTTGTTTGATAATGCTCGTGGGCCTTAAATATCACTCAATATAGAAAAGGATTGTAGAAAAATGAAACTTTTTGCAAAAGGTTGCTCGGCTGCAGTCTCGAATGAGCTTTCGATGCTCTTTTGGACATGGATGGAACAATTCCAACTTCGGTAGTTTTCCGAACAGGTGGACCTTGCGAGATCTGAATTAAGTTTGTTAGAGGGTGGCAATCAGAAAAAGAAACTGACTGCGCTATTGGCGATATCCGCTAGTGAATGACATTCGCGCTCCATCGAATTCTTGCCTTCTTTTTGCGAACCATTCGGAGAAACGTTATTATTCAATAAAGACGCGGACATCTGAAGGAAAAGTTCGCGGGGATTCATATATTTGATAATAATGAACCTCCATGCTATCGCCATTAGGAGGTGAGTCATCGCAGTCTGTAGAGTCAAAGCGACTTTCCGTAGGTCTACTAGTTTCGTTCCTACTGAAATTAAAAAGTTGTGAGGAGAAAAACTAAGATAAATCAAGATGGATTTCACATGGCTCAAAAATAACCATCTAGTAAAGTTCAACAAATTTGAACGGTATCAAGGCTGTGGAAAAAAAAATTTTGTGCCTCTCCTTGCAGTTTAATAGACTTTTAAGTGAAGAAAAAAAGTGAACATACTGATTATATTCTATAGGACGGATCGAATAATTTACTCGTCCTGAGTTGCTGACTTGTACCCGTGTTCTTGAATGGGGAGCGCTTGCAGTTCTAAATTAGATCAATATTTTCGTATTTCGAACTCAAAAACCTCATATTATTCCGGTTGTGATTGCGATGTTGAGTTTTGACCAACCGATTACTTAATCTACAGGTGCCAACCGACTGTCGCATGAGAGCTTCTCGTTCAGATGCAACTCGAAATATTTTGAAGTACACGAAGAGCATGACCTGTAAGAAGTCTGACTTATTAAGCTGAACTATCGTCTTGAAAAAATATTCGTGAACTACACAGATTAAAAATCTTTCTACTTAATTATTTTTTTCTCGGATTAAAATTAACTCTTAATTGGAATGAAGATTTCTGAATGAGACTAGTGTTCTGAATTCACTCTAAACCTTCTCGAAGTTGAAAAAATCAAGACCGTTTAAAATGAAAAAAAATTTTTTTCAAACAGACCTCATTTTAATATTTTTGGGTAACGCTTTTTTTGTGATCAAAAAAATCATTCATTTTTTTCCAAAAAAAGTTTTTTTCACCTGAAAAAAATATTTTTTTAACTATTTTAACACCCGTCCTTTCTGTGTTGAAAGGTATTTTTTTCTCATTTCTCTAAGCCCAGATTCCGAATCATCCCGAGTAGTTCATTTTGTTATCCTTACTCCTATACATAGATTGCCTATCGTTTTTCGAAGTTTTGAAAAATAGAAAAAAACCACTCACAAAAAGAGGGAGGTAAAAGCTTCCCAAAGCGCTGTAAATCCTATAATGAACAGAAGGCGAATAGCCGCATTTGAAGTCACTCGATGAAGTATTAGCTGCCTGAATGGGAATTTTCAGATCAACAAAAATGAAATTGAAATACCGATGCATCCGTGAAAAGTCCCCAGCTTGGAACGATCCAAGGTGGGCTGCAAACGATGAAAGATAGCACCCAAACGGACGATAAGAGACCTGCTGCCATTTTTCTTGATCTGAAAGAAATGTTATTATGTTTTTGAAGTTTTCAAGTCATAAAAGCAAACTTTTCTAAGTTTGAAAAACAACTCGAAACGATGGGAAACTAGCCCTTCTTGTTTAGATCTCGTGTTACGTTGCTTCGATTTGCGTATTCAAGGCTGATTTCCGTCGCGGCGTTGCTCTTTTGCCTTTTTTGCTTTGCCTTTTTTGCTTTGCCTTTGTTGCGCTAATGGACTTTTCTTATTGTGTTACATAACATGAACAGACTTTTTTTTTCACTTTTCCAATTTTAATTATTCTTACCAGAAGAGAGAGTGAAATATTCATACCTTTTACGGTTAATGCGTTTCTTTTTTTTTCAATTTTCTGATTAGCGGCGAAGTACTAAAAGCTCAAAATTTGATAAGTTTTAAGGAAGTCTCCTAAAGTCCAATAGACAATTTCGCTTGGTTCCAACAACTTTTTGCACCTAAGCTTCGATTCATATATAGTCGAAATGGTTTACGATCAGAATTAAAAAAAAATTAATCAAATAAACCCCTCATGTTATGGAACTGAGAAAAACGGGAAAAAATATGTTTCAGTTTCATTATCTATCAGAGTAAACCATTTTCTAATATGTCGTTTTCCCTCCATTTTTCTCATTTTTGCACCCTGTAGTTTTCCACGCAACTGCAAATGACTTAGAATTGGTTTGATTAGATTCCTCAGATTTCTCGGAGCATTTTCAGGCGACGCCGCACCGACAACGAGTGCTATCAAGCGTGAAGTCAGCATGTACTACCGCCAACCACTCAATTTTAACGCCGACGCCATTTTTGCAACTTTCGGCTCAACCAACTCGAAACGGAATTGTTTTCGCCACAGGGAGCTCAATGGGAAACATGAAAGGGTCTTCTTCGTGACTTTTTTCCAAGAAAAGACGGGCAAAAAAAAAAGCTAAGGATGAAGCTACACATATCTCATCTTGAGAAAACTCCTTTAATTTCTCTGGAACCTTTTTTCAGCTTACAAGAAAGATCATTAGGAACTTGAGACTTCTTTTAATTTTCCGAAAAGCTTTTTGATTAACCACGCGAAGATCCTGAAAGTTTCAACTTCTGAATCTTTGAATTATCAGAGAAAGAAACGTAGAACTTCTGCTTTCTCAAACTTTTTTTTTGCGAGTTTCAAGAAAATGATTTTTGAGGCGCCCATACCCAAAAAACGTCATGCTGTGCCATTTTTGGGTCATTTAAAGAGCTCTAAGCTTCAAGACCACTTGTCAAAATCAACGAATAAAAGGTGTTATCTCTTGAATAGGGGGAATTGCAATTCACAAACCTAGTTCTTGGATACTTCAGTGGCGATGTAATGGCAAAATAGCGATCTAAGCTGATGACACACAAGTTGAGGATACTTGCCGTGCACAGCAAAACATCTGAAGTCGCCCACATTCGACAAAGAAATTTTCCTACAAAAAGAAATGTAAGATGAGGTATTCTATTCTTTTTCAACCAAGTGGCCATCGGTGGTTGTGAAGTAAGTCGAGTAGCGACATCGGCATAACTACCAGTCCGACCAAAAGATCTGAATAAGATATGATTGATTTTCTTCCTTGACCTAACAGCTAGAAAAACAAGTCAAAAATGCAGCGCTATTAAAGGATCATTCTCTACTTGAGATTCAAAATCTAAAAATATTATAATGTATTACTCGAGTGCGAACTTTGAGGTACCATAATTAGACTATAACGTAAGCGTCGCATTTTTTAACTCGTTTAGAATCAGTGTGTCTTAAAGTTTTCTTGAAGTTATTTTTTTCAGACGTTTTTGAATAGTTTTAAAGCATCGAAAGAAATCGATCTTTTTTTCAAGAAAATTCCAGAATTTTTTTTGACAGCTGTAAAGATTGTAACGTACCAGCAGTTGCTAGAGATGTGAGTAAAATATTTGTGAAGGTTCTCATCCTCTTGTACACGAAGACCGACAGGACAACGAGAATGTTGCCGAAAATTGTTAGAAGGATCATCAGCACCTTAAACAAACTTTCATAAGAAAAAAAAGATTTGGGAGCAGTTCCCCCTTTTGATGATTTTTTTCCCACCACAATTATTTCTTCCAGTTTGACTCGACGCAACATCAAAACTGCAGTAAATCTTAAGCCAATAGACAAATTCGAATCAACAATTTCCGAGAGGATTAGAGCAAAACGCTTGGGAAAAACCAATGCGAAGCGGAAATTGAATGCGATACGATGCGATGAAATTTGCTCCAAGTCGCACGCAAACCATAACTGCACCAAAAACATTTGGTTACGTAATAATTCACGGTTGACTGCTCTATCGATGATAAAAACATGCGGGAACGGATCTGACTCGAATTTAGGATTCCATTAAAATTTGGACCATTTCAATTTCCTCGAACACTTTCCTAATTTTCAAGTGAGGTATTTTAAAACTCGCTATTTGAGAAAATTTTTATCTCAATGAATAAAAATTTGCAGGGGGCTCATTATGGCATTTTTAACGCAGATAATCCTTGAACATATTCAAGTTTTCCTTCTTCACAGTTAGCTTGACTATTCGCTAAAAACGTTAAAAATTATTCCATATTTTTCGAACACTTGTACTCAAAGTCTTCAGAAGTGGTATTGATGGTTAGGGAACTGGAAAAGCTAAGAAACCTACCAAGAAAAGCGCGATGAAAACATCGTGGAGTCCGAGACAGAGCTGAACAGGCAAGATGTCGGTGATGGTGAGGAGAGGCTGGACCCGGTCGTTGAGGGAATCCGACGCCGCCGCGACCGTCGTGCTGATCGTCGACGGCGGCGTTCCTTCGGGTGGCAGACTCGACCACAGCGAGCCACCCAACGCTGCCTGAAAATCTTTACAATAAATCTGAACGGTTTTCTCTCCATAGTCTTGAGATGAAATTAAAAAAGAGCTCTTTTTTAAAAACTAGGTTTCTTCTAGACGTTTTTTTCTAAAATCGCTTTTACAGTTGTTGGAGGTTCAAATCATCGGATAGCAACACGCGAAAATTGGAACTTTGGTCCCTTCAAGTTTCAAATTTGCCCTTCTTCGATTTAATGCTCAAATCCTTTGCTATATAACGTTTCGATATCAAAAATAATTCCGAAATCTTCATTCCAATATACATTTGAAGAAATTCAAAATCACGTAGAAGCTATAATGTAAGTTGAGCTGCTGTAAACAAGGTAAAAAATTATCTTTTTTTCCAAATAAATTTTTTTCCGAGTGTTGTTTTCCACAGAAAATCTTCCGACTCAAAAACAAATGTCTCGGGTGATGATTTTGGAAGAACAGAAAAAATGAACGCCTCGAAGCTATTCTGGTAATCTAAAAACCACATTGTCAAGATACAATAAGAAAAAGAAGTATGTAAAATGAGGTTGGAGATTTTTCGAACAATTGTTTGCTCCAAGTTTCCACAAGATAGATCGTACGGTGGCCAAAATAAAAATGAAAAAGTTCTATCCAACTGAAGTTTTTTTACTCTGTTTGAAATTACTTAATGCGGTTTTTTTCTGAGTTCTTAATGGACTCGAGAAAATTATACGACCTCAATTATTTATCTAAAAAGGTTTATTTTTTTCGGACACAGCAAATCTTTTTCAAGAAATTTTCTCCGAACGTAGGTACGACAAGCTTGAGATACGAATAACTTTTTTACAGAGAAGAGGAGAATTTTCCTGCTGTCGAAGGCAAGAAAGTGTCGTTTGAAGTAGCGTTTTTATCTTTGGGGTGCTATGCCATGAATATTTGTGCAGAGTCAGAAACGGGAAAGCAGGAAGTTTGGTTCACCTGGATGTAAACCAAAACACTCCAAGCCATGACGTCAGGAATGCAAAGCAGCGAGAGCGCTGGTCGGGTGCGGAACCGTTCAGAAGCCATTTGCAGCCATTGCCTACCGAAGTACAGTTGACGGAGTCATTGGCCGCAAATCCAGAAGTTGGTCGGCTGCCAAGAAAGCAACACGTCGAGGGCAAATCGGCGCCTGGGCGGAGCCAGCCGCTTTGCTCTCGCCCCAGGCACCCATTATAATATCTTTTACGCTTGCCATCACACGTGTCCCACCTTTGGAAACTCACGGCAACTTTGTTCGGAAATGAGGCGCCTCCACGAAGACCTCTTTTCTCATCAAGCAATCCGGCTCTCCCTTTCGATGAATCAAAAAATAACTTCAATGAATAACTAATGGCTTCAAGCTTCCGAAAAGCGAAAAGTTGGTTTCGGGTCGAGTTGAACCACAGAGCAGAAAAGTGAATATTACAGCGAAGAAACTGGGATTGACCAAAAAGGTGGTTTATGACAGGGAAAACATTGTTTGATCTAAGGAGAATGTAACGAAACTTCGAAAAAATGCATTTTAAAGACCTTTTCTACTTTGCAGGCAAATTAAGATTGTTCGAAATCTTTGTGTTTTTTGAGGCTTATAAGAAGTGAAAAGACGGTATTTCGATAATTTGCTATTCAAAAAAGTCTTCAGTGGGTGTAGAAGGATTTACTGCTTCTGGATAATAATTATTTCAAACGGAGATAAAAATAAATTGAACTTCAACTGTATATTCATTTCGAAAAGCTGCTCTTTGAGCATTTTTCAGTTTTTACTTTTTTTTTCCTAGAAGATCTTCCTAGAATGACACTCCTAATATAAATAACTTAGAAGCAAGAGAAGCAAAGGTCTTTTTCATGTAAAAAATTTTTGTCGTTGTCAGTCAGGCTTCTAAGGTTTTTTTTGAAACATCTCCAACTTAACAAAAAAAGTTTTTACTGAAAGAAATTTTCATCCTGACCAATTAAAGAGCGAGATTTAATTTCAAAGATTGATGATCTATCTGAAAATTATCCTTCTCGAAAGGTGTAATTTCTATTGCACGTGTTTTTTTCTATGAAACACCTAATTACAATCAATTAATGAGCTAAAAAGATAAATTATGGATACCGGAATTCGTGACGAAAACTCTAATTGAAGAGTGCAAAGAAATCTAATAATAATAATCTCGAGTTTTTAAATGACTCAGAATGGTCAAAAATTGAACTCAGAGGGAAAAAAAGGAACGAATGAAAATCCAAAAATTTTTTTAATGTTAGAAAAATACACGTTTAACACTGCCTACTGTTGTACTTTGGCTTATTTAACAATATCAATAGCTATTCAGGAGGACTATAGTATGTGTGCCACGACTTGAAATTTCACGGAACGACATTCCGCTGTTCCGCTGCGTGTGTTCGCGAAGCGTCTTTTGAATCTAGGTCACGCTTTTAATTGATTGTTATCGCTGTGGTAGCACAGGAAAGTAGAACGGCAGAATGTCGTTCAATGAAGTTTCAAGTCGTGGCACACAGACTATACTATAAATTGAAATTCCCTGAACTAAAATTTTTTCCGTTTTTTATTCGTTCGGTCTTTCATTCCAACTTCCATCAAAATCCATACTTCTTAATTTGTGAAACGTGCGCCTAGAAAATTTCAAAACTCTATCTTTAAACTTTTCCAGTGATCATAATGACTTTTAATATGAAAGAAGAAAAATGAACTCACCATCCACACAGCGGCAGCAACGCTTCACCCCAGTTTTACAAAATGGTCTCTGCAAACAGTTGCTTTGAAAAAAAGGTATAAAACCAAAAACTAACGAATAGTTATCACGAAAACGTAAAGTTCTGCGAAACTTTGCTAAAGACAGGCAAAAATGAGAAAGCAAATGAACGACGAACACGGAAAGAAAATTGGTTAAGAAATAGGTTTGAAGTTAGCTAGACGAAAGATAATGTGCAAGAGAACTTATTAGTGAGCCCAAAAGTAGAAAAATGTGCAAAAACTATAAAGTAAAGTACGGTAGGCTGCAATTTTCGTGTCAAGAAACAATAAAAACTATCCAATTAAATAAAGTGACAAAAACTTTTTCATTGATAAGGTTTTCGAAAAAGTAAAGTTTTTTTCAGGCTCTAAGACTTGAAAAAAAGGTGGAAATTTGTCCTTTTTTTATATCATTGAAACACTTAGAAAAAAAGATATAAATAGAGAAGAGCGTAAAAATTCAAGGATTTCAAGTTGTGTCGAATAAGGTATAGAAGCGTGTCAAAGCTCGTTCCCCATATCGTTAAACTTTCCTTTTTAGAAATTCATTTGATGTTCTGTAAAATCCAGATCACGAGAAAGTTTTCTCATTTTTTTTTGTGTCAAATTGGGAGATTCCGAGATTTCAGTTCAGAAGAGAAACATTAGATTTTGCAAACTTTCATATGCATTCAAAGCGTCATAACTCGACTGAAAGACTAAACAAAACATTTTTTTCAATATTTTTTTGAATATTTTAGAAAAAAACAAAAAAAGCGGTTCTCTACCATGGAAGGTCAAGTTCCTTAACAAAACAACATTGTAGTAGTTTTGAGCATTTTTAATTGTTTCAAGGCATCAGTAATGTGAAAGTTAATGCAGTAGCAGATAGGAAGTCTTTCATCTTGGTCAATCAATTTCAAAGGGGATGTGATAATAAAAACGTGTACCGGACGTTTAACAGGCTGAGAGCTTTGAAGATTGTCAGACCTTCGAAAATGGTTGATACGAGAAAATCAAACCACGAAAAAAAAATACGTGAGACTTGGAAATCGGAGCTTTTTATAATGACCGATGGCATCGGAAACGTCGAGAAGATACATGAAGCATTCTAATTCTGCTGAGACATGACTGAGAAAAAAACTGAGATGCATCTCGCAGAAAAGGAATATTCAAATATATTAGAACTATACGTTTATACTTCCGCTTCAAAAATCTGTGCGGATGTTACATGATGTCAGAAATAAACTTGAAAAATCATACGAGTACTTTTTTTATTTATAGGAAATTATGCATTAAAATAGAACTGATAGGGAAATAAGCCTGATTTTTTTAAATTGAACTTGATTGAACTTGAAGATAACTTTTTTTGGCCGTTGAGGCCGTCGATGAAGTCTTGACAACTTTTTCCCAATGACCTTGTTTTTTTGGAAATAATGCTTAATAATATCTTGCCAATTCCAAATTCAAGAAAAAAAGCTCTAAGTGGATGAAACAGCTAGAAGTGAACTCTGAAAAAAAAATTTTTTTGAAGAAGAATCAAATCAGATAAGTATCAAGTTCAATGTGTCAATCATAATCTTCAAAAAAATTTTTTCTGAACTTTCAGAGAAAAAAAATAGTTCAATCTTATAATTTCAAGTATCATTTCAGGTCACCCTTTTCAGTTTTAAAAACTGGAAAAGATAAAAAGTCTACAGCTTGATGCCAGAAATAGAAAATGATGGTTTACGACTGAGACTTTCAAAAATGATCCATTCTACAGAAAATTTTCTTTCCTCGTCTAGAATAATGACTCCACTTTTCCCGCTGATAGTGCAAAAACAGAGAAAAGAAACCTAATGAAAAGTTTCTCAGCAGAAAAGGCAAAAAAGAGAGCAAGTCAGAGAGAAGACGCTCGCAATGTTGAAATTTTATTTAAAAACGAGAAAAAAGCTGTGAAAACAAGAGCAAAGAATCCTTTTTGTGTGGCATTCGTTGTCACTTAGGGCCCGAAATTGAAGCAGCCTCTTCTTTTGAATGCGAGTTCAACGCATCTAAGTGGGTCTTGAAGCGGCGCGAGAGGAGGCGAACCCCGAGCAAAACGCAAAAATGAACGATTCTGAAGCAGCGCCTCGTGGAGTTCTACTGATATTTGAACGAGAGAAGACGCTACTTAGAAGTGTAAAAACAGTTTTAAATACAGAAAAACCGACGGTAATCCCTGGTTTGAGACATCTTTCGTTGACTTTGACTAACCATACTGTGTAGAATTTCACGTTCCAGAATATTCATCTAGTGTTTCTGTACTCATGAAATTATTTTCAAAGCGTTAAAATTTTTGAGAGTTGGTTAAGATTAAAAAATCGCTTAAAAACAACCGTTCAAAAATAGTGATAAAAAAAACTGTCCTGAAATCACACAATTTTGAAACAACGCAAACAAATTGAAAAACGAGGCGATTCGAAGCAATTTTTTCGAATGAGCCTTCCAATCAACAACCGGCTGAATCAAAGGCAGACTTCCATTGTCAAAAAAAAAGTAGATCAAAGAAATTGGCGCCCGCTGTACCTTTGTAACACGGCATATGTGAGAAACCAAAAAACAAAGAAGCTATTTGATATAGTCGGGTTGCCTCAAGATGTTATCTTGAAAAAATGGTTGGAGTGTTTCCCAAGACATTGCAGATGTGCCCAACGGCTGTGGCGTGGCTTGTCCAAAGCGCCTTCGTAATGAATCAATTATACATATGAGGTCGACATGATGCCCGAATTGGAGCATTCTTCCCAACTTTCTCAGATTTTTTCAATTCCGGAGAAAACAGAATTAAGAGATGGATTTTATTCAGTAAAAAAGCCTTCGAGAATAACCGTAAGGTGAAGAAGTTTTTATCAGTACAGGAAAACAATTTTGATTTTTTCTCAAGAGAGTTTTAGGCACCAACTTTGACGTCAAAAAGATGGACACCATTGTGTTTTCATGAAAAAAGCATTGGAAAAAATACGCCTTTCGAAAAAATAAAATGGAAGATTCTTTTATTGACTTCCAACGCTGGAAGAATTCTCTCAAAGTTTAAGTTTGAAAAACTCAGAATCTTGCCAAAAAAGTTCATTTTGTGGACACATAATCGTGCGGCTTCCGAAAAATAGAGAAGCTTCTGGGTAGCTCTGGTTGTTTTTCTAGGGTCGAGGTTCATTTCAACTTGAAATAGAGTTTGTTATGGGAAGAGTCGCTGGGATTTCGGAAAGATAAACGAACAGAAGAATAATGAATGAGGGAGAAAGATACGGAATTTTAATTAGAAATCGTTGTCCATAGCATATCGAGTTTTCGAATTTCAACGGTTATTTGA